CGAACGCTTTCGTGATGTCAAGAGCAACGACATGAGCCTCACCATGAGACTGGATGAGTTTACTCCACAATTGCGTGACGTAAGCTAGGAGGTCCCCTGTGGATCGTTGGTGTCGGAAACCGTACTGCCTGTCGCTAATCAAGCTGTGACGTTCGAGGTAGTCCAGAAGCTCGCGATTTATGCACCTCTCCATCACCTTACTTAAAACAGAAAGCAGAGCTATAGGCCTGTAGTTGTAAGAGTCGGTCTTAGATCCCTTTTTTGGGATGGGTTGGACATGAGCAAATTTCCAGTTTTTTGGGAAGGTGCCGGATTTATAAGATATCTGGAAGAGACGCGAAAGAACTGGAGCAAGCTCCGGTGCACACCTCTTCAGTTCAATGGCAGGAATCAAGTCCGGACCAGAAGCTTTGTTGATGTCGAGCGACAAGAGCACTCGTCTTACGGTCTTATGCCTGAATGTTACCTCCCGCATAGTGTAGGGAACCCTTTGAATTGATGGCACTTGGGCGTTGGTGGGGACGTCCATGGTGGAGTTGGCAGCAAAGATCTTGGCTAGCACTTCCGCCTTGACCTTTGAGTCGAATACAATAGTTCCATCCTGACAGGTAAGTGGTGGCAGGCTACTGTGTGAGAAGTTTTTTCAATCTGCTTGGCCAGCGTCCAGAAAGACCGACTGCCATTGCGCTGCGACATTACCCTGTGCCTAACTTTTATATCATGCTGGGTTTTGGCATTGCGGACCGCTTCGTTATATTTGTTTCTGGACTCGACGTCGGCTTGTCTGTTCGTAGGGGTTTTGTAAGTAGGTTCTGTGTGCATTGATCTTATGCTGGCGAGCAGTGTCACACGATTTGTTAAACCAGCCGTTGGACCCTGGTTTAGGAACTTTCACTGTGTGAGGGATGTATTCCTCCATTCCGACATGGATAATTTCGGTTATCGAAGAACAGACAGTCGACGCATCCGCGTCAGTAAAACAGACATCTCTCCAAGGAAAGCTAGAGGAGAAGTCTCTGAGCCACTCCTAGTCGGCATGTCCGTAATGCCAAGTTTTGCGGCCTGTACGAGTTTCTGCTGCCACAGCGGCTTCTGATCGAAACCTAACCTCCACAACACCGTGGTCTGAGTTACCCAGGGGGGACAGGACAGCAGTGCTGTAAGGGACAGGATGCGTGGTCAGGAGGAGATCCAGCAAGCTACTGGCGTGTGACGAGACGCGGGGGAAAAAAGTAGGGCTCGCCACCAGCTGGGTCAGCCCTTGAGTAAGAGCGAACGCTTCGACTGCACGACCTGCTGCATCGGTCTTATTTGAGCCCAACCAAAGCTCCGTATGGGCATTGAAATCACCGAGAAGAACTACCTCTGAAGCGGGGTGATTGATGTTCACGAAGTCGATCTGGACGGCGAGGTATTCGAGTAGGTCATCCCAGTTATGGTTCGAGGGAGAGCGATAAAGGCAGCAAATAAATTTGGGTGATGATTTGGAGTTGAGGCGAAGCCACAGAATGTCCTTCCGGTCTGATTCCGAAGAAAGATCCCTTGAGCAGGAATGACTGCTGCGGACAAAAGCCACAGCTCCCCCGTTCTTTCTCAGATTGGAGTGCACCTCGTAGTTTGGGAAGTTGAGATGGTTAATCGGTGCAATCTCTGAGATTTTTGTCCCCGCCAAAAAAAGCAGGGCGGGACGATTAGATTGCAAGTAGTGATGAACAGCATCAATGTTGCTGTTAATCCCGCTGATGTACGAAAAACAAATTTTATCGTCGATGTTGTTCCCTCGAGCCCACCCTTCACCCGGACATTCCGAGAGTGGAGTGAGTTTACGTCCGGAGTTCTTAGTGCTCGAGGGATCCATCATCATTAATTTCTTTGTTTTGGAAGATAACCGACTGCATAGATTAGGTGTGGAAACATACGGACATTTATAAGACACCCTCGGAAAAGCTAGCGGGTGGTACCGCCTCGGTCGACTGGTACTTGTCTACCACCTTATTTTTACGAGTTAGTGATATTAAGTAGACCTAAAGTGGCCCGTTGGCGGACTTGTACCGCCACTTGGCAATCGGTACTGAGGTATTCCTTAACGCGTGTACAATCACTTGAACGGGAAGAAGTTGTATACTGGATACAACAACTTTCGGAACAAGCATTTGCCACGACCCTCGCTCAGTAGGGGGGGTATAAATCACATTTAATTTGGCTTTGAATTATAGAGTATACGAGTACCATCATTCCCTTAACGATGTGCTGCCGCTTCTTAATAGTGTCAGATAGAGTAAGGTGCTACGTACGTTGATACATCATTTCTTCCCTACTCATTTGCAAATACTAGATACAATTTATCAAGTAGCATGCTACAAAATACTTAAATAAATAAATACAATCAGCCTCAATAAATGCAGACATAAAATAGACTATGGATTTACTGATAGCAAACAATAATGATTATAAAATTCAAAAAATGATAAAGGGCTTAATTGCAGTGACGATTCTTCACTCAACAAGCTAATGGAGCACTACATAGATGCACACGTTCATTATTTACCTAGTTTGTTCTTAATATTTACCTAGGGGAGAGATGTAAATTCTGCTTGAGGGAATGCGTTAAGTAATGACAAATAACGAACATTTTTAATCGTTCTGAAACCTAGTTTTCGTTTATTAACTCATTTTACTTGACACCTTCCCTGTTTCTCATTACTCTATAATCAATGGAAGGCTCATGGAAATTATAGAAGGACTGACTGCTCTATTCCGTAACGGTCTAAGATCCGGCCGGTTGAATCGGCAGACATTTGTTTTTTGATAAAGCTTAATTTTTATGGATAATAAATAATAGTAGAACAGATTACAGCAAGGCTGACTGGCAACATTTAACCACATTTACCTGTAATTAAATATACGGTGTGTTTTAGTGCGATCTTGGTCGATAACTTCGTTATTACATATTGTTATATATAAAAAAATTAAATACAAAAATAATAGCCAACAGTATCCTCTCAACTTGGAAAATATTTTTATTTCTACAGGACGATTGATAACTGGGTAATGACTTGAACATACATTTTTTTTAGGAAAGCCCTACATTTCAGGTTTGGTTACATCATACCATAGGGTTTCTACCGAAAAAAAGAAACACTCAACTCGCACCTCTGCAACAGTTATAGCTAGAGGACTGGATTTATCGTGAAAAAAGTTTATGATCCCAAATATTATCCCTTACTTTTTCACGTTTTGGATAGTTTATACTACCCGGTATATTTTCCCTTTTCATAACTTTCTGTAGAAGCTTTATGTATGACTGGTTCTTGGATTTCTAAAAACATACCTTTTGACTTTTCGATTTTATTACATAAGGCTAGGTAACGCTAATTTCTAATGGAAATACGCCAATTCTAACGATCTGCCGTTACCAACTAAATGTTAGTTTTTAGTTTTAATGGTATTCTAATAATGTAAACTGTTCAAAAAACTGAAAAAGTTAATTAATATTAACAAAATATGACATCACAAAATCTGTTGAGGAAAAATTCATTACTCTAGCTATAATAGTTGTGAAGGTGCGAGTTGTCAAAGTTCAGTGTCTTATTCGATAGATTCTCAAATATGTATCTCAACAATTTGGAAAAATAACCCTCTAGTATGTCATATTAAATTGCTTCGTTTGAAAGGGTATATCTAAGTCTAAAATAAAATGCAATGCGTTCCATTAAAAAATGCATGGTTCGTTCATCGCATAAGGTACCTGTACCAAATAAGGCCACGTTAACGTTTGGATAGCTGTAACTTCATAAATATTTGCGAAATGATCCTGAAATTTTAAAGGTATTATTACAGGTATGTTCAGTGAATAAGCTGTATCGGAGAGCTCCGAGAACTTTTCTTTTCGTATAAAAGATATATATTTTTTGAAATACTACCGTTGGCCTTATTTGGAACAGAGGTATCTAAATAAGGCCATGATCTGGTTTTTAATAAAGCCACGCTCAAAATATAAAACAAGGCTGTTGAATAAACGAAGTTATATTTCTAATTAACAACAATAAATAATTCTTAAGTCCAGATAGATTTCAAGTAAAAAAATCTACTTGTTTTTGCCTTTGCACTGATGACAAACAAATGATACCTTATCGCCTCTACACATTCGTCATGGACCTATCTTAAGCACCCAGACACATGTCACGTATTTCATTCTTATCGCATATGAAAAAGTACCAGTTTTCGTCTTTATTCGTCTGGGAACCATTTAACATGGCCTTATTGCGCACATCTAACCTTAAATATACCTACAATTTACAAAACTGAAAACATTTAAAACCTGGCAACAGCAAATAACTACCTGCATATGCCTTATAGACTTACTTGTTTGAATTAACAAGAGATTTCGCAAAAGGAAGCCGACAATATGCAAAAACGCAGGCAAATTTAAAGCAGAAATTTTATAAGGTGCATGTTGAAAACCAACGCTGTCCTACTGCGCCATCTGTTCCACAGCTACTAAACCTATCGCTGCTAACTGCCCTCAGTAAATTTGTAGAACTGCAGAAATCTTTAATTTTAAATGTAAATAGTCTCTTTAAAATAGCCTTATTAGGTGCTTGGCCTTATTTGGTATAGGTACCTTAGTTATCAATCACCCTGTAGAGATTATAAAATATTTCCAAGTAAGAAGCAAACTATCTTCTACACGTTACTATTTTAACTTTTTTAAATACTATGCGCAATAAAAGGGTTATCTACTGTGCTTACACTAAAAACTCATTCAATTAGAAGTAATTGCGCCTAAAGTTCGGCAGGCAACCCTGCTGTAATCTATTCTACTACTATTTGTTATTCATAAAAATTAGGTCTTATCAAACAAACAGATACCTGCTGATTCAAACGGCCGGATCTCGTACTATAACGGTAACACGCACGCTTTGACTTAGATGCTCCAAAGGACAAAACACAAAAAAGCACATCAAAAAGTAAAAAATCAGGGGACCTTTTACCTTTACCTGGTATCGTCCTGGCAAACCCTTCGCCTTTTCCTATGACGTACTTGTTACACAGAATAGGCGTATTGTCCAATACAATAGGATCCATTTCAATTGCCACATCCCTGTTTCGCCTATCTAGTGAGTTCGGCACTCGCGGCTGCGCCAAGCTGTTGACGCGCAGTTGGTTAGGGTTTTGGCTGAGGTTTCTTGGAGTGGCGTACCCCGTGGTTCTGTTGTACTTGTTGGGTCGCACTCGGGGTACGCTGGTACTACGTCGAGACGGGTCTTCGTAATACCTGAGAAAGTAACATGTTCCTCTACTTTTTGAAATTATTCCGCTGACGGTCTTTTCGTTGAATAGGACAAGCCTATTATAGAACGCTCAAAAACTGCACAGCCGGAATTATTGATAACTGTTGAAGTTCTCATACAATTGTGATATATTTGGTAGAAACGCAGCTTTTGAACCTCGCATCACATTTTGAAAGTCTAACCTTATCGCCCAAAACTGTAGATAGAATTCAAGCAGAAATCTGTCATTTTCAAGGACATATTTAACTATTATTTCAGAATTAATTCATCTGGTTAGTCCGGTAGATGCTTAAATATCTCACTGTCATAACCAAAATGTAGATTGCGTGGCATGAAAACAACTCGAAATCTCATGGAAACTATTATATGCGTTTCTTGTTATTGCTCAAAAATCGGATTCTCGAACCCTCTGACAGCTGACGAATCTTCAGCGAATCAAATTTTGGAGCGCATGTATATCATGAGCTTTCTGTGCAGGAATTTTTGACCATAAACCAGGATTTCACATATTGAGATTTACAGTATACTTTTTTAAAGTCATACAGAAAACTAATAACAATATTTAAACATCCTTTAAGAATGGTATCATTATCGCAAGAACTTAGAGACTAGAGAATATTTCAGAATAATTTCAAATATTTGACACTCCTAAAAGTTTTACCTCAACTCTGTGTCGGAATGGTAAGAATGTTGCAAGACGTCGGAGTAGATGCCACTGTCGCCTGATCTTGCAGATGCTCTGACGGATCTTCTAGCAGATACTGTACGGGATCGTGTTAGACGTCTGTAAGTAGATGTTAATCCAAATACAATGTACAATTACCATCTTTATTTGATGAAGGTACTTACTCTGAACCTCTGTAAGTAGATCTACCCCTCTTCAGCTTCTTAGGTCTTTTGGTGCAAAAATAGCAACATACCCTCCAGTATAGAAATCTGAAAGACGTAGCCATTATATCTCCGATGTTGGAGAGGCACAATAACATCAGCGGTATACCCAGGATGGCGTAGAATATGGTCACCACTTTTCCCCATGGCGTTTTGGGAGCTATATGACCGTAACCTGTAAGAAAATATACTTATAAGTAGATATATTTTTGGAAAAAGATCTCATACGACAAATTACTTATGTTTCAACAGGCAAAATACTATGACCAGTGGGAGAGTGTTGCCACCATCAGTACTATTATTATTTATTGTATAAAAATATTTTTTAATATTATAAATCCTCGTAATTGTTTTGTTTTGTCATAGTATACAGCGACATATCCTACTCCATAGTTCCAGAACCTTAATTCTAGGGGCTTGAAAATCAGTGTTTGCAAATGTCATTGTCATTGCTTTAGCCTTAATATATCAAGTGATTTACCAGGATCTTGTGCATATATATCAACACCCACAAGTTCAACAGTAACCGTGATACAATGTGCTTCACGCTACGGGTAGAGTAGACTTAGAGCTGATGCTATATCTTATAAAACAATGAATTATTTTCAGGAAGTTTTTTCATTACACAAATAATAATATAAACTGTATTCACGTATTAATTACAAACGAAAACATAGCATTTTCTAAATTTCTGTGAGCTGGCCTCCTATAGGGATTTAAGATTACAATATAGTTGCTGATCCAAATACGATATCACAGTGTCATCTATTACCAGAATCGATCACTGTGAAAGTGAATGACAGGTATATGTTGGAACTGTAAAAGTACCTCAGAAAGCCATCACTGTGCGTTACATGCCGTCGATTCTGGCAGGGTGTTCTGGATGATAGTTCACTCGACATTGAAGACTAATAGTACTGATTTCGCCCATTCCAGTCACAGACGTGTACATCTGTTTCATGCTTTTTGACAATCATCACTACGGTCTTGGCTTGGTCTCAGATAGCTCAGCGAACGAAAGTAACCTCTATCGGAGGCATAAGGATTATCCAAATGTAATTTCATAAGTGCCATATATTACCAGAATAGACCACTGTGAAGATTCTGGTAATAAATGGCACTTGTGCTGTCGTATTTGGATAGACCTTATAATTCCGATAGAGACAGTGGATACTTTGCCCTGCTTCCTTTTGTAGTACCACCTAGAGGCTAAGCCTAGACCGCGCTGATGATTGTCAATAAGCATGAAACACATGTGCACGATTGGCCGTCTGTGGTTGGACGGGTGGCAGTATTAATAGTTATTGGTATCAAACACATTCCAAAGATAGCGCACCTTACCCCTACTGCTTCAGAAAAATTAGTTAACAAACCTTAAATCTCCAAGTAACTACCATTTATGAGATTGGAGAGTAACAAACTCCATCTACAATCTTACAAGTAGAAAAGTGCTTGAGGCAGCGGCTCCCTTGACCTAAGAGCATTGTTCCAGGTCGTTTATCTGAGTTTTGAAAGGATAGCCCCTCCCAACAGGTGATACCGCCAGAGCAAAATGCTTCTTCCCTCTTCGAGAACCAAGCTTACCGTTAGAACCGCATGTCATTTGGGCACCTCTTATGAAACTTATAGAAGTATAATACAATATTTCGAACTGTTTGAGTCTGATACCTTACTTTTATCAAACTTAATTCTAAGTAGATGTTGCTTTTTGAACTTACAGATAGATATACCAATTTAGACACAGATAATGCACACAAAATCTGATTGAATCTTGTTATCTGTTTCTGAATATTTTGACAGCATATATTCCTCATACGTATTTTGGCATGCGTTTTAAGCAATTTATTGTTCCATAATCTGATCCACCAGCGCGTGGATTAATACCTTACAAAAATCTTGTAAAAATAGTTAATGCGCTTCTTAGCATTGGCATCAATACGTCAAAAATAAATATTGTAAGCCAGCCCACGAGCAATGACATTGGTCGTATATAATATGTATATCCAGACCAAGATATTTCGCAAAACCGGACGACCGGATGCGTCTTTCAGCAGAATTAGGGATTTACGTTGTAATTGCCGATTGTTATGATGGTCATAAAAGACAATGAGGAAGGATGAAATTCTTCATAATTAGGTACGTATGAGTATGTGCTATGAGATTTTTTAATTTTAATGAGAGATTTGGCCATGTGTAGTAACAATGATACTGTTTGGTCAATTCATGGTGTCTTATTGTATGAAAATGTTGCTGACACCCTGGTATCTTTTCCTTCCGCGTCCCTACCTTTTCCCTGACTTGGGCAGCTAGATCACGAAAATCTACTGATCTACAATACTTTAACTGAAAGTAATGTACTTGGTACTACAAACCAATTACACATTATATTATAATTAAAGGACTGTAATGGGCATAGATTTAAAGTGTTTCTTTGGAATCTGGTGTTTTCAAATCATATATAGAATATAGTCCAGGAAATATATTCTCATCTGGTGGGAAAAATATACTGATCCGCATTTTTTGCATAATCTCATTCATAAAGGACCCCCGTTAAAAGGGATTAACGAATCTGCATGTTTCTAGGCCCAAATTTGCATCAAACGGTGTTAAAAACAATTTTTTTAAACAAATTCCAAAAATTGGCCCTTTCACTTCAATCAAAATGGGCATTCTGAACAAAAAAATTCTTTAGAACTTTTCTCTAAAAATGATAGTTTTCGAAATATAAGTGATTTTATGTTTTAAGTCATTTAAAAAGCTGGAAGCCGCCCATATTGTTGCATCTTCCTCGCACTCCCTCAGAATATACACTGAGCACCCTCTTGGCTAACAATTAAAGGAGAAAAAAATATTATTTTGGCTGAACGACTATATCAAACTGCATCGGTGCGTGTTTAGAATAATGCTTTCAAAAAAATTTAACATCACCCAAGAACCAAATTCATTTTGAGCTTAGTTTTGCGATCACGTATAGATATGTCCAATGAATATAAAACAATTTGTGGTTACACAACGAGGCGTGATATAAGGCACAGTAATATTCATTTTTTTGCCCGGCTATTTACAACACAATTCATTTCCAAGACGTATGTCGGTCAATGTTATTGATCTGATCAGCGATCAGCGAATCAATTCAGGTGTCCTGTCGGTCTACATAAGATGGGAAATCACGAAGGCTGGGAGAAATGTCGGGGAATTTGCATAGAATAACACAAAGTGTACCTGAACACATAGTTTGTAAAAAATGCACAAGGCGTATTTGAAAGCATAGATAACTGCCTATAAGTTTGGTGCCCAATGTAAAATGAAATTTTCTGCATATGAACAGTCGTACAACGTATTTAATAGCAACCAAATTATTCTGTTTCCACACTTTTAATTTTTATCGCAAGGATATATCTATCATGAAAATTAGCAGAGATCAAACAATCATAAGTAAAACGCATTTTATACTAGTAAGTAACGCACACGCAATGCGAATGTTACATGATGATTGATTTTGTTGATTCCGAAATTACTTGAAATAGTGATATCATATTCCTTCAAAAATTGGTTGTTCTTCCATTTGTTCCAATCTGTATGGCCTGTCTGTTAGAAGCCGTCTTCCAAACACGTTAGTACAGCTTTGTTCCGATGTGGTCTATCACACACAGAGCGTGTCACGTGACGTCACTACCAAAATAGTAAGTATTTGGCACGATCCCAATAAATATGTATTGTGACTAAAGGCCTTCTATTGGAAATATGAATCAATTAGCTTTCAAAACACACTGCAGAGCATTTTCCAATTTTGGTCAAGGTTTATACAATCAGCTTGTTAAAAATTCCTAAATCATGGAAAAAAGCATCACTACGTCTGTAATCACGGATTTATCAGCTTACAAGTCAAATATTCCAAGAATTAGACGGTAGATTTTGTTAAAACTTTCTCTTAGTTTCATATGAACAGTTCATGCATATTATAAATTTACTTGAAAGAACACTGAGCAGCACTCCCAAAATAATCATCCATCGCCAGCAACTGAAAGACCGAAATGCAAGCGATTGAGTAATTTTTGCAAACATTTGCGTCCTGCAAAAGACGATCTTAAATATTTATTCACTCTCGATTTCTTCCCATGGCCTTGAACTTGTTTCGCACCCAAAAGGCAGACTGACCAACTTTGCGTTCATCGGCACACTACTTTTATTGCTTGTACTGCTTTGATCACTTGCACTTTCTACCAAATCTCCGATTTGATTTATAAAGGTAGTCATACACTACTAAAAATGGTCAGGCCAATTTTGTCCTCTTTGCTTTTCGAAAAACTGCTCCGTTTTGAAGATACAAACAAAATTTTGGAGGAATCACATGTTACGCTACTTTATTTGCAAGAACTGCTCAAAAGTCCTACAAACACTTCTTGAGTTACATCCATCAACTTACTCTAGTGTGTTTGAACGATCTCGTCAATCTAGTGCAAATTGCTATCTGGAGGTGTTGCCTTCCAGTGATTTTAATACTTGTGATGGGATGGAAGTTTCAGGCATGTTTTTTGTCGATTAAAAAAATGTTGTTCGCAATATATCTTCAGAATAGTGAACATGATTGTGAAAATTGTTCTAGAATGTTTTGAAGTTACTACTGCTCACAGGGTATTTAGAAAGACGGGCAAAATACACAAATTCACGAGAGGATATCTGAGATTACTTAAGCCGTTATCCACCATAAAGGTTGCTATTGCTCGATGCACTTAGCCATCGTCAAGATGACTGCTTATTTCCAAAAAAATGGTCGTCGAAACTGGAAAAAACTATTGGGGTGCAATCGAATAATTTGAACCTCGCTATAGCAAAACTTAACCCATACATAGACAAATGCAATAAAGCTATAATTTAAATCAGGTAACTGAGGTAAGGGTGTGGGTCAAAGTATGTTTTCAACTTTTTACAATATATCGAAAAACTCTACATCTCAAACTATAGAAATAAATCATATACACATATTATTATATTCGAATTTTTTTGCTACTACAAAACTTCCTCACCAGTTGACGTGATAAGTAAAACAATGTAATTTTTTCGGGTTGCAGATATTTATGATCTGATTATCAGTTGCCGTTCTTCTAATTACATAGGATTCAGAAACAAGGGATAATTTAGAAGGTGCGTTTTTAACCTTTCTACCTTCATAAGAGTGTCAGCGAACATCAGTGATATCCAGGAGTTATGGACAGTAAAATATTTGGCAGCATTCAAGAATCAGCTTGACTGATTAACTGTTAGACAATTGAAATGGAAATCTTTCCGAAAACAGCCGTAAAAATTATCCTGCTCAATACAAACCGGTATAGCACATGTACGGTACCCCTCAAGTCGCAGCATTTTCCTTTTGATCCCCCACTTCATGGATCTGGAGTACGTTACTACATTGATATAAAACCAAACTCTGGTCTGGGGAGGTAGTTACATAACGTAAATCGTGGGTACGACGATTTTGGAATACCGAAGGATTTAGTGTATTGAGCGCGAACGAAAATGTTACGTGTGTTGTTAATTTGTGGTAAGAATAATTTTTTTACACAATATGTTCTTTCACATGACTATGGACGAATGAGAAAAGATCTAGATGATATTTTTTACTTATAACAAAATTAGTTATCCTAGTACTAACCATTTGGCTTTTTGACTGTAAGCACTTCGTATCCCAGACTGTGCTTTTTTCTGTGGTATATTACAAATACTCTGTTTTGTAACAAGACCCATGTTTTCATGGAAAGCATCCAAAAAAGTATAAAAATATATTAGAAAAAATGGAAATTTGAAAGCTTAGTAGAAGTATAATTTTTGTTTGTTTCATCAAATTTATTTTACTAAATTCTAATTATATTATTTGTGCTATTCAAAGAATGCAACGAGGCCCTCAAACGGTACTTTGCAATCAATTGAATTTTTTGTATAGCAATCTTCACCTATTTCCTGAAAAAACAAACCAAAAAAGTATGATTTCCGAAAAGGCTAACATGTAAAACTGTACTGGAAAATGTAGCCTATACAAAACAATATACATAAATCCAAATTTTCGAAAATACGTCTTTTGTATGATTTCCTCACGCTGCACTTAAGAGCTTCGCTTGCACTTGAGCTATTGTCAACGTCTCTTGCCTTACCTATGGTTCATTATATTTACATATACAAGATATTTGTGTCATCTATAACATCAGCTTTTACTTCCTACGCCACTGAGCGAGGAAGTATTATAATCATAATGAGATACGTTTTTGGGTTGATATATGACATTTACGTCACGAAAAATCATGTCAGTCTGTCTGACGGTCTGTCTGTCTGTCTGCCGGATTTGGATAAAATGTTTACGTAGGGTTACTATTACTACTACGCCAAGAACAAAAAAGCTTAGTAGTTTTTGGAAGTCGGTTCAGTGCAGTAGTGGAAGAGAAAAGGGTTAAAAGCGGAAAAAAGAATAAACATCGCTCAAACGTTGTTTTTTGACGTTTCGGAGAATCCTGAAAAATGTTGGGCGTAAAAAAATAGAAGGTGGGTGTTGTAGGGCGTATTAATATTTCGATGCTAGTATTTGTATGTACCTGTTTGACTGTGCAGAGTCAACAACTTGACGCATATTTTTTATCGAGAAATCTTTAAATTACACTTCTCGCTCGCTCACTTATTTTCCAATACGCCTTCTGGCAGTTAAGATGTTACGTGCTTTTACCTTGAGCTAAGCTGTTTCATGGAAGCTAATATATACATTGCACGCAGTATAGATTATTCTTCATATATGTACTGGATTGCTGTTTTCTTCTGAAAACAACCACGCGTTTTCTACAGCTATGCTGACGTACTTAGGTAAAAGGCAGTGAAGTTCATTTACTACCTTTTTTAAATCAGTAGGCTTCCAAGCTGTGCAACTTCCATTCTGCATGATGCAAGTTCTGCCTTTTTACACTTTATAACCTATTATGATATCTACTTATTCAGTTTTCTTATGTGATAATTCTGTTATTTGTGAATAAGTAGTTATCGTTGGAAATAATTGCCTATGGTCTAAAAGAATAATAATTTCGAATAATATTATTCGTTTAACATATAGGAAAACTTCCAACAAGTGTAATTATATAATTATTAAATTGAATCATTAAATGTTAAAGGGATTCACTTTTGTGATATTTATGTAAAGAAATAAATTATATTAGGTAATACAAAATAAAATTCTGCATATTGCGTTTTTTCTTTGAAATATGAGCAGATTATGAAAACTTTGGAAGTATTTTTTCAGAGTATAAAAACAACCCTACCAGGTGGGAAAGATGAATAAAAATAAGACAAACTTAAATTTTCATGACTGATTTTTATGGTGTCTGCGAAAGGTTTGGAAATCACGAAACTGGAGATACTACAGACCAAAATATCTGAATTGACCTAAACATACCTCAGTTCAAAAGTCGATAGTTTGCAAGATACAGGGTGTCAAAGTTACAATTTTATTTTCTTCTTTTCCTTATTGCTTGATAAGTATTTAAGATTTTGGCATAAAACTAGGTATAGGAAGGTGTTCTGGTAGATATGAGAAACAAGAGTCCTTATTTTTGTTCCTCTGCGGATATTTGCATTTTAGCAACATTTCCATGGTATATAGTCATTTTGTGGAAGTCTACTTAATAGAACACAGAAATACCTATAAATAATAGTTAAGCCTTAAAAATCAGATGTAATCATATAAAATCTACAGTTAAATGTGGAGTTTAATATAATGAGCCGGTGTTTAGGGTCAGTCATATACACTTTATTGCTAAAACTACATTGCCATGCAATTTAGGTAGATAGACATAACAGGAATAATATGAATATTAAATTTCACATCAAAAAGGTAATGTGCATAATTTAACCGTGCGTTTTGAATTCTCATTAGTAGCTCGCGATCCATAACTTCCTACGGTATGGCCGTGACACAATTTTGTGAAGAACCTATGAAAAGTAAGATAAACTAATTCTTATTTATCATGTCATCAATACCTGGGTCGAATGTAGTTCCACAATTCGACGAACTTTCAACTAAAGGCTCTTTAATACTGCTATGGCAACGTCAAATAAGCATTATAGTTTTGGAGAACTGGTAGTGTAGCAGAAGAGTGGTCACCGAAGTACTAATGGCCCCTTATCACTCGAAATGTATTCCAATTCTGACGAAGCTTTGACACAAGTTGCTAATGTAATAAGAATGGAAAATCCTTAGCTTTTAAGCACCGATCTTGTCTTGCCATGTTACCATGTTCATTAGGTATATGAAAAGAGAAAAGGGTGAGTCTTCGCTGTCTAGTTTTAATTATTGAAAGACAATGCGCAAATCACAAAAAAAAATATTGTAAAACAAATTTGGTTCCTCAAAATAGCGGTGAAAGCCAGTTAAACCTATATATATATACAACCTATATTACAAGGTTGCCAAGAACCAGAATGGAAAAGCTACACATAAGTTGTGAGGCGCGAACGCAGGAAGGCGTCAAATTTAAAAAACATTATATTGTCATCTATGTGTACCGCTAGACAATGAAGGTACAATATTTATTTGAGATCTTCAAAGTCAAGAAAAGTTTTTGAAAAATATTAAAACTGCAACGACATCGGGCTTTATGCAAACAATCTTTTTATATGAGCGCGTAATGTTGTGCTATGAATCACGATTTAAAAAGTACTTAAAAATGAGGTATACCTGTAAACTTAGAAGGCGCTTATATAAATTATATGAAAGTTCCCTCCAAGTGAAGGCGTCAACGATGTGTTTGCATATGCGTACTTATGGAGTTCAATTAATAATATGTATGCAAAAATCTGTTGCGATTATCATTATGCTGAGATGAAAGGAAATGACTTTTCTCTGACGATCAGATAAACAATCCTTAATGGATATGGTTATAGTAGGTTACCGCCCAGTGGAAGAGCGAGACAGATATTCGCAGCCCGCTCTAGTTACTAAACCGGGTAGCCAGCCAAAAGAAAGGCCGTTTTTGCATAATACAATTTCCAAATGAACCGGTTCAGTTGTGAAAGCAGTCATGAGTCCAAGTATGTAACCTTTTCACATTGACTGGCATCAGGCCACCTGTAGTGAGCGCACTAAAGGACAATGTTTTGTTTTACAGCGTCCCAAAATTTGTAAATAACATTGCCATCACGTTTAGAGTATAAATTATACGAGTACAGCCAGTGTTCGAGATATGCACACAGACATATCGATTTTAATTAATTCATTAGACACAGTATGGTAGATGATACATAAAGTAGAAGATCACATAATAAACTGTAGCCGCCCATATGCTTGTATATGCTCATACGACGCAAAGCCAAAAATTCTAGGGGGAGGACCCACAACGCAGTCAAATATCACGTCAGAAAGAAAGTTTAATCTGTGTTCATGTCAAAGATATCGAAAAAGTTTATATTCTGCTTCAGGGGATGCTACAAAAATATTGCATGGACTACAAACTCATTACAATATCAATAATAAATTACTCAACCTCGAAGTCCTTTTCCAGAGCAAGTAACCTTAACGCGGTATTTCATTTTATCTCAGACCATTTATTTTTTGGATGCGGGAATATAGCATTAGACTGGCTATCTTCAGGTTGATTACGTTATTCAATGATTGCACCAAGAATATATCTGTACAGATTAGTACTTGTGGCGATAAAAATGAAATATCTGTTGATTTTGGTGACTTTTCATATTTTTCCCTGCGACGGATAGACGTTGGACCTGGTAACCCTGCCTTCACTAATACTGCCGTTATTAGGTAAAATGCAGTAAAGAGTGCAAATGGAAGTCTGAGAAAATTGAGCTCAATATTCTGGATTTTTTCGAACTAAATAAACAGTATTATTACGACACACAAGAGAGCAAAATTATATATGTACATACCTTTATAGAGAGTAACTTAAATGTGATTTCGGTTCATAATTGTTGCCGATCCCTAAAATAAATGGCAATCCGTCTTTAATTGTCGTAAATCAAAAAGCAGTAACTCTACACAAACAGATTTACTACCTTTTCCGTAGTTCTCGTAATATATTTATATTATTCTTCCAAAGAAAACACGCTGTAATGCAAAATTTTATTTTATTTTGAGATAATTAATTCATTATCGAAATTCACATAACTAGCACAAAGGTAAATCCTTTCAACATCTAATAATCCAATTTAATAGTATAATTACATTTATAAATTAATTCACCAAAGTGAGTATATAAATAAACTAAAAACAGCATGTTTTCTTATGTATGTTAAGCTAAATAAAGAATATTTTTCAAAATTGCTCTTTAGGGGCAAAAGTAATTATTTATAACGATAAATACTTACTTACAAATGATAGAATTGTAACATGAATAAACTAAATGAGTGAGATTCATAACAAGTTATAAAGGCAGTACTTACAGAGAATAAAAGCATAATAGTTTAAAAACTACTGTTTTTTTTACTTTGATAAATTGATTTACTGCTTTTATGCTTAGAAAATGTATTATGAAATATCCGATAAAGTGAAAAAAACTATTTTTGTTAAATAACGTGATCAATGATATATTTTGTAATTGTAAGCATAGAAGAAATGTATTGTTGTCAAAATTTGAAAAAGGCAGTAAATTAACTTTACTGCATTTTACGTGAGTATGGCCGTATTCCCACGCGATAATTTGATTTGAAAAATGTCTATCAGCATCCGTCCGTGGAAATTTTGGCATAAAACTTGGATGCTGTTGAATATCGCTTACACGAGCCAAAACAAAAGCAGTCTCGGAAAGTGCCTGGGTATTGTGTTTCGCTTGGCCGTCGAATTCACGCGATCATGTGGAAATTGCAATACGACTCTTCCGCGAGTATTCACAGATTACTGCATCACCACAGTATATGCCCAACTAGACAGCAAAGCAAGGTGCCACGGTATGAGGAGCTTGCGCATCCCATATCTTGCATCCTTCTTGTTATATTGGGCGTTCCGTGTTCCAGCAACCAGCAGATCACCTATTACTAGAGCAGGGTTATTACGAAAAAAAGACTAGAGTTGGTTCTAAAAGTTGAGTCAGTGGGCTTTAGTAACAAACACTATAGCCTTCTGGATATATGTAACTATGCCTTTTCGTCAGACTATAACTTTTAGTAGGATATTGAAGGTTCAAAGTCCTGAAGTATTGATAAACCAATAAAGTTTCATGGCCCTAAGCGGTGCGAACCTCTAATTTTGTGATTTATGGAAAGCTTTGCAAATTTGGTGCAACATTTCTACCTTCGCTGTGCACATTTAGAAGAATGAATGTTTCAAGTTTGTTCAGTACTTCAATGTATCAAATTTTCCTGTAGGATTTTCAGTATAGTCAACAGTTTACATGAGAATTAAGGATAAAGCTACATGTAATAACATTTTTGCTTATTTTTGCTATTTTTTTTTTAAACTTGAGTCACCACGCTGGCCTAAGGCCTAAAAACTCATGGGTACATAACCGTATTTGTATACATTACGATTCAGAAAGACATTGTAATCTAAAAAGAAAAACTGTGTTTTTTATTTAGTTCAAATATTGCGGGTTGTTCAGGGAGTAGTAACCTTGCTGAGTATTCATAGATTTGCTGTGGTCAAGTGGCTAAATGCGAAAGCCTGGAAACGCATATCGTGCATTAGCCCATCCCATCCGACTTCTGATGTCAAGGAATTTTCGCGATATACCATTCAGTCGGTTTCAATGGTCTGTAGATAAAAGTTAAAGGGTGGCATTTTTGCAGTGGAGCAAATCTGAGTAGAGACCCACTACCGAGTTTTGCGACATATTCACAGCTATTATTTCATATAGAGGTAGGGTCGTTGCATGCAAGTAACTCTGTACCGACCAGTGATCTATTTTCGAGAACTGTTAAGATTGAGTACGGTTCAGTTTTGGATAAATGAACAAACAGAATTTTTTATTTAAATTTGTTCCACGGATTCACCGATACGCAAGGTAGACGTTAAGGTAATAGAGCTTATGTCAGGAATAGTGGTATTCGTATACCTTTGAAGCTAAATATGTACTCTTCTTAATTGATGTTCATACGTCTATTGATATATATGGTGAGATATTTATAGATTCCCACATCAAATGCAAACTGGGCATTATAGATGTTTGAAAATAGTTTTAATTTAGTTTGACGCTTAATTCAGTGATTTTATTTTGTTAATGCGCTTGCTCAACTGAACTGAATCTAATAATTGCAGGCGTTCTTAAAATGATGGCCTTTTCTGGTGTTAAGACAAATTCCTCAAATTGCATAATTAAATCTCTGTTTGTCAACATCGCAAAAAAGGGAATTTTATTTTGGGTTATCTACTTTCCAATAACAATAAATTGTTTTTTATGCAGCGAGCCCCTTTACAGAACCGTTTCATTACAGATTCACAGCTATTATTTTATGAGGGAATAAACGTTTTCAGATGAAAACACACTTCAAAATTGATTTATGGATTCACCCAAATATAGCTAGGCATAAAATGAATAATCTGCTACAAGCATAACGTTGGTCTTGCCCTCGATGTTTTATGACAGTACTTTTAAGAACGTAAAGCCGTTGGTCGAGAAAATCGAATTTGGCTTAGCTGAACACACTCTCATAACTTTACGGTCACGTTCACCAAGTAACAGCAGAACAGCACAAATTTAATCTAAGAAGCTTACAAAGCTTTGTGGCATAATCCACAAGAAAATGCTGAAATTCACTATTAGGGGGAGTGCAGCATATTTGGAATATTGTAGGTAACTTAGAATACTTATTTATCTAAATAAATGTTAACGCTATCTGTATTTTTTTGCTGTATATATAAAGCCGTAAATCACACGAAACCGCAATTACTAAAATCAGGACGCCACCTTGACATTCGGTGCAACCAGCCACACGGGAACGAGACGTCAACTTTAAAAACTTTTGCAGTAAGAATGCATCTTTATAATCTATTATACGTAAAATCTTCATTGCAATTATTTGAACTGTTATGTGTCTTTGTTAGTTTACAATTTTATTTTGATTCTGTGAAGATATTTAGAATTAAAAATGTTTCATGGAATTTTAAGTTAGGATGTCATGTTGTTAATTTAAAATAGTTGTTGTGCTTAATGTGCGAACTGTGGGTTCACGCTGCTTGTAGTGGATATGAATACGGTGTGTATATCTATGATTATTGCAAGAACAGTAACTAAACTATAAGTACAGGGTAAATACTCATTTGTGATTATTGTGACTGATTACTTAATAATTAATACTTAGAAGCCATTTTTTAAACAGATTTATACCAAAAAATATAAGATGGTAACAAAGTTGAGAAATTTATTAGTTTCTTAGAAAAAGTGTAAGCAATTGTCAAAAAAATATGATTATAGTTTGGTATACTATATTCCAAATTACCTGCACCCTAAGTAAATTTAAGCATTTGGAGTTTTTTATTAGGATAAATATTTTGATGAGGTTCCTGGTTTTTGTTTTGTTTGATTGTTTACATCATTAAAAGTTAATAATATCCCAATAATTTAATGCATTTAATGCAGAAAACAAAGCAGTATTCCAAATAGGCTGCAGTTCCTCTATTACCTGACATATTTCAGACATGACTGGCCACTACATCTTTTTGCAAAAGCACAAATATCCATAATAATCAAAGTACCTGTCAGTCTATCGAACGATTTCATAATACTGCGTTACTTGAGTATATTATTGGTGACGAAGGGGATTAGCAAAAATTTACAAACATATATATTTTTTTATTTTCTGTTTTTGAACATAGTGGAACAAATTCGGACTGTTAAAAAAGTAAAGTCCTACCTACAAATTCCTAAGAGGGCATTGAAAATTAATCAACATATACATATTATCTTCACTACCAATATTCAGGTTGCAGTTGACCAGGCTATCATATTTCTTCGTAATATTGTATATAATAATTATTGTGAACGAACAGTTACATCATTTAGAATAGCATGGTTTTTGTCAAGACCAATCAAAAACAACAATGCTTTTATTACTTTTTTGAATGGTTGCGAATGCTTTCTTCCATATCAAGTTTGATAAGTTTTTTCTGACTTAAAAATTGTCAAATAAAATTTACTGAGAAATTCCAACTTGAGCAGAAAAAGCAACATAATGTCTGTGCGTTCCTTTTTCATTCAAACCGATAGACAGTCGGACGTGAGTGTCATGGTTTTTTGTAATGTTCATGTCATATAACATCCAAATAATACAATATTTTTCGCAATTACAAAACTTTCTCGCTAAGTGGGCATAAGTGGCTCATTTATGCTTATGATCCAAACTTATGCATCTACTTTCTCCAGTAATCAGTAATCGGTTGTATTTAGAAGAACCCACCTGCATATTTGACAACCAGGCACCAAAATGTATTTATTCCACCAAAAAACTAACATTCCAGGATAGGTGTGCGTGTACATACTATATACATGTATTCTATGCGAACAGCTATTTACAATATTTAGCGTATTCTTAAAGGTGTTTCTTGGTCCTACAGATGAGGAGGATTGAATCAATGGTTTTGGTTGGAGCAAGCCATTTCGGGCAAGGCCTGTAACCTTGCTTCTGAAGTGAATGAATTTAAAATTGATATTTTGGTTCGTATAGCACATACATATGAAAATGAAACAAATCAAGCATACTGTTTTTGAAATAACCCATTCAAGTACCAGCCATCGAATAGTGCATGAAGTCCCGGACTTACGATGAATTTACACTGAACGTGTATTACGTGGTATTAGAATGGAAGGGAATATAGTGACTTACGATGTGTATATTCAGACTACGCATCTACCTTTTTGAAGAGTCTTGAGTAAAAAGAAGCATGATGGAAAGGAATGGACTTAAGTAGTTTCCGAAATGACCAATTCAAATAGAGAGAGAGTTATCAAGAAAAGTAACTCGGATATTTTTGAGGAATTTTCAAAATTTTCGAACCTGCCTCGCTTTCGGTTTGAGCTAGACACGTTTATGGATCATAGTTTTCTAATTGCCATATTCCGCAAATATTCTGACAGCCCATTTAGAACATCGCAAAAAGTCGAACTTCTGCCACCAACATTTCGAGAACGAGATGCAAACTTAACATAAAACTTCAGAAATAGTCTCATCCTAAACGTTGATTTTAAGTATGTGAGGGATGACCAATAAGGCTAAAGCTAAAATTGCAGTCGTTTTTTCTTTTTGTTTGATCTTAGAAATGATGGACCAACCAAAATGTTTGTTGACTTACTCTCAGTGATAAAAGGCGACTTCCATAGACAAAGAAATGATATTTGTGGATGTTTTGCAATTCCAACTCCGCAGACCAAATATAAATTTCTCTGAAAATATAATGCATTTATTATCACTCCTCAATTGGTTCAGCAGTGACTAAAAATGTGGAAAAATTGGCCAATTTAACGACTGAAATGAGATAAATGTATTGTCTAATTCATATACATATTAGGTTCCACATTTCCTCAAACTAGTATAAGTTCACTTCTATGGTATATGGTGCTAGAAATAGAAATAATATTTTCCATCACGTTGGATGCTGTTGCTATCAATAAACCGATGTTTAGTGCCTTACTAGCTGCTCATTTTAATTTTTCGTTATTATCATTTATTTCAGTATCGTGGTACTTATTCCTACCATCAGCGTATGGAGACCGGAGTAGCAAGCAATGGGTATGGAATGACAATAAACGAGAATCTGAACGTACCAACTTCAACAGTGATTCGCAAAGGTAACACAGCTGTGATGTGCTGTCATTCTATTCATCCAAACGTTTAAAAGTTCATATTTTGCAATATTGCAATGTTTAGGATTAACATAAATGGATAACGTTTGATATTGCTTGCATATCCGCTTGGATATCTCGAAGCCCGAAAATAATATTTGAAAAAGCCTTTCAATGCTAAAATTCCTTCTCTTCTCTAGCCAATAAGCTAAAGTAGATACTTCGGTTTGTTAGCTTGACAGAAGGTACTATGGTTGGTTATAGTGCTAAGTGATTCGAGGTATGTAAATTAAGCGATAAGACTGACTTTTTTTTAATTTTTGTTATTCAAATATAATTACAATTTTATATTGTCACCCTCAAAATAACTTCTTTCTGAAGCCGTTTCCATGTTTTCTTCGACTGCCCCAAAATTAGTTCCCTTGAGGTAATTTTCAAACTTCGGGGAAATAAAAAAGTCACGAGTACTCAAGCCAAGGCCAATAATGAGGCTGAAGAGCCACAGGAATGTTTTTACTGGCGAAAAACTCGTTTATTGACATTGCTCTGTGACAAGGAGAATTATCGGGATGCAACACCCAGTTGTTCGTAACCTGATAAACGGTGGTGGGAGTCAAATTTATCTCTTCCCCGATCATTGTAACTGTCAACCGACCATCTGAATACATAAGATCCCGGATTCTGTCGAGATTTTCATCGGTTCTTGAAGATGAAGGCCTTCCGCTTCGTGGTACATCTTCAATCGACTCTCTCTCCCTTCTTAAAATGCCTTAAACCACCAGCCTAGACAACACGATCTCAGTAGGCCTGTTGAAGCTTAGCAAGAGTTTTCATTGCACCATGTCCAAGTTTGAAGCAAAACCTGATAGCACGCTGTTGCTCGAATTTGATGTCACTCATTTTTTGAACACAATAAGAAAAACTTTTTTATGAAAAAAATCGCTACGGATAACCAAATGACTCGAGCGAGTTCAAACTTGCACAGAAGACGAATCACATGTTCCCTTGTCTCCCCTCCAAGCTGGTGCCTACAGTGTTGCCGGGTCGAACGCTACATTGACAGTCTCGTCACTTAATTTACAGACCTCGTATGTTAATAGTGGAAAAAGTTCTCGCAATTTACTTATTCGACGTTATAAAATATTTTTAAATTAGTCTCAAAATATATTACTTTTCAGCGATGCTGCAGGCCGATATGATGTGTATGAAGATAGTCGGTTATTTGCTCCAAATAATCGACCACTGTATACTGAAGTTTTGCCGCCAAGGCCACCACCTGTTATTCCCGAAAGGTGACTTACTATCTTGTTCAGAAAAAAGTGTACATTCCAAATTTGTTACCAGTTTAGGGGTTAAAGGTCAAGTTGCGGATGGGTTAGCTTCACTCAAAAAAAATGAAGAACAACTTTTTCACGTTGGTTGTGGTGACTAGATCTAAACTGTCATTACTACAGGGATTAACATGTTTGACTGCGGATTGAGAAGGGTTGCACGAATAGATTGATATCAAACTACAACTTTAGCTCTGTAAGAAAATGTGAAAGTTACAAATACATTCGGTCTCGACTGGTCAAACCTTATCATTTAAATGGTTAATTAAAAGAAAATTTCAATATAACTTATAGGAAAGAATTTCTGCGCATTTTGTTAAAACGTCAATGCATAATGTATGTCTCAAACAGATCCGAGAATTTCGCACTCCACACTAAACAAAATTTCACAAGAACAATGTTAGTAACACAGTCTCACTTTTATGACAAAAGTGTGACACAGTCGCAACACCTTGTGCTTACAGGGGCCGATCCAAGATGACGCACATCGCTCACTGTGCTTTGGGCTCCAGGACACAGGGGCCTCAAAACGCGTTTTATGTTACCGTAGAGTAGATAATTTTTTCTTTTTGAATGGCTTTGATGCCTGAATACTAAAACTGATTTTATCAACAATTTATTACTTATATTCATCTGCAGAGTTAATCCATTAATGTTCTTTAGATAATCTTAACCTATAATCAATACTAACATTAAGATCTCGGCACATGTTCAACTTTGGACAAAATACTACACTAGCTCATACTGATTGGTCCTCATGTACGTAGTTGTCCATCAGATGATGAGTTTCTGCATTGGGGTATTGATGCAGCCTTTCTTCGTGCCTGGTCGCTTCTTTAAATAGTGTACGAATTTTTGCTAAAGCCACATAGTTGACAACCAACGAGGGTCATAGGTCTTAAGATCTGATTGAAGATCATGATCCTAGATCCTCCGGTGTGTATGTATCAAAAATTAATATCAATGAAATTATGGTAAATACGTTGGTTTGCTGCTAAAGACAGACTTGCATCCATCAACCAAATTGGACCTACTTTTTTCAAAAATGTATTGCGTCATTTTTAAAACTGTTTGGTGATGCATTAATTTGTTCCATATGTTATTATTTCCAAGGCCTGGAAATCTGTACCTGGACAACAACCAGGGTTCTTATGGCTTAGGAGCAGGAAGTTACCACGTAACAAATGGAGTGGCTCAAGGAGTTTTGACAGCACCGTTACCAAATCAAGTTCCTCACCAAGAGTTAGATCGATGCAAATGTACACAGAAGTTCAACTGCCAGGGAATTGCATACGTAAGTTTTTTAGAAAATTCGTTGACTAAAGCATAACAAACTTGTATCTGATATCATTTTTAAATGACAGTGGTACCACATCCCATTCGAAAGTGCCCATCCTTGGTCAATACACGCTCCCACTAGAATAAGCGGGGGTCGAAGTTGAAAGGTATATGCATTGTAATGCCCAAGTATAGCTGGGACCTTAGCATTGAGGAGTCGTCTTGCAGAATCCACAGTTAGACAAGTCGTTACGTGACTGTGTGTGAGCGGTTGCGGCGCTATCTAAAAAAAAGGTTAGGCCGAGATTCAAGAATAATCGGGATCCGTCTGTTCACGACTTGACCTGGAAAACGCTGGAACATGTCTCGACGCGTCGATAGGGGGATAAATAACCGACCTGAAGGAGGAAGCAGTTAGTGACAGTGGAGACGGTTGATCCAGTGGACAGCCAGCGCATAATTAAGATGAAATAATAGTCCCAGTAGATACAGTTCAACAACGCGAAATGTCGTAGTCCAGTCAACATGGATATAAATTCTCATAAATTAGTGTAAGTGTTGGAAATTAGTCTAAATGTAATAGATCAGACGTTGAACAACAAAAACGGTTTTTTAGTTGCAGTATTTTATTACTGTAATTCATTCTTTATTTGAAATGCCAATGCCTATAGAATATGAGATGGATGGAATAACTTTGAAGCAATCGGTAAACTACAGTTATCAACAAGTAGAGCCGAGATTGGTCTTGATCGAATCGTTTCGAAGGAATACAAGTAGGAATCGAAAAAGTCGGTGATTTCGATTTCGATCCCGATAACTGTGGTTTCGATTCCGATACCAATGTTTCCGGTACCGATAGTTTTGGTTCCGATTCCTACATCTACGGTTTTGATTCCACTACTGGTATGATTGTGATTCGTTAGATACGGGTCAAATAATAATCATAGCGTTTATTTGCAGAGCAAGAAAAATACAAGGAGAAAAAATTAAAAATGAAGAAACAACATGAATTCTTGCAAAAGGGACTAGTAAACTGACGAGCTGATCAAAGTACTAGCCCAACAAACAAAATTACGACAGAGGAGCTCTTAACCAAATTATAGTTAATATTAATAATTATTAAATGATAATTACAAACGTCAAAAAAAATATATGTATCTATATAAAGAAATTATATAAAAAATATAATTTAACGGAAAAGATCAAATCATTTTAAGCATATTTAACAAACAAAAAACATTTAAAATATAAAAAGTAAAGGAACAATATAAAGTAAACACTACAGTTCATCTAATAGAAATTTTCTGTAACTTCTTTTGAAAGCTGACACAGACATAGACTTAAGGTTTGCGGGGACGTGATTGTACAAGTGGTAGATAAAATGAGAAAAACATCTGTTAAACATCGATGTACGATGACGTGGTTGGGATCAGCTTCCGATACCGAACATTTATATTGTGAGCATCACTTCGAAATGTAATCTTATTATATAAATATCGGATTTCGATGACCTGTGTGAAAGGAACGATATTGATACCACAATGATAACAGTCGCATTAATGCTTTTGATTGCAGCGGCTCGAAGTCACAATCCAGAAAGTAATTTGTTATGAAGTCTGGAGTATAAAACACTGTTGAATGTATGTTTAGTTGCCACTTTAATTTTTCAATATTACATTATCAATGAAGAAATACTACTGATGTAAATACAAAATTTTCGGATTTTAAATAAGTTTTAAGAAACTTGGACATAGACATGAAAACATATGCCTGCATTCAGTTATCTGTCATTTCAAAATGGTAGAATGGAGGTTGACTTGTGGAATGATGTAAGCTTAAAAGAATGAACCGGATTGTTGCCTGAGGTGACGGTAATTTTGGAAGGATGTTCACCAGTATCGTCTTGAAATGTAGAAAGTCTGCATTTTGGCAAATTGATACGAAGTTAAAGATCATTTATTTGAATGAATTTTTGGATAGACCAGTCGTGGTTATAATTTTTCCACGTTGCAAGAGGATATTGTTGTATTAGAACAAACCAAATGAATGACATATTCGTACATCCGGGACCTTGAGTAGAGTAGAGCGGCCTCGCAATGTTGACGTTAGCCAACCAGAGTTACACCACCATGTATCGCAGCGTGCTCCCAACATTCCAGCAGGTGGCGTTGGTGTCGTTGCGTTGCATATACAACAGATGTCTCTAAATTAAAAGGAATCGGAACCGGAACCGAAAGGAACTGGAGTCAAAACGAACTAGAATCGAAAAACGAGTCAAAATTAAAAGGGTTTCTGGTTAAAAAACAATTGGAATCGAATGAATCGGGTATCGTGGACTAATCCAAGAAATGCATTCCGAGGCCGAAATCGAGATCTTGAACGAATTGAAAGACTTGATTCCAGGGCCGAAGGCAGAACCATGGAATCCAATCACCAAAAGGAATGATTGAGCTCAGTCGTAGAATAAAGACCTGCGAGCTCAGGTGGTAACGCGTCGATAAGAGGATGATTGGTGTGATTTTTGTAAGCGTGGTCTCTCTCATTCCAAGTATACATGCATATTGTTTTACAATTTCAGGGCCATTGCGACGTCGGTAAACAATACTGCTGCTACTCCTCAAATCACGTGAAACCACAAGTAGGCTTCCAACCATCAGTTTCATTGAATCCTATTGAAAATGGAGTCCTAGTGGGACCTGGGCATTTCAAACCGGGATATGGATTAGAAAACGGAGTACTTACAGGCCCTGGAAGGCCTACCGTCAATACACTTCACAGGCCTCCGATCGTTGGAGGTTTTCATGGAGGAAACAGAAGGCCACTCAATGGTAAGATTACTATTCGGAATTAAGAAGTTTCATATAGTCGAAAATATGGGAGAATCATTCCTATAAGTATAACTAAAATTTATAGAAGTTCCTTCGGGCGACGAGAGTCGGTCGTGACGTCACATGACATAAGTTTGGCTTCTGGGTCACGGTACTTACGCGGCCGGATGACGCGATGGCTCTTGCATATAGCATTCATCCTTAGCGCTCAAGCTGACCAGTCGCAAAGTGTTTTCTATATCCTGGCATAGGTTGATGTGCGATATTATAGATATATAATAAATAAAATGGAAATACATATTAATGGTTGATGGTTAAAAATTCTATGCGAAACATTGATGCTTTTGCATGCATTAACGTTTATAATTTAAGCCCACACACGATCGACGCCACAGTGGTTCAGAAATTCTAAAATATTACTAAAATTAGAAAGTTTCACTAAATTTTACAAATAAATCCATTTCTACGTTTGGGCTGATTTAATTTTGCAAAAAAATGTTTCGATTGAGCCCAAATTCAAGTTTTAGATGTCTTCAGGATCGCTAATAACGAACTTGATATCGATTGTTCAAAAATCCAAATAGCGATAGTGGTGGCAAACAATGTTTTGATCGCGCTCAAAATTAAGTTGTGTTTTCAAGATCGCTAATAATGAATTAAATGCCGGTTCTTGGAAAATCCACATGGCGGATCCAGTATGACAGATATGTTTCGATTGCGTTCAAATTATTCTGTATGTTTGCAAGGCGTAATTGATGTATATGTATAATGTCGCATATAACGTCAACTGCAGCCAAAATTGACGTATTTCTGAGCTGGGTGTCTGATTAACATAGAATGGAATTCACTAATTACGAAAAAAATATCAATTACAAATTGTTGTCGTATAGTGTCACGTGTCGATTGGCATGTAACAAAATGCCATATAATAACTATACAGACCTTCGACTCCCCAATCTATTTTGCCACATTGCAATACAGCTAATTATTTCAAAACGTGACACTATTCGATTATATAAAGTTTTTGGATTTTTGACCAGGTTCTCTGGTATATAGATAATATAATAGAATAAATCCATTGCTACGATTGTTGTTCATACACGTATTATATAACATTCCTATACATGCGAGTTTTAGATTTCAAAATTGCATCTTATTTTCAGGAAATACTTATTCAGCTGCTAATGGTGTACTCGTTGGACCTGGTGGACCGATAGATCGGCCTACTTATGGATTTGCAAGGAACAACTGAATATACCAGCTACATATCGTCGTCTTGGAGTGTAAACCTTCTAAATCCATCTGTATCTTATATGCCTTATTAAGACCAGTCGATAAACAAAGACACTCTTCACCATCAAGCAAAGAAACCAAGTCATACTAAGAGTGTACGAAAAGTAAACTGCTAAATCTAAACAGCAGACATTCCATCACAAGAGCTGTAAAATTGGAATTACGAAATGAAATTACTGTTTTTGCTGCTTTCATTTTCAAATGCTACAAAATAATTCAACTATATTTTCATTTTTATTTTTAATTGGCAATTATGTATCAGGTAACCAAATAAGTTCGTTCGACTTTTTGGTAGAAACTTTCTTCCGATTGATCAGAGAAAGCTGTTTCTGGATGAGTGCTGCTTGTACTCGTTGAAGTTGCCTACAATACAAGTTAGCAGTGATGGTTTGACCCCTTTTCGAAAACTCATAATGGACAATTCCAGTTGCTGTCCACCAAACACACAACAAAATCTTGTTTGGGTGCAAGGAAACCTTGGGCGTGTGTGCTACCGCATCAGTAGGCCAGAACCAATGATACGAACACTTATAATTCGAATACAAGATCCATTTTTTGTCGCAGGTTAATAACCGATTAAGAAATAGTTCATTAGCGTTGCATAAAATGTTTGCTCAAGAAATGGTAAGACGACTTAATTTGTTATCATTTGTCAGTTCATGTGGGGCCCATTTGCTTAACTTCCACGTCTTTCCTAGCTGATGAAGATGCAAACAAATAGTTTCAGGACTCACTCTGAACATTTCTGTTCTTGGCACGTTGTCCTTGAATTTGCGTCCACAACCAGTCGAAGATCCTGAGCGCGATTCATCGCTCAAACTGAAATCTCCCGAAGAACATTTTTTGAACCACTTCTGCGCTGTTCGATCACTAACGGCACCATCTCCGAATGCGGTACATACTTTTCGCGCCGCCGCTGCAGCTTTTGTACCAAGTTTGTACTCATACAGTAAATAACTTCGAGTTTCTGTTTTATTTGTCGCCATTTTCAAGTATTAAAACTAGGTATGTAAGTATTTTCATAAACTTTTTATGTATGTGAGAGAAGGATTCATACTAAAGTGCAAACAGGTAACAAACATTCGCTATCGATCAACCACATCCATGGCAATGTGCGATATACAGCAACCGCACGTACTTATTTGGTTACCTGATATTTTGTAACGTTATATGACTGCCCCGTAAATTTCCTGCGGGCAGAGTTAGTAGGGTTACACTCTAAACCAAGGATATATATCTCCAGCAGAAAACTCCGCAGATACCTATAACAATTGAGGCTGCCTGATTTTGTTTCATATGTGAATACCTTGGTTGATAGGGTATCACAAGTAATGTAAGGAAGAATGTTACCAGTTGTGCTGTGCGCCTGTACAATATATTTCGTACGAAACAATTCCACACGAAACATGAAAAATGGGTGCCAGTATATTTGGATGACATATTTATCGCCCTTCTGAATAAAAATTCAAATGGGACCAAAGCAATCCTATGATTAGTCTCTGAGAAATATTAGGAGAAAGTTTGCCGATTTGTACTCTTATAAATGATGAATGAACATAAATTCAATTTTCAAATTCCTCAAGAAAACTGTTCAAATGCAGCATGTACGGAATCTAAAAGACCCTTATAAATTACCTGGTGGTCTTATTACCGTCATCCAATCATTACGTGGGCGACCCGATAAGAACTTAGCCTACCCAAAAAAAACAAATCATCAGTCTCCTTTTAGCTTGATACACCTGACCCAGCGATGCTCCAACTTCTTCAAGCCTTCTGAAAAATACGTTTTTCGGAGGTCCGCAAAGTATAGGCTCCCGTAGCGACGATAACCTCCTCATTCGACTCAAATTCCTGCCCGGCAAGTGACTTTTTCAAGTTTGGGAACAAGAAGAAGTCGCACGGGCCAAATCTGGAGAATATACTGTGGATGGGGCAGCAATTCGTAGCCTAATTCGACCAATTTGGCGGTGGCGACGGAGGATGTGTCATGGTGGAAGAGCAATTTTGGCCCAATAATTCGACATAGTAGAGCCCTGTAACCGTTTTGTCCATCTCCATATATAGATCCATAAAACGGTGGCCATCTCCTTTCCGGCCGACAGGATAGCCTTTATCTGTTCGCCGGATAACGTCCACTGTTTCGACTGTTTCTTGATCTCTGGTGTGAACTATTGGATCCATGTTTTGTCGACGATCACGAAACTACCAAGGAACTCCTTCGGGTCGCGCTTAAACAGCGTCAAACACTGCTCTGAGGTGGTGTCACGGTTGCGCTTGTTGTCCGAAAGGAACAAACGCGGCACCCATCGCGCTGACAGCTTTCTCATGCCCAATATTTCATTCAGGATATGACTCACGCGGTCTTTTGATATGCCTACAGTCTCAACTATCTCGCGCATCTTCAGTCCGTGGTCTGCCAATATTAAATCGTCGATTTCTGTCACGTTATCCTATGTGGTAACCGTTTTCGGGGCACCTGGACGTGGCTCATCAAAAACCGACGTGCGACCACAACCAATTTTCGACGGTGGCCATCAAAGGAGAAGAGTTACCGTACACAGCATCCCAACGCTCTTTGATTTCGCTGCGCGATTTGCCTTCTAAAAGCAAGAATCGGATCACCGACCGATATTGCTTTTTTTCCAGTTTTCTAGAATCCGCGGATATGCCCGCTTGAACACGCGGACAAAAAAAAAGAGTCCGATTAGGCTGAAATTTTGACAGTAGCTACCCACGAGAATGTACTACACGATAGTAAATTGCTCTTGCGATAGTGACGCCATCGGGCGGTGAGGCTAAGTACTTATCGGACCGCCCTCGTATCCATGCGAGGTGCTAATGCTGCATTAGCGCAACAGCGCAAGAGCCAACCGTCGCGTCGTTCTACTGCTAGACGAAGTTGAAGCTATATTCTCACAATGATTTTATACTAACGTATTAGAAACTCAATAAACTATCGACTATGGATATCTTATCGACCAGCTTATCAAAATAACGAGGATCTCCCTGTTGGTTATGCAATAATTAATGGGTATTATCGCGAAGAAAATCTGAGGCCCAAATACTTGGTACATGTGGTTTTTTTATATGCAAACCGTTTGATATGCCGCAAGCAGGCCAAAACAAAAGGATCAAGTTGTTGTCAATATAAATTACCGTACCATAAAGCTATGTTCACATTATTGCGATGTTTTTTCTCTTTTGTCCTCAAAATCAGCATGACCTTGAATTTGCTTTATAAATGTCATAATTAAAGACAACTAAACAACCGTGCTCTTGTGAAACAAACGCTCCTCTTGAATGAAGTCCAGTTCAGTGTCGTATAAAAATCAGCTTGCCCTTAAAGTGACCTCATAAGGGTCATGGCAAAGATCAACATGACACCTTCCAGTACCTCCGCAAAAGGTTTTTAAATGAAATACTTTCTTCTATATAAGAATACTCGAGTATTTGGCCGGAGAATTGCAATCAACACATTCACCATTTTTGCAAATCGGGCAAACTTCCTTCCCTTTTTCTCAGAAATCCATTTTCCATATCTTTTGCGCGGGTGCCTTTATTCTAGGCCCCAAATACTCATGTAACGAAGTGTTTTCTCATAGACAATTTTATACGCTTAACTCACTACGAAGATTGTAACACAGCACGCTCTTTATTCGAGTAAGAATTTCCCAGGCGAGGTTTATTGGATATAAGTACAAAATAATAACGAAATATATCACTACAGAATCAATTATTGTGTGTCTTTGAAATAAAATCGATTTTAGCGTTTGTTTGTTATGGATATACGAATATATTATTCCTATAAGTATTGCAGAGTAACGACTCTTGCGTACAATAATTATTACAATATGAATTTTATTGTTAGGTTTCGTTCATTGCAATGATTGCAGTGTCTTATTTTGTTGATTAAAGATTATTGCCAAAAAAGAAACATCTGTCTAGATTTAAGGCTGACTGTTTTAGTGATCATTGGTGTTAATAAAAAAATTAGTATGTAGTTATGTGCCTTTTTGTGTTGATTAGTACATTTAAACAGGAAAGAATTAAGCTAAGAATGGTTTGTTGATTTTGACAATATTTTTTTTTTGCTGGTGGCTCTGTAGGTATACAAAGGTGTATTAGTTTGTATCTCGCGACCTAGAATGCTTTAGACCCAGCTATCAATAGGGAATGTTGTAGAATACACCACACAAACAATATTTGCACCAAAGTCAAGAAATAAAACGAACTTCCTCAGTGCCTAAAGCTTTTCAATGCGCTATACGGTGATCAAAGATGAAGCATAATACATAAAAACAGTGCTAGCACTCAAAAGTGGTGGATTTATTAAGTTACTGACTAGTGGATTCTATGTAGAGAAATTTTGAGCAGAGTCCAAGCGTAGTATATATACATGCCTCCTACTCCCTGATAAGTGAAGATAGTGACTCGGTCCCATGACAACCTTACCAGGAATACCTCAGCTAGTACTAACAACTGACCGGCAAAAGGCACGCTAGATTGAAGTTAAAGCTAGGTCAAATAGTTCCGCTGCTGTTGGAGGATCATGGGGCTAAATTTTCGCGAGAAGCTTCATATTCGAGTGTTGCTGTTGCTGGTGTAGTGACTCATAACTAGAGACCGGATTATATGTAACATAAAAAGTTTGAAATATGCATAAAAATGGTTAAAATGAGGTCTGTAAGTGACGACTATATGACATGTTATTTTTGTGCTTAGGCAGGACGTTCATTGGAAGCATATTCGCATATAAAATGTAGGCGTGAATTCACTCGAACGTCTCATCTAGGTACCAAAATTTTTATTGGAGACTTTATCGTCTAGCGAAAAAGCGTGAGATCAATAAATGCTATGTAAAATTTAATTTATTATAGAGATAACATGCCGAAAAAGTTGTAATTATAGCAAAAATATGCAGCATCTCTAGATTTTTGTTGAAATATGCAATAACCAGCGAAAATAGGCTTAATATGCAAATTCATACGCTAATATGCAAATACATATAATCCTGTCTCTACTCATAACCATAGAATATTTCTTGCTCCCAATGAAACACATTCTGTATAGGGGAGTCACTGCGTGATGGAATGGGAAGAACTTTGAAATCTTATGAAGTGCATTTATACCAAACACGTTATTAACAAAGCCTTGATATGATTTTCTTTCATACTTATTGTGTGTATAGGATGTGGAGCCTCCTGTTGGCGCAAACTTTGTATATTGTATATATATATATATATATATATATATATTTGTAAATATCCTACAGTTTGTTTAAACTGATGTCGAATTTATTTAGTAGAACCCCGATTATCCGAAATAATGTGGACCCAAGTGCTTTCGGATAATCGAAATTTCGGATAAAACGGATATAAATATTTAGACTCGTAATGCTTTTATTGAAAAAAGTAAATGCGTGTGTTGAGTGGGTATATACCTACATATTAGAACAATTTTCGAAATAATTGTAAAGTCTGAATTTATTGGTGCAAGTTGTTCAAGGGGTTATTTAAAACAAGTACGCATAAAATGCGTACACCAATTTTGAGGGAAAACTTTTTATTTGACAGCAAAGAATGAGAAAACGTGATTTTTGGGATTCAATCGAAAGTGTTAATAGGAACGAAAAAACTTTTCAAATAAGATTTTTAGGTATTCATGAGACCTGCAAAATAATAGCAAAAAAGTTATGGTCGAAAAACGAGACAAGATGCAGGTTTTGGCACTTGTTGGTAATGCGATGATAATTTCACGCAACTACTTGAAATTCTTCAAATACGTAGGATTCATACTTGTAAATAATAACAACAAAATTGGATTATAATGGTCAAGTAGTTATTTGAGAATTTCTAATTGTTTATCCCAAAACACCTGTATCCCGGCCATCACTACTAGTTTATTGAGCAATACACAGGGTTCGTTCAAAGAGCATTTAATTGCAAAATACACGTGTTTACCTTGCCGATATGAATCACAAACCATTTCGAAAGATAAATGTTATTATGTTTATGCGAAAAACAAAGGTTATGTTTTTCCATCTAAACAAATTCAAACATTTCGTATTTGTGAGTAATTGAACAAACGCGCTACGATATTCGAAAAACATATGTTACTATACACATTTTAAAACCAAGCTGATGTGTCTATCATTTTTTGTTGCGAATTACTCACAAATACGACGTTCGAATTTGTTTAGAAGAAAACACGCAACCCATCCTTTTTGCATAAAAATAACATTTATCTTCCGGAATGGTTTGCAATTCATATCGGCAAGATAAACTAGTGTATTTTGCTATAAAATGCCATTTAAACTAACCCTGTATAATGCTCAATAAGCTAGTAGTGAAGGCCGGAAAACAGGTGTTTCGGGATAAACAGTTAGAAATTCTCAAAAACTACTTGATCAATCTACTCCAATTTTGTTGTGGTTATTTAAAGGTACAAATCCTACGAATTTGAAGAATTTCAAATATCGCATTATCAACAAGTGCGAAAACCTACAGTGTGCCTCGGTTTTCGCCCATAGCTATTTTGCTATCAGTCGGATTTTTTGCGTGTGGTCTCATTTCATAAATATCTAAAAATCTTATATGAAGAGTTTTTTCGTCCCCGACACTTTCGACTGAATCTCAAAAAACACGCTTTCCCATTCTTTGTTGTCGAATAAAAAGTTTTCCCACAAAAATTGGTGTACCCATTTTATGCGTCCACGTTTTGAATACCCCCTTGAACAACTTGCAGCAATAAAACCAGACTTTACAATTATTCCGCGAACCAGGGGTATTTTCGTCTAATATGATCAGACTAATCGTTTGATAAGTAGCACATCAGCTGTTGTCGCATTTTCTTGTTGTTCGTACGTAGTCAACGCCTTTTGTTGAGCTTCTTATCCCTCAGGATGTGATATTTTGGCAGAGATTTCTGTCTCATTGTCACTAGCATCACTTAAAACTGTCTCGCCGCCATTGTTACAAACAGTTTCTCCACTTTTAAGTTGCTCCTCACTTGGGTGGCTCAGAGCATTGTCTAATAGCAAAATACATTTTCTCGAATATTCGCGTTCATTCAAATATCGTTCTGTCTTGGGAACAAAATGATTGTAAAACCAGTCCTTAAATAGAGCGGCATCCATCCAGCCAATATCTTGGTTACCAGTCCAAACATCACCCAGCTGCCGGAAATGACTGAGAGAGCATACAAAAGAATCATTAAATGAGAACACAGAGAAGACCATCATTGTGAAATTCGCATTAAAAGATGAACAAGATTTCAACATTTTTGATCATACGAACAGAGCTATTCCATCATCTAATTCAGTTAACATGCTGGGGATGATACTTGATTGTCGAATGTCGTGGGGGTTCCACGTTGAGTATTTGTGCAATAGATTGCGAAGGAGTTGTTATGGCTGGAAATTCTTGGCAAAGCAGAGCAGAAAACGAATTTAAAAATTTTTATACTATGCCACTGTGAACTTCCATACGTTATGGTATTCTCAATTGGGGAAGTAGTTCACTAACTGTAAGAGTTCTCCTGCTGCAAAAATATGCCATTAGAATTATTGATAACCTTGGTTGGCGCCAATCCTGTAGAGAATCCTAAAGATATTGACTGTTATAGGTATTTACATTTATGAGTTGGCTTTGTTTGTTTTCAAAAATAAGCGCGAATTTGAAGTCATCAAACACCAGCATGAATATCCAACTAGGTAAGATGCTTTTAATCCCGCCGAGACATTGAACTACGGCATACCAAAAAACATGCAGGTATATGGGATGTAAGATTTTTAATAAACTAATGATGATATTAGGAATGAATCAAATATAGCTGTTTTCAAAAGAAAACTAAAACTTTTTTTGATAGACAAATGTTTCTACACCTTGGAGGAGCTTTTTGTTTATATCTATGTTTTTATACTTTTTCAACTCGTCACCACTATTTTTATGACCTTGTCATTTGTTATAGGTTTTTCTGTTCTATTCAACAATGAAATAAATTATTATTATTATTATTATTATTATTAGTATTATTATTACAGTTTAGGCCCGTTTCGTCGCAGTTGTAAATTTGTTCTGGACTTAAACCATACTGCTTCATTAATTCTTCAAATTTTAATGCAGCGGACTTATCGGTAGATAACTTTTCTCCGAAAACTTTTAATTCTCGTATACCGTGTCGTTTTTTCCATCTATGCAGCCAACCATCACTGGCTGTAAAGTTATCAGGCGTCTCAATAAATGACAATTCTTCACTTAAATTGACTGCCTTTTGCTTTAGAATTGGTCCGAAAATTGCTATTCCACGTTCTCGATGCTGTGTAAACCACAGATATAAAGCATCATCCAATTTTTTGATATCTCCCTTTTTTATAGTTTTCCGTGACGGCTGCGATGATGTCAGAACACTAGACCACTTTTAAATTTTCTCGCGTTGTTTTTTCTATTCTGAAATGGTAGTCACGCCCACACCCAAATCACTTGCCACGTTTTTAAGCAAATCACCTCTATCTATCTGATTGCCTCAAGTTTCTATTCTATGGTAATAACAACGCGTTTACGTTTATTTCTATGCTGCTCCATCTTAGCGATTATGAACATGACTGAAACAAACATACACGCACAAATACCAATAAATTCCGCAAACTGGCTTGGGGAATCACCGGCAGCGAATCTAATGACGCAAACGCCGAAAGGGGTACTACCTGCGGTTATTTCGGTTCATGCGCCGATTTCCCGAATAACTTTAAAACGGAGAAACTACGAGTATTGTACGCGATAAAGGGGATTTCGGATAATCGCGATGCGGATAATCGGGTTTCTACAGTATATGTAAATGGGTTGAATGCGGCTGAGTGCAGTATTGTTTTATTATTAGAAATAAATTACAATTTTATACATATGATCAAGTGGCCTTATTCATTTTCAGGTATTTCTTTCCCTCTTTTCTGAATTTAAAACAAAGAATTGCTACTAGTGAATGGTGATATATTATAACCTGTTTCTGGACAATCAGACAAATAATGGATAAAAATTGAAGGTCTCAATTAATTAAAATAAAAATATCGAATTTTGCTAGGGTTACATAATTTTGAAGTTTTTGTATTTCAACAAAACGCAATCTGTTCTTTCAAATTCCAAATATTATCAAAAATATTCTCTCAGATCTAAATAAACGATTAAAACTAGGCAAATATTTTTACCTAAACTAATTGAACAAATTTAATAGTTAATAGTTCATTGTGTCTAAATGAATTGGTGTACTCAATCCTAGTAGACGGCTTAATAACTTTATTTAAACGATTGTGGTTTAATTAAACTAGTTTCGTAGATTCAAGTAAACTGTTTTAATAATCGGAGATTGAATAAACTTCTCAGTGTAACAGGTTGAAAGGGATGGGTGTTAACTGATATCCCTGCGCAAGTATTATGACGACTCATGGTACTATTACTCGATAAGATAAGGCCAAGAACATGCTGGCAGTCTGTCTCTTCCGCAGGTGCGATGTCACTCGGTGACAAAATTTCTCAGAGACGGGTATCGTGTTAAAGACCTATAAAACGTCAAAAACCCTATAAGACGTCATCTTGCAGACTTGGTAGTTTTTAGGGCGCAAACAGACATTTCACGTTTGCTCACTAAGATCGTTGTGAACGTCCATCTATGAAGGAATCACTCAACTAAACTACACGCATTATTGGTTGCATATGTTTTATGAGGCGGAGTGGTCCGTTTCTATAGTTTTTATCTCTGAGAAGAAAGTTGGTTAAATAGCATCTGGATATGTGTATCTATTGGTCAGCATGTGTACAAAATCAATGATATTTGTTGTGTGAGAAAATCATTACTGAATATATGCTGCCAATGAAGTATATATATTAGCTGTGCCCAACGGGTTACTTAGGTACCTGTACCAAATAACGTTCGGATAGCAGTAACTTCATAAATATTTGCGATACGATCATGAAATTTTAAAGGTGTTATTCTAGGTATATTCAGTGGATAAGCTGTATCGGAGGGCTCCGAGAACTTTTCTTTTCATTTAAAAAATATATATTTTTTGAAACACTACCGTTGGCCTTATTATTAACCCAGGGATCCAAATAAGGCCATGATCTGGTTTTTAATAAAGCCACGCTCAAAATATAAATCAAGACTGTTGAATTAACGAAGTTATATTTCTGATTAACAACAATAAATAATTCTTAAATCCAAATAGATTTCAAGTAAAAAAATCAACTTGTGTTTGCCTTGGCATTGATGACAAACAAATGATACCTTATCGCCTTTACACAAGCCTACACATTCCTCATGGACATATCTTAAGCATATTACACGCAGACGCATGTCACGTATTTCATCATTATCGCATATGAAACTCTCCCAGTTTTCGTCTTTATTCTTCTGTGAACCATATAACATGACCTTATTACGCACATCTAACCTTAAATATACAATTTACAAAATTGAAAACGTTCAAAACCTGGCAACAGCTAATAACTACCTGCATATGCCTTATAGACTTACCTGTTTGAATTAACAAGAGATTTCGCAAAAAGAAGCCAACAACATGCAAAAACGGAGAAAAATTTGAAGCAGAAATTTTAGAGATTTTTTTGCGAGATCCCGTAGTGAACAGGAGCGCGAACAGATGGAATTTCCCCTTCCACTCGAAGTTTTGACAGTTTCAGGTTGCACCGGGAGTGGTTAGATGGTGTAGTATGTTGCAAAATGTTTAAGCTCCTTGATAAACTTAGCTGCCTTGTTTGAATCTGAAATAAAAAGACCGATCGTTTTTTGTGCAATGTACATATATATCAATAAAATCAATCATTTGATATGACAAGAGCGGTTCATATATTGCGAAAAAATCCTTTTTATAAGGCACATGTTGAAAATCGACGCTGTGCTACTGCGCCATATAGAGCCGCTCCACAGCTGCTGAATTTATGGCAGCTAACTGCTCTCAATGAAATTGTAGAACTGCAGAAATCTTTAATTTTAAATGTCAATAGTTTCTGTAAAACCGACGCATGGCCTTATTAGGTGCATGGCCTTATTTGCTACAGGTACCTTATGTTGTGCTTTCTGAAGAGAGGTTATGTTCAAAGTTATAAATTAGGAAAAACAGGAGAATTACGGGAAATCATCACCGCGCCCCCGTTGTGTGTAATTACTGTTAGCATGTATATGGCTTGTAATTCGACAGTGTACAGTGAATATAATTATTTCTTATCTCTCTCATTTTTTAATTTCAGCAAATTTGTATATGTAATTTCCAGAATGGATAAGAAAAAGTGGCTGCGCAGCTTTGAATCTAAATTAAATTATTTGAGACAAGAATCCAATGAAATTATCATTAACACATACAACTTACAGCTTAGACCTTCATTCATGTCATCTCTGAAGCAGATTTTACATCACATCAGAGCCAAACATTGATAACTGAATCCTCATGACGTTTATGCAACACGTACCACTAAGTGCTAAGTTAACAACTTTTAGAAAAACCTACATAATGTCAAAAAATCGATATAACGTCACTTTTCAAGATACGTGATACCCTTGCCGGTGTCAAACATTCAGTTTTATGGCGCTTTAGCACGTAATTTGTGATTAGTTTCGTTAGTTTGTTATCTGGTATGTTTCAAACTAGTCTCTGTATAAAATGTAATTAAAAAACAGTGAATCAAACACCTAATTATTAACATTGGTGGGTTATTCAAGCAACATCATCAAAAAAAGCAATTACGTCTTGAATTGACATTTTCTCAGTTTTTCAAAAAAACAAACAAGTCGAACAATGGGTTCGACAATTATGCCAAGCATTTTTTGAAGATGTAAAATGTATTTTAATATCCGGATGTTAGATAGAAATATGAAATAGAAATCCAGAACTGGGCAGAGGAAAATGATAAAAATTATAAAATAAACTCAAAAAGATTGTTTACCAATACAACATACCTACTTCTATTAACATCTACCCACAAAAAAATAGAAATCCATTTACACATTACATTTTATACAAAATCATACAGATGTCACATAAGTTTATATACTCTATCTATCTTGTTTGTTCTCCATCCTTTTCGGTATAAAAAGTTAATATAATAACAACAATGTCACAGATATGCCACTGATGCACAACGGCATTATTTGAACCCAATAAAAAAGTAAGTCCCTTATTTGAAACTCTACAAAAAATTCAGCTTGAAAAGCTACGGGCGCATTATGTCTTAGGATATATGTATATTAAATAGACCACACTGTCAGTATGGTCATTGGATCTTTGGGTGGAATAAGGAATACTTACACTGCTTTGTGCAATAAGATCCATACCGTTATGCCGAGCATCGGCAAGCGTCTTAGCCGGAAGAATGCAGGAAGCAATTATCCCATACTTAGAGCCAGTGCTTTAACAGGAGATCTACTGTTTCTACCTCGATGATACTGTTCTTCTGTTTTCACTATAAAATCTCCTGTTATTACGACTACGTTTTTTATTCTTCTTACCTGCCAAGAAGGTGTCAGTTTTTGAATAGTGATTATTGACAGGTCTGTTTGAAAGTCGAAGAACAAGTAATCAGTTTATTTTTCAATTCCTACTAGGTATTAGCTCATTTTCTACTACTTAAGTCAATTGATTTAAGTTAATTTGCTGGAAACGAAACAGCGAAATAGGTTATCTATAGTCAACGCCAAACAAAGTGGCGTGCACGTCATCACGATAAAAATTCCCCGACCTAATGCCTAGGTTTCTATCACAAACAATTGCTCTATTGCAGTTTCATATTAATGTGATATATAAATTGTAAAATGGTCGTTACTCTCTTATTATGGTTAATAGTCATATAAACATTGTTATTAAAATATCACATAAGTTGCTTTCTGATAAATTTAGACGCATTATGCGAAATAAAATGTTTTGCAAACGCTCCAATCACTTATCGACATGTAAACGCACTAAACCGATTTCGCAGCGTTGACACATTGTCACCTTGAAACTTATTTAAACTGGGAACTGACATTTGTATTAATTTTGACACTGAATCAATTTGTGGCATTTCAAATCTCTATAAATCCTTTGGCCCGTATACTGTAAATCAACAACTGTTTGTTTCAAAACAAAATTATTCATTTTACGAGTAGATAAAGGCAATTTTGGTATATAAAGATGCCCAAACAGTTAAATAGTCGGTGTAAGGAACTCGTGGCCTCGTTAATGCACTACTTTGAGCAAGAAAGGGACAACAACGGGCCTTTGTTGCCTTTAAATGCTGTTCAAGAGGTAGGTTACTAATAATTATATGTAATGTATATTAATAATAGTGCAATTTTATTTCATTTTTTGTAGCGTGTTGCTGCTGCTTTAAAAATTAGTTTAAGGACAGTTAGTCGTATTTCCGAGGGTGTGAAAAGTGATGCAAATTTAGAATCGCCCAAGAAAAAGCGGAGTTATATTAAACGTGTAACCAACACAGCGACATTGGATACAAGTGCCATTCGAGAAGTGATCTATAATATGTATCACAAAAGTAAGATCTTATTATAATAACTTATCAGAAATTTGCATTAATTTGTTAACTAAATTATAATGTCATATTACACATGGTTTCAGAAGAACAAGTTACGATACAAACTTTATGGTCTCGATTAAGAGATAGGGCATTATTTGATGGTAGTGCCACGTCTTTAAGGCGGTTGCTTAGAGATCTTGGATTTAAGTGGCTTAAGGACAATCCGCGACGAGGGCTCATGGAACTACCAAGTATAGCTTTGAAAAGGGTGGAATTTCTAAGGCAATACAATCAAGCCAAGGTTGAGGCCTTATACCAGTTTGTCTTCCTCGATGAAACTTGGATATTTCAAAATGGGACCATAGGTCGCTCTTGGCAAAATGGAAACCAAAAAAGCGTGAAAGCTATTAAAACAGATGGTAAAAGGTATGTACTTTTACACAATTTGCACTATAAAATTTAAAACTAATATATTTTAGATACATTATATTACATGCTGGAAATGAAAATGGGTTTATTGAGGGTAGTGAAGCGATATTTTCTTCGAAAACAAAATTGAGCGATTACCATGGAGAGATGAACCAGGACAATTTTTTTAAATGGTTTCAACATCAGTTATTAGAAAAATTGGAGAGTCCATCTATGATTATATTGGATAACGCCCCTTATCACAGCATGATATTGAACAAAGTACCCAACAATGCATGGACAAAAAAAAAATATCCAAGACTGGTTGACAAATCAAAACATACCATTTTTAAACACAATGTTTAAAACAGAGCTATTGAGTATTGTTGCTAGGTACATAATGCTTCTTAATTATAATATATTTTGGTCGACAGTTTATATTTCTTTTGTTTATTCCTATTCTTAAAATAACTGCTTTTTTAGAAACAAACCACCTAAAATATACGTGATTGATGAATTGGCGGAACAACATGGGCACAAAGTTCTTCGTCGGCCTCCTTACCATTGTATATTTAACCCTATTGAGTTAATTTGGGGCATAGCAAAAGGTTACTATAACAGACATATTGGTAGAGATGGTAACAGTGAAAAAGACTGTTTGGATATGTGGAACGAGGCTCTACAAACGGTTACCCCAGACATGTGGAAAAATAGTGTTCGACATACTGAGCAAGAAATTTTTAAATGGTATGAAAGAGAACGAATTTTTAATCGACCAGACATCGAACCTTTAATAATCAACTTTGAGAGTGATGAAGATTCAGATTCAGACAGCGCTGAAGAAAGAAACTCCGACTAACTTTATTGTACAGAAAAAGCTTACACCAGTAGCTTACCTAATTTTAGAATGCATTTTTCTGTATGAATTCTGTAAAATAAATACCGTGCATAAAATTTGGAGGACCCCATTTGGATTTTTATTCAGTACCTTTAAGCTATCAATTAAATATGGTAGTTTCATAGTGTCATCTGATCAATAATTGTCATACTTAATGATTATGCAAGTACAGATCTATAATTTTATTATACTATTATTTTTGTTCTCATTTGAGGTTAATATTGCTTATAAACCTAGATATGTAAATAATAAATTTTATTATTTTACAAAAAGTTTGGCAACAATGTAAATTTTTCAACACACCCACCTTGATGACGTGCACGCCACTTTGTTTGGCGTTGACTATACTTCTAGTATTATAGGGCTATTCCATGGCAAAACCTTCTTGAGATCAAAAAAACAATCGCGCCATTCTTTTGATTCTGGAGGACTGTTGAGTTACATAATTTGGAGATGTAGGTATATGAAAAACTCCGAACTGGCTGATTCAGATTCAGAATTATTAGTATTTATCAGTTGCTTCGCCAAAGTTTATTTTTATTATTGTATATTATTACTATTTTTATTTAGAAAAAATAGTTTTTATTAGTTTTATCGCCAAAGTTTATTTTTATATATTATTTCTATATTATTATTTGGCTGTGATATTTTATGTTTGAACGTGACATTTATTTACTTACAAGTATGTTTTTTTATTTAGCTTTCCTTGTGTTTATAAAGTTTTATGGAAGAGTATACATATTTATTAAAATCTACTGTTGGGATAGGTACATCTCCTGTTTTGTTTTTTTTGTCCCGTTCTACTGTTGACGAAAATATCCATCTGAAAACACTGCCTAGAGCACACAATTTGCAGACCAACCAGTTGCTTACCTCACGGTGTGAAGACTGCCTAGTTGGTAATGGAACAGCAGCTTGGGGTGTCGGAACCCAGGTTTCCTATCATACTTTTCTTTTCTTCTCATCATAATAATAGATATTTATCAAATTTCAAAATTATCAGTAGATTCCCTTGTTGTTTTTAGTTCACATTTATTGCTTCCCACGCATAGGCACCAAAGTAAGAAAAAGGAAAACGGTTTGCCGGAGGCAGTGAGAACCGGTTTGTAAATTCAGAAAGCGGTATTGGTTGTGCCATCTAGCGACCAAAATGTGAGTGGCGCCTATGTATCGACCATTTATAAATTCAAACTAAATACTCATTATATCAACCTTGATTTTTGCAGAGTTGGTATCAAAAGAACAACTCGGAAAAATATCTAGACAGCCTAGTTTTTTTGTAGTTTCAGTTTTTTGCAATTTTATCCATATAAATCTTAATGTATAATATACTCTCTATGAGTTCGGCTTAAACGCATGTTTGCTTCTGTACCATCAAATTAATAGGCCAAGCATCACTTATCTATTATATAATCGGATGATAGCGTATGACGCATGAGGGCAACGTAAAGCCTAAAGTCGGCAAATGCGAGAATCGACCCAGCGCCTGCAATGGACGACTGACTACCTTGCAACTTACATCGTTAATTACGACCATATACCTACATAGTTTCTAAGTTTAAATTGCGTTCAAAGGATCAACGGTAGCTCGCACACCAAAATGAGCGAACCTTCGGTATTGTTACTTAGTTATAGAAGAGAAATTTGACCCCAACCATTCAAAGTGCAACTGGTGTTACTTAGTGGACTAACATAAATCGGCTCACAATACGTAATTAAACACTATTATTTTGCCTGCTTTTTCCACGAAGGTTCTATTCTAGTAGACACAAGATTAACAAAGAAGATTCAAAGCACAATTCATAAGCTTATTCATTCTTGAAAAATCAATTCCGAATAACATGTTCTGTCTAAGGAACATTACAATCACACACCTTGAAACGAAACTGTCATTCTAAATAACTGTTCATTTTATCGATGTCAGAACATCTATTGCAGCTCAACAATTGGGCTCTCAGAAGATACCGATTTCATGCTAATATTGTATTGAAAGAAATTCGCACCAATAAGTTTGGGCGTATACAATTACATTGAAGGAGTGCCCCAATACGAGTAGGAAAACAGCTATCAACAAGACGATCTTCAGTGTTACGGTTTTGACTAAAGCTACGTTCTTATGGGATAAAAATACGACAGTGTGGCCCGCTTTCGATCTCTCTTCCGTGACTCTTAGTTTGAGTGTGGAGTGAAAATAGAACCAGCGGGAGTCGTGGACAGTGCACATGGTAACGATTCAGTTTGTTTCATGCAGCCGACCATGAAGGAGCTTCTGATCGATAGTTGTGCTCTCCTGTCTTCAGATTTTAGTAATATGTTAGCCAGAAGTTCTGTGAACAGATACAAAAATAAAAGAAAAGGCTTTTTTTGTGTTAGGAAGTGAATACTTGCATGAAGACATTTGGGGGATCACAATTTGGCAGACGCTGAACCGAAAAACCAACACCTTATTGAAAAATGTGATACAAATCTCTGAAGTGCGGATTTCCTCCTGGAAAGCATTTGACCACACATTTCAAATGCAGAAGATTATGATCTACTTCACTTGCGACTGGCGTGTCCATGCCTGAAAATCAAACGAGTTTGATACCCAAAATGAACGATCGTGGACTCATTCTCTTTCGTTGACGCTAGCGTGTCATGTTTCATGAGATGGCAGCTTTACGGTGCAAAATCTGAATTTTCATCTCCGTGGTTGCAGGTGGGCGAAATTTGCTGGAAACTAAGATAATTTAGAATGCTGGTTTCCTGGAGTTTTCTGACGATCTAGGTGTGAAACGACCGTCAGTCTCATAAATTATGCAGGGTTGTTAGGTAAAATATCTATAAAATGTCAAAAAACGACAAAATGTCAACTTGCTGTCTAGATAGTTCCTATTGTGCAAATAGTACATTCCGCATTTGCTCGGTATGATCGCTGTGAGCGTCATCAAAAATGTCCATCTAGGCAAGCCAATTCCCCAGCATGCTTTGTTAGTTGCAGAATGCCGAGATAGTCTGTAGAGTATAATCTGAGAACATCTGTGGTTGAGTAGCAGAGTAGCAAGCATTTAGACGACAATGTGCATTGGTCTGCATGTGTATGAAATCAGTGATGTTTGCTATTGTCCCTTCTGAAGAGAGGTTTTGTTCAAAGTTATACTCGCACATTGCAATTTTCCCAGTTTTTTTTTTTGTTTTCAAAAACTTTGGGAAATCACCGCACTCGCGTTATGTGTAATTAAGAAAGATCACAGAAAAATTAGGAATGACGCATCGCGGAGAGAACATTTTCACACTGCCTGGAGCTGATTTGTATTTTGTACTAGAAATCGTGAAATAAATTTCTATAAAATTTGAACAACTGAAAATGATTGATATGAAATGTTATCATTTTTCCAAGTTGAATAAGGAAAAGCGGATGCGCAACTAATCCTTAGCTTTGCATATATCTCAAGTAAGTGTATTTGAGACAGGAAACCAATGGAATTATCATCAACACATATTATTAGCACACAAATCCTCTCTATACACCTTATACATTGACGTTTCCTTCCAGCTATAGTCTATAGTAAACAACTTACAGCTTACACCTATAATAATGGCATCACTGAAGCAGATGTTACATCAACACAGAACCCAAAATTGATGGCTGAAGCATCATGACGCTTAGGCGACACGTACAGCTACGTAACGTAGCAGCTACGGAACGAGTACACATCAAGTGTACAACAGCTAGTGCTAAGTTGACAACTTGTAGAAAAACCTTCATAATGCCACAAAAAACCTATATAATGTAAAAAAAACGACATAACGTCACTTTTCAAGAGACGTAATACTGCTGTGGATCTTCCAAAGATGTTTCCTAAATTGTATACATCCAAGGGTTTTTGAAAAGAAAGACGGCAAATTGCTTCCAGTCAAGATGGCTCTCTTAGTATGTTGTTCATTTTACCAATATGTTCCAAAGTCTCCGTAGTCCTAACATCAACGATACCCGAGTTACAGGGTATGCATGGTTAATTGAAGTCAAAGAACCATTACCTCATCGTGATTATATGTATCTGATAGACAGCAGATATACTTATCTGTTATCTAAGATTTCACGGACCCGCAAGATAAAAAAACTGTGTCCTAATATATTTTTCCATCTATTTCTTGCCGGTGAACACGTACCTGAAGTCACAGTAGGAGATTGCTGAACAAATATCAAACTAATTTAGGCACAAATTTTGGTATTTTTGGTGGATGTGCTTGTGCATATCTCAATATTTGAGATCTCAATACCTAAGTATCTTTCATATTTGTCCAGGGACTCCCAGTTCTGACTTAAGATTCGTGTTCAGCGGAAAGAAATATGTTGGGATAACTATAGTAGGACCTCCAGCACACACCACTTTTTATTTTGTGGGCCGTGGTTATAGTATGTATAACAAGCCAACATGTCACCTCGTTTGAACAAATTTGTCGGAAATAATATCACTTACCTATAGTAGTGATGACAATAATAGAATAAAAGAGAGATCCTGTTAGTGTCCATTGAACCTTGTGCTCATCTTCAATGCCATCCCAACCGTCTTTGGTCATGGCGTTCAGCAGCGCACTTTCGAAAGACTTGAGGTACTTGATAGCTCCTATGGTGAAGTTCTCCTCGCGCAAAGCTGTCATTTCTTGCGTGAAGTTCCACAGGTGTTGCGTCACGTTTTCACGTATTTTTGGAATGCCTCGTTTCACCTGGAAAATTATGGCAATGAGGCATCATCGAGAATGAAAGTAAAGGGTGGTACTTCGGAATTTAAAAGTGTCATTTTTCAACGACTAGACCTAGGCTATGTCTTTTAAGTTTTGCACATGGAAATAAAACAACACAGTAGGTAGTTTTAAATGACTTTATTGTTTTTTGAAGTATTCTCCACGAAGATTAATACACATCTGCATGCGCTCGAACCAATTTTCGAATTTTTGAATGCGTCAACTGCTTCTTCTGGTGACTGGAACCTTTGACCACGCAGTCTGTTTTTAATTTTCGGAAAAGTAAAGAAATCGTTAGGACTTAGATCGGGACTATATGGAGGATGGTCCAATAATTCCACGTTTTCTTCCGTTAAATACTGCCTTGTTTTTTGGGCTGTGTGCGAGCTGCATTGTCTTGGTGGAGGATGATTCTTCTTTCGGGGTTTATTTTTCGAAGCTCGGTGATGACTTTTGGCAAAAAAATGGTGGTATACCAATCCGCAGTAGCAGTTCTTTGTTCATTAAGAGGATTTGTTGCAATATGACCCGCTTTTGACACAAATGTCGCGACCATCTTTTTCGAAACACATCGAGAATGGATGACTTTTGTTGGCTTTTCTTCACCCAAACTGCCGACTGTCGTTTATTTTCTGGTAAATAACAGTAAATCCACGATTTATCACCACTAACAATGCTGTACACATTTTTTGAGTTTCCGGAATTGAAACGGTCAAGCGTTTTTTGACACCAATTAACCCTGGCTGGTTTCTGCTCTTCAGTCAACAGGTGGGGTATCCAACGAGAAACTAATTTTCTTTCTCCTAATTCTTCATGTAAAATTTTTTGAATTGAATCTTCAACGACGCCCCAATCTCGCGATATGTCACATGTCTATCTTCAATGATGAGTTTGCGCGCAGCATCGACGTTTTCCTGGGTGACTGCCGTTTTTTGTGCACCCACCCTGGGATCGTCCCTAAGACTCAACCGTCTACGTTTGAATTCTCCATGCCAACGGGAAATTGTCGACTGATGTGGCGCTTCGTTGCCGAAAACAGACAGTAACTCAGTAAGGCATTCTTGTTGCGATAATTGTCTCTGAAAGTTGTAATAAATTATGGCGCGAAAATGTTTTCGTTTGAGTTCCATTTTTCTAATGACTTGGTGACACTTAAAAATTGACTGTAGTGAGAACACTGCACGTATTGTTGTGAAACTTTGAATTTAAGTTTACTGAAGAGTGAGGTTAAGATTCAGTACTGACGTCGATCCGCACGGGTTACTATGTTTCTATTTGCAAAACTTAAAATGCATTCCTCGTAGTCTCAATTTGGTTATTTGGTTACGAAGTGTTCCACCCCACATTAATATTGCATAATTCCGTCTACTTTCAATAAAGCATAGGTAGTATCGACCCCTGCAAGGTAGTCTATTGTAACTCAGTGTTGGCTGAACTGAGATCAAAGCTATGTGCACATTGCAGTAGTCCTTGTATATAGAAGGTTATAAATAGTATTACAATACAAACCTGGTGAATATGACAATTTCTTTTTATAAATTTTGTTGACTTACTATAGTTTTCGTTGGATCAATTAAAGAAAAAAGTGCACTTGCTCTAGACTCTTTAATGCCAATCTGAGTCACTCAAATTATATTCATCTTCGTGTTCTTCACTATCATCGTTCTCAACTTCTGTACTTTCAGCACTGTTAATAGTACGTCCTCGTTGTATTTTATCTACCTTGACTTTTAGAGAAAAATAGAAAGTAGTTAAGCCTCATTAATACTAGGGAGACTGATTGCTTTTTATTTACATAGGTCTAATAAACCATTAAATTTTCCAGCATCTACTGGAAGCAAGCTTGTGTACAGTAAAGGTAGTTCCTGAAGCGTATTGTTTTACGATCTCATTCTCCGATAATTTTTCTTTGATTTTACAGCATAGTCACACTTATATTTCTTTTCACGAGGCACGTCTGAGGAAAAATGGACTTCCATTATCTTATTTATTTTCAGCTCTTCTCCACAATCGTCTTCGTTCCAATTTTCTGATTTTACCTTTTGTTTAAAACTAATGGATTCACGGCCAACCGCAGACAGCGCTGTTTCGGGCTCTTTAGCCCTCATCAAAACAATACAGGTCTGTAATATAGATCTGTGCAAACACGCGAGTGTCGTCTTAGAAAAACCAGAGGACTGTAGTAGTTGAATTCTCTGTTAAACTTTTAAATTTCACAGGCATGAGAGAAACAGATTGTGATGCGACAAATCCCAATGAATAACGTGCAGAAAAGGATGCTATGTTTGAACCTTTTTGTTGTGTTAAAAGAATTCATCTCTACTTATGAACCAAACTTGCCTTAATTCAACGGTTCAGCAACTGCACTTAACTTCTTTGCATCTGCCAGAATTATTTTGGTTCTTGAATACATTTTAGTTCGCTTTGAAAACTGCTCTTTTCATACAGCTACTACTTGAAACATTTTCGGTATTCATTACCATATGCTCATATCATATGCCGCGAAAATATGCTCATATCATATGCCGCGAAAATATGCTCATATCATATGCCGCGAAAATCATAATAAATCAGACAGTAGGTTTAGCAGTAAGTTCGGCTTTCCGTGATTTTTTGTGACTAAAGTAACTCACTTTGATATAGTTTTCGCGGGATCAATGGCCACTATTATACTTACTATATGACGTAGAAGATTTATTTGTTGCCTACAGTTAGATGGCTAAGATACCATATTCTTCCACCGAAGAGGAACCGTTAAAGTCTATCGATACCATATAGTAGGTCAAAAACAAGGATTTTTGAGATACTAGATATAGTCTCCGTTGCAGAGGTCGGTATAATCTTTTCATATTCTTTTCATCCAGATATTTGCTAAGATACTTGAATTTGTATAGTAAACGTCTCAAATTTATTATCAATATGTATATTCCATTTTAAATGGTTTGGAACGCTATCACACAAAGTGTTAGTTCGCCTCTAGTTTAGAGGCGGCAAGATAGCACAGCGATATGTCCAGGAAATGCTGGAACCTTATTTCTTGCCATTTCTTCAGATGCTGGAGGACCCTACTTTTCAACAAGATAATGTTCAAGTATGCCTCCTTCTACAGACATTTCGCCCATTGAATATATGTAGAATATGGTTCGAAGAATAATGACTGCATTACCTCATGCTCCACAAACACTAGCAGATCTTCAGAACAAAGTTCACGTAGCCTGTGATGAAATACCTCATTTTTTGGGTATTCTGTTCTTTTTGTTACTGAATACATGAATTTTTCATATCGCTAATTGAATAATATACTTAACATGATTTACAAATTCGTTGCTTACTTATTACAGGTAGCTGGACGCTACAAGTAGCAAATGAAAATTCACAATATTATCTTAAACTCAACATATAAAACTGATTTTAAAAGAAATGAACCTGATCTACTCGTAGTCTCACTCTGAGCTACAGACTGTAGCAATGTGTTCTTTCGATAAGATATTATTATATGTCAAGCGAAACATTGGAGTTGCCGCGGATACAGTCTGTTCACACAATTCACAAACAGAGTCTCATGTTATTGATTATTGAAATTTTTAGGCGAAGAATGGTCATACGTAAACACCGCCGATGAAAACTTTTGGTGAATATTATTTATAACACCTAAGTTCTATAGTTGTACATTCTAATAATAGAAGCAATAAGTGCTTTATTTTTATGAAATTGTCGGTTTTTCAAACAAAGTTCTTGAGTACAATGAATATTACCCTATAAACTGCAGTTTTAATTCTTCTAAAACCTGTATTATAATGTAAAGATTATTTTCTGTCCCAATGGATCATTCTGCTTGACCAATAAGCCAAAAGCAATCTTCAAAGTTGTGTGAAATTTATTGAAAACTTATTTATACACGATCAGACGTGAAGGCAAATAGAGAAATAGTGCGACTGCTATATGAATAAGAAGTATTAATCCGAATTTTGTAAATCCGATTGTCGACTGAAGAAAACCTCTTCCGTCAACCTGTTGTACATTCTTTGCGCGTTAGGACAGAGTTGTAATAGCAAGTAGAAGTTTGACGAGACCGACTGACAGAGCTAGAACCAGCATAAGAGAGATTTGCTACTCTCTGATGAGAAACTATCCACACTAGGAGTAGACAATAGACCTATAGACTATCTATCTATCTATAATTATGTCTTTGGTGTAAAGCAGTGTTTCCCAATTCTACTGACATTTTTTTTTCTGTACAGAGGAAAACTTTTCAGCCACTATCAACGAGAAAAGCTCAACAGTATCGCCTTGTTGGCCTTTCCTGCCCATAGTATGAGATTCTCCAGAAATGCGGCATACTCAGTAAAACCTTCCACTCGTTCGCTACACATCCCACCACGATAATGCTAACAGCGTTTCGTCATTGTGGGTAGCGTTGCATCTTAATACCGAAGGTATTCAATCGTCTTATTGCCAGCGTCATGCATATACCTTTGTACCTATATATATCTACAACCTAGCAAGAGGAAACATAGAGGTTCCTTGGTCTATGTTTACAATTCTGAACACCTTGTCCAGCATCATCAACTTTACTTTTGGTTGGGTGTCCGAAGTGAGCCTCTCGCAGAACGTCGTTTCCAACTGACTCTAATAGTCAATCCATATTCTGTGCAATTTAGGTAAATCGCGTACTCCCTCTTCCCTCTTCTACCATGACATGTGAGAAATTGTGCAGTATGACAATCTATCGGCACCGCTCCTTTGTCAATTCAAGTTTCTGGAAATCAGTTTTCTAGCCCATGCTCTATGCCCAGCTGTGCCCCATTTCTGCTGCCATCTATCAAAAACCGCCTCTTTTTAATCTTCTGTAGCTTTGGCGCCATTTTTATAGAGTATGTATCTCCCCTTAGCCAGCCAATTAATTGGCGAATACCAGCCACCACCAGCAGTACAACCATCGCAGACCACGCTTAGCACCACCTTTCGCTGCCTTCTGAGCATTATCCACCTATATTTCTCTTTCCTCGAGGCCTTGTTATATATACATAGGAGAGATAGGGGCAGCATACAGAGTAATCGCTTGCCACCTTTTCCAAAAGCCCTCTCAATACCGGGGCCTCCATCAGATGCCGTAAATTAGCTGTAAATTCTATTGATCTTAGCTGATATCAGCAAAAACAGACTATCCTTAGCGTTTTTGTAATATTTATGACTTTGATCTTTAGACTTTACCTATCTTCATATCTGATAGTTACAAAAAAAACATACGAATACAAACCTGCTTCTCGTTGTCAACTTCCAAGGCCTCGAATGTAAACGCACCCAAGACACAGTACGACACCACCATTGTCACTAGAGTGATATGAGAGAACAGGCAAGTTATAGTTTTCCACGAGTAGTGCAAGAAATTTGAACAAAAGCTAGGCTGCTCATAGTAACCGTCAGCATCACCACGATTGTACCGCGACATGATTCACACCAACATCTACTACACTTTCAACTTGTCTTACTTAATCTGATGGTACAGATGAAAGTATTAAATTAGATAAATCCATTTTCTCATTCTTTTTATTGAAGTATTCGATCTTTTTCTTGCAAAACGCAACACATCACTGTCGCTATTTTTACACTTATAAACCAGTATTGTGGAAATGAAGCAGACATACTTTCTGGATACTGAAATAGCTCTAAGTGTTCGAAAATAGCAGCGCTACGCTTGCTTATTGATGTTTCGTGTTATGAGCCTCATAAAATAACGCTAATGCATCATTTATTTTTGCTCTTGAGTATGATTATGCGAACGTAACTGATTACTGAAAAGTTATGTAATAAATATTGAATGTTTATTGCGAGTTACTAACCATATAAACGCAAACTTGACAGAAATAATTTTACATATCAATCATCGGCCTAGATATCTATTGAAGGAATTAAATATATTCCTGGTGAAACTTTACGTGGTAGAAATCTCAGTAATTTAGAATTTGAAAGTAACAAGTGACAGACCAAAATTTGTATATTATTTCAGATTCCAGCTGACAAAATCTGGTTAGGCTCGTAGACATTTCAGTAATCTATTGGGTGATTCATTTTAAGATACTCTTTGTCAAAAGTATAAGAAAAACAATCAATTGTACTGGTACTAGTTCAGCTTTATTATCAAACAAAAGGATACATCCATGACGTTCTTTATAGCTTCAGGACGTTCCAGGTAGGTCTCTAAAGACTTCCCACATTTCTTGATAGGTCGGCGGCTGATGATGAGCTGCCCTGCTGACCAGCGCGTAGATGAACCGGTCACCATCCGGAACGTACGGCACCTTCCCAACCTGCGGCTGTAGCTCTTCGAACCTCCGGTTCAGTAGATAACGTCGTTGATCCTCTTCAGAATTCCGTAAGGGCCTTCCCAGGGCCGTTGCAGCTTTGGATAAAGGCGTGTCTACCGTTGGAAATTGTACAGCCACACCAGGGGCTTGATTCTAAATGAGTTTCAACCGTTGAAATTGATTTCGATGCCGCCTTGTGATGATATACTTGAATAGCTATGATAATTTTGACACTGCCATGATAGTTTGAATATAGAAGATCAATATAATCAGATGTTAAAATTATCATAGCGAATCAAGTATATCGTCACAAGGCGCCATCGAAATCAATTTCGACGGTCGAAACTCATTTAGAATCAAGTCCCATGTCTGCCTGTTGATAGCCACCCTCCTCAGCATGGGAGTCGTAACGGTCTCTCGCTATTTTGGCCTGTCTTCGCACTTCCTCGTAGATCTCCGCTCCAGTTCGACTTCCAAACTGCATGCCACAACACTTTCGCTGGGGTCTGGCCCATGGACTCGTTGACTGAAGTCCCGTTCATCGTTTCCACCAGTCCGTCCGACTGGGGGTGCAACGCCCTTGTCCTGGTCTTTCTGATGTCCAGCTCCTCGCAGTATTTTTTGAAGAGCTGGCTCTCCCCTGGTTGGAGTGCAGCTCTAGCGGGACTCCAAATCGGCTGATGAGGTTGTCAACCAGAAGCATATTGTGGCAGCTTCTTGATTGGGAATATCGTACCCACTTTTTGAAGTAGTCCATAGCAACCAGGATGTATTTGTCCCCGTTCTCCGATTCTGGAAACGGTCCCGAGATGTCGATGAATATTATGTCGAATGGGCTGCCCACGTTGTACTGCTGCATCGTGGCGTTCGGCTGCCGCAGCAGTCCATTGCTCGCGGAAAGCGTTGTGCATTTCCGATACCACTGCCTGATCTTTCCAAGGATCTTCTTGGCACCACCAGTTGCAGCTCCTGCAAGACTCATCTTCGCTCTCTACGGCATATTATGAATTTTTGAAATCAGTTATAAAGACTATATTCACCTGCGCAAAAGTTAAATAAGGCGTTCATGATGAAAAACAAAGATGATTGTTGACGACTAGAGACGAAACGTCATTGAAATTCTAATTGTGTCACATAGTAGAAGAGAAAAGTTTGAATAAGCAATTTTGAAATCCCATCACAAAGTCGGGAAAAACATAAACGATTTTGGGAAAAATCGGTATATCTCGCCTCTCTCCTATTTGCGAAAAATTTGGCATACATTTATACTTCTGGACAATAGAAATCACATGTGTTAAAAAAAACTTTGTAAGCGTTTCAGACCCAACGGTGACCTTCAAAACATGACTGACAATATAATATAATTCTTTGCATGACAATACACACAATGATCCAGATGCAGCATATATTCTACAGACTATCTCGGCATTCTGCATGCAACAAAGCATGCTGAGAAACTGACTTGCAACTGGTCATTCCATTTCAGTTATGTACTTACCTGGTGAGATTAGGTTTGCGCTCCCTCTGCAAGGACCCTTTCATTAGAGAGATTAGAGATTTTTCCCGAGATCCCGTAGAGAACCGGAGCGGGAACAGTGGAATTTCACCTTCCTCTCGAAGTTTTGACAGTTTCAAGTTACACCGGGAGTGGTTAGATGACGCATGTTGCGCAAAATGTTTGCTTTAAGCTCCTTGATGAAACTTAGCTACTTTGTTTGAATCCGAAATAAAAAGGTCGATCGTTTTTTGTGCAATGTACGAGTACATACAGGACGTGTTCCTCCATTTATGATTTAATAATTTAACTCAATTTTCCGCACTGCGAAGACAAATTTTCAATTGAGCTGTCGCTAGTACCTCACAGACGTTTGACGGGTACCCGTACCACGTGATTTTTTTATTTATTTATTTATTTAAACTCTTACAAACACATTTGAATGTAGTGACATGTACGAGTGCTTACTGGCTAGTAGAGAAACAGAGAATACACAAAAACTTCTAAAAACAACGACAAAGGAAAACTATAAAACTTAACAAACAAATAAAATGAAATAAGGATGTTTTACTTAAATTTAAAATCAGTCTTAATTTGTCTCACAGTAGTCGACAGGAGATCCACATCACAATTTTGTATCTAACTGTTACATTCATACATCATTCTATTGATAGAAGAACAACTTACAGGTGAACAGTGAAAGAGTTCGTTGCCTCTTATTCTCTAGTTGATTCTAGGAACAGCAAAGAATATATTATTTATTAGGGAACACTTCTTATATTTTAAATTATTAACTATATAGTAAATGAACAAGATATCATTCAAACCTCGAATAACGCTCAACCGCACAATTTCAAATTCTGTTAGCATACTGCTATAAGAGATCATGTATGGATAAGCATTGTGTGTCCTTAAGTACAGATATATATCTTAAAAATCTTTTTTGTCTCCTTTCGATCATATCAACATGCACCATTGTTTTGGGTGTCCAGACAACAGAGGCTCCAAAACAAGTCGGACCAGTGAGTTGTACAAAATTATTATAGACTTAGTTTCTTTAAAGTGCTCTGTATTCCTTATCACAAAACCCAGGATCCTATATGCTTTGTTTACAATATAGTCCAAATCACGAAAGATGACGATAACGTCATCATTTCAGTCTGTAGTAAAGACAAACGACAACGATTTGTGAAAATTTTTAATGAAGTTTCAAATATGTTAGACAGAGACAAGAAAAATTTTATTGTCTAAACAAATTGTATTACTAATTTGCATGTATCCGAGAAAGATAGACGATGTTTTCATCTTGCGTAATCGATCATATTTGAAAGATGAATAGTTAGGTTATGTTAAAGCAGGTTAGGTTGTTTTCGAATCATACTTTGGTCTTTGGTGTTAATGTCTTGAGGTGTATTCTACTCATACCTGTTTTTTTAAAAACAAAAACTCAACATCAAAATTATTATCAAGGTATCTATCACTTAAAATCATGAAATAAAATGAAAATAAAAGTAATCAGTGGAATAACCTAACTTCGAAAAATCGTAACATTTATAAATCCATGACATCGTGAATTTATCATTGACGTAACGTCCATTGATTATTTCAGTACAATTTATGGTATGACGCAATAGTCATCTTTCGTGATTTTGACCATAGTTTCATAATGCTGTACCACGTGATTTTTTTACATTCGGATGACGTCAGATATCCGTCTTCCGCTATTCCCGTTCTTCGCGAAAATTTGAGTATCGGTTCCCGGTAGTGCACTGGTGCTACACGACCTAAAGTCCCACGGTCTGTTCGGTATGCACAGATGTCAGGACAGATCAGCTGGTCATTGAGCGTGTCGTTGTCATTCGTCCTTCTCAGATGACGCTTTTTGGTGACGTTCACAGCGCTCATAGCGAGCAACAGCGGAATGAACTATTTCCACACTAGGAACTATAGCTAGTCAGCAGGTTGACAGTTTTTTTCACATTATATAGGTTTTTACGAAATAACCCTGCCGGTGGTGGGTGATATTCCGCCCTTCGATCTGGCAATCAGAGGAAACTGGAATTGTTGAGACTCGCGTCTGACAATTAGACGTATAGGTGATGGAAAGTAGGTTGAAAGCTAACCGATGGACGGCACACTTATTGTCCTATTATTTTTAGTGTGCCTTCTACCTCTCGTTTTTAATCAGTTTTTATGGTAGATATATTATTCAAATACGGTCCTGCCTAGTCAAACAGAACATAATCGGAACATCAACTCGGAACGATAGAATAGAACTCGTCTATTCGAATGAGAATCCATCGAAATGCTCGCTCTATGCTGTGGCCTTGACACACAGTGCTGCCACAAGCCGTCAGCTTTGACATTTCGATTTTGATAAACAAAAATTTACTACATAAGGTTGCCATTTCTATTTTGCGAAATGGCTGCCGTTTCAGACTTTTTTTCTTTAGGTAGTGTTGTTTGGTGTAGAACTTGTTATAATCAAGAGGTTGAAGGAGAAGTTTTAGCATTTGACCCACAAACGAAGATATTAATCCTAAGTATCCTTTTACTGGCTTTTCTAAGTGAGACAAAGATGATTGCATACTCTCGGTAAGGGAGGTTTACAATGTTTTTTGTCACGTTTCTGTTGCCCCAATTACTCTAATGCTAATTTACGCTCTACAATAAATGTAATTTTTTCAAAAGATAAAGCTTCTATTGATAATTGCAATTTCATTGTTCATCCATTACACTACAATCTAATGTTGACTGTTCAGCCATATTTCTTCAATGAATATTGTAATTATAAACATTTTCCTTAATATTTGAATAGAATGCACTTCATCAAGTGGAGATGCAAAGCTAAATGACGTTCATTTTGTTAATTTATCATTGGTTAGCGAATTACAAGTCAAGAAAGAAGTCACAAATGTACCAGAAACACCACAATCACTGAACCTCCAAAGGGTATGTATGATTTTTAGTTCCATAAGTCACTATTTGCTATCTCTGCATGCAATCGCACCTCAAACTATAAACTATACCTTTTACACTACACACTATTAAATAATTATTTTTGATCTCTGTGGTGACATATATAACAATTGAATTTTGACAATCGGTTTTAGCTGAGAATAGACCAAAGATTAATATTTTTTACTCCTACTTTTTACACTACACACTATTAAATAATTATTTTTGATCTCTGTGGTGACAAATATAACAATTGAATTTTGACAATCAGTTTTATCTGAGAAGAGACCTGAGATTAATATTTTTACCCCTACTTCCTTGCAACCAACTTCATCAGAAAGTGATCAGAAATAACATTAGTAATATTTACTCATCAAATGAGTGTGGTTCTTAGATGACCCTGTGCCTCATACAAAAAGTTGTAATGAACTATTCTAACTAAACTAAACTACTCTACTTAGTAGTAAAATATAAAGCTTTCATTTGACTACATAGATGGCCAACTATGGACAGCTGTTTCATGCTACTTGGCAACTACTCAGCATGGTGGAGGCTTAGTCTCAGTGGACAACGAATGAAAGCTGAACAACTCTACTTTATTCATAGTATAAGGTTTATTGAAATAAGACTGAACAAAATGTTATCTATTATCAGAACTGATCACTGGGAAAGTGAAAACACCATGCTGATTATTGGATTTGTATCCCAGTTTAGATTGCCAGCCTACACCATGCTGAGAAGTTGCCAAATAACATGAAACAGCTGACCATAGGTGTCCGTTTATATGGACAGACTTACGAAAGCTATATTACTAATTTGTTCAATGCTGAGTAGACCATATCTGCAAGATTTTTTTTTTAAATTCCATTTTTGAAAAATTAGAAACCCTACATTTACTTTGTATAATCTTTCTCAAAAAAATGTATTGAAGTTGCAAAAATGCTATTTTCATTTGATCAAATGAGAATATTATTATGGAAGATCAATGGCATACTGGAATAAAAAATCAGTATTGGTTAGTCACCTAAAGTGACAAGTGAAAGTATCATTTTGTACACTTTTTGTTTGGGAGACAAAATAGTTTTTACCTGATTTTCATATTTACCTTTTTCAAGAACTTATATTTGAGCTAGTATAAGCAATACTTTCTTACTTTTGTGAATACTTGAAGAAAAACATTGAAACACATAACTAACAAAAAATATAGCTTATTTATAGCAAATATTTATGGTATGAAGTTTCATATTTTGCATTTTCAACTTCCACTTCTCTTTAGTAATGACTTTTCTTATTTTTCTTATTCTTTTAATGTGCTGACAATATACTGTTACAGCTAAACACACGAGTGAGAAACCAAGTTGATGAGAAAAAGCGTATGTTACAAGCAATATCTGCAAATGTCAGTTCAGAAGGACAGAGTTTGTTTATTGCCATAGCTAAAACAATAAGTGAAGTTAGGTGGTGCAACTCAGAAATTGTTGTGTGGAATCAGGAGGTAATAATTCCATAACTATAATTTTCAATTTTTATTTTTAGAACTGCCACAGTATGTCTATTATAAATTTAAACCATGTTAGTTATGAGCCGAACACTTGTTTCCAGTTGTTAAGTTCAGTTAAGAAGTGGGTTATAATGAACTAGACTAAACCTGTGGCTCAACTCATGTGGAAGTAGTAAAAAATATAGGTCATACAGTAGCGGACAAAAGTTTGGAAACATTCTTAGTAATTTTTAAGAAGTGCGTAATTTTTTTATTATTAAGGTCTATTTCTTTTCTCATATAGTTTGCATACAGTCTTGAGGATACAAATGACAATTTGTGTTTGCTGTGTTACTACAAACTAGCATTAAAATACCTTCATATTATTTTATGACCAAAAATGATATGACAAAAGTATGGAAACATATTTTTTATTACAAAATTAAATACATTAACACTACAAAAAGATTTAAACAATACTGTTTAGCTAATATTTGGTAGCATAGCCTTTAGCATTCAACACTGCCTGACATCTGCTGCTCATAGAAGACACCAATTTTTTTACAGATGTCTGTTGGGATATTGTGCCAAATATTTTTTACATAATGAAATAAATCTTTATTTTTAAAAGTGTTTCTTGACAGATGTTTTTTAACATGCTCCCAGGAATTATCTATAAGATTTAGGTCTGAGGATTGCTAAAGGCATGTAAGAACATTTTTTAGTCTTAACCAATCCTTTACAAATTCTTAGGTATGCTGTTTTTGATCCATTTTCCCAACAATTTTAACAATTGGACCCATTCCAGAACTAGAAAAACAGCCCCAAACCATGATGTTGCCTCCACCATGCTTAACTGTTGGCAACTGATACTTTTTGATGAATCTTTGTCGTATTAGACGTCTCACATATGCGGTACCGTCAGATCCAAACAAGTTAAATTTGCGTTCATCACTCCATAAAACTGTATTCCATTGTTGTTCTGTCCAAATTAGATGAGTTTTACCAAATTCAAGCCAAGCAATACGATTTTTTTTAATGAGATGCTTTCGCACTGGACGCCTACCAATAAGCCCAAAATCAACCAAGCCTCTCTGCACTGTTCTGACAGAAAGATTCTCGGCACCCTCTTCTACGATTCTTTTGAAAATCTGTGTGGCTGGCACTCGAGGATCTTCTTGAGACAAACATTTAATGTAGCGATCCAAAACATAATCTTTTTTTTTTTTTTTGTCTTCCGCACGTGGGCCGCGTTGTTGTGTATTCTTGACATTTTCTAATAATTTTCGAATCGTCCCTTTGTTCATTTTTAATCTTTGAGAAATGTCAACATTTCTAACACCACTTCTAAATAATTCAATTACTTTGTCTCTTAAATCTTTTGAAAATTCTTTTACTGCATTGTTTCCATACTTTTGTCGTTGCCAAAACTGTGTTATTTAAAAAACCGCGTGTTTTTATTTTCAGAGAATTTGAATATTGATAAGATAAACCTTGTATTAGTACAGGAGTCAAAGGTAGACTTTAATATTTATATTATCTGTTCCTTCACAATTTTAATTTAGGTATATGAAATAGTTCATAATAATGTTAATATTTGTTTCCAAATTTTTGTCTGCTACTATATGTTACATATCAGTGTGAAGGAGATTGGTGTCAGGCAAAGAAACACAATATTCAAAGTTCATAATACAATAGTTACTTTGACATTAACATTTTTTATCCAACGTTTCGATGCAAAAATAAATTAAGTTCAATGTTTTGCTTTTTTATATCCTCGGGAAAAACTATTTGAACATCTATCTGATCTCAAAATGTCCTTGAAGTTCATAGTCAGGTTCATTGGAAATGATATACTTGAACTTAAAATTGTCTGCAATCTACACTTAATTTAGTGGTCGGTAATATTCACTAGACAAAATTGCAGGTTAGCTGATTTCTGTTCCTACATTAACTGGACTAATTTTACACTGATAGCTTTTTTCAGTGATATATTTAGAATTTAATTACATATAAGATGATGAGATAAGATTGAGAAATAACAAAAGATGACTTCAGAAAAAAATAGTACAGTCCCAAAAGTAGCTGTTTTCGAAAAATTCTTTAAAATAGTGACAACTAAAAAACCGTACACAATAGGATATGGTTTTTCTGATTGGAGATTAATGCGGACATTGACACTTATGCTGTTCATTCATTTTGCTTGTACAGTCTTGAATCATCATGCAAGATGTGTGTGTGTGTACCAAATCATCTGCTTTTGTTGTTGCATTCCATCATTTACTTGGCATGAGTAAAATCAATTGATTGTCGATTTTTACGCGTGAACCAACATGCTTGAGTAAAAGACTGTCTGTACGCTTGATATCAACATAATGTTTAATTCCACATATATAACCTATTTCACGAGTATCCATCACGGTAGAATGACAGCTGATTGTCTAGTAATATCTCAAAATTCCAACATACTGGCACATGACACATAATCCGTCAACGTCAGGTAGACGGAGCCGAATTTTGTTTTGTTTTTTTGTAGGCTACAGATTCATTTTGTACTTGCTCTAACAGCTCTTTTATTTAGAAAAGTTGAAGACTAACACAAAAGTGTCACTTGCTGATCAGCTGTTCACCTCAGAAGACGTCAAGGCGTGATGGATACTCGTGAAATAATGTATATACTTCATCTTGCATAATAACTTATACTTGCAAGTAAAATGTTCAAGTGGCAGGAGTGCCTTTGCCAGTTTTCAGTACAAGAAAAGTAAAAAGAGATATTGGTAATCATTTACATCAGCAAAATCACTCAAAAAATGCTTTTGTTATTTCAGGTTATTATAAGTCCGCCTTATCAGTTGGAAAATATACGAGGAAATTCAAGCAGTAAAGAATATACTTATATAAAGAAAGTGGTAGGTTACCAGATATATTAGTAAGTTACCTCTAATAGTATAGACAAATGTATCATAGTGGGGAAAAATCAGTGATAATTGTTGCAACCTAAGTGATTGCTGACAATGTATTTACTACAATTACATGCACACCTCAGAAGAGCGAGTTTTCTGAATAAATCAAATACATAGAAGCATCTAATGTTAGTGCCAGTAGTAGCAGTATGTTCTAATGAATGTGAGCAATGACAACATTCATTTACACTTTGCTTGACTTGTGTAGTATTCATGGTAACTTATGACCTGTTGGCGCATTATTGCGACCGAAAATTGTACGTGATTTGCGAACTGTTTCCGCGTAATGTTCTCCATTTTGTAGTGAGTTTTCACAATGATGGACAAGTTTACCATTTTTTTGTTATTAGCTCAAATGAAAGTTTAGAAAAAAATTTGGATACCGAAGCAGCCGCGCAGGCAGAAGCCAAAATGCCGGAACACCGCGGCTGCTATGATGATCCCAAAGAAATTTTGTTAATACGATTTTTGAACTGCCTAAGGTTAGTAGAACTGGGAAAAGCTTCCTCTTGTAGACTGTTCGACACCCTCGGGGCAAAGGAGCGGTCGTATCGGCCAGTTCTGGATGTATGAAGTTCGACACGGTTAGGATGGGACGCCAAAGTCAGGCGGGTCTAACTGGCAGGCGCATCGCGCGGCGGCATCATGGAATAGAGGAGCAAAGCCCGTTGGCGTAGCGGTAGAAAAGAGCTAGATCGCCGACAGCCCACCGGTGCCGGTGGTTTGTTAGAGAAGCGTCATCTATCAGTCAGACCACCCTCCTCTGGACAGCATCGAGTAAAGATAATGTAGTCGGGGCGAAAGCACTCCAAACGTGTGAGCAATACTCGAGGCTAGGCCTTATCTGGGCCTTGTATAGAGTAAGGTCATGTGGCGAAAAGTACTTCTTAGCCCTGAACAAATAGCCTAGCTTTTTCTCAGCAGCTGCCGCTATTGACGAGATGTGTTCGTGGCAGATCAGATCCTCGGTGATCTGGATTCCGACCAGCCGAAATGAATGGCTCTTTGGCAGAACTCGGCCATCCATCGAAACCAGATAAGCGCTAGGACGCTTTTTGTTCGTCAAAGTACAGTACTGTGTTTTGGAAGTATTAAACTGTACAAGATTGTTGCGTCCCCAAGCAGTGATAACCTCCAGGTCTTTCGTCGCTCAGCGGCTTGTCACTCTGAATTCCTGCATGTAGAGTGCTGTCATCAGCGAAGTTGTGGATTCGGTTGATGGTGCAGGAAAGGAGGTCGTTGATATGTAAGAGGAACAGCGTCGGAGCCAAGACCGATCCCCGGAGAACACCCACGTTGACGTTGTGGGCTGAAGAGGAGAACCCGTCAATTACGACGGATATCTTGCGGCCAGAGATAAAGTCAGCCACCCATCTGCAACGCTTTTCTGGGAGGCCATAGGATGGAAGTTTGCTTAAGAGGGCTGCGTGCCTCAGGTGATCGAACGCTTTCGTGATGTCAAGAATAACGACATGAGCCTCTCCATAAGACTGGATGAGTTTACTCCACAATTGCGTGACGTAAGCTAGGATCGTTGGTCCCGGAAACCATACTGCCTGTGTCGCTAATCAAGCTGTGACGTTCGAGGTTTTCCAGAAGCTCGCGATTTATGCATCTCTCCAACACCTTATAACAGAAGGCAGAGCTATAGGCCTGTATTTATAAGGTTCGGACTTAGATCCTTTCTTTGGGATGAGTTGGACATGAGCAAATTTCCATTTTTCTGGGAAGGTGCCGCTGCACACCTCTTCAGTACAATGCCTGGAATCAAGTCGAGACCAGAAGCTCTGTTGATGTCGAGCGACCAGAGCACTCGTCTTACGGTCTTATGCCTAAATGCTACCTCCCGCTTAGTGTAGGGAACACTTTGAATTGACGGCACTTGGGCGTTGGGAGGGACGTACATGGTGGAGTTGGCAGCAAAGATCTTGGCAAGTACTTCCGCTTTGGCCTTTGAGTCGGATACAATCGTTCCATCCTGAGACGTAAGTGTACTGCGTGAGAAGTTCTTTTCAATCTGCTTGGCCAGCGTCCAGAAAGAAAGACTGCCATTGAGCTGCGACATTACCCTGTGCCTAACTTTTATATCGTGCTGGTTTTTGGCATTGCGAACCGCTTCGTTATATTTGTTTCTGTACTCGACGTCGGCTTGTCTGTTCTCTAAAGTGGGGTTTTGTAAGACGGTTCTGTGTGCCTTGATCTTCTGCTGGCGAGCTGTGTCACTCGATTCGTTAAACCAGCCATTGGACCCTAGTTTAAGCACTTTCACTGTGTGAGGGATGTAACCCTCCATTCCAACGTGGATAATTTCGGTTATCGAAGAACAGACAGCCGACGCATCCGCGTCAGTGAAACAGACATCTCTCCAAGGAAATGTAAAGAAGTTTCTGAGCCCCTCCCAGTCGGCATGTCCGTAATGCCAAGCTTTGCGGCCTGTGCAGCCACAGCGGATTCTGACCGAAACTTAACCTCCACAACACCGCGGTCTGAGTTACCCAGGGAGGACAGGACAGCAGTGCTGTAACGGACAGGATGCGTGGTCAGAAAGAGATCCATCAGGCTACTTGCATGTGACGAGACTCGAGGGAAAAAAGTAGGGTTCGTCACCAGCTGGGTGAGGCCTTGAGTAAAAGCGAACGCTTCGACTACACGACCTGCTGCATCGGTCTTATTTGAGCCCAACCAAAGCTCATTATGGGCATTGAAATCACCGAGAAGAACTACCTCTGATGCGGGGTGATTGATGTTCAAGTAGGTCATCCCAGTTATGGCCCGAGGAAGAGCGATAAAGACAGCAAATAAATTTGGGTGATGTTTTGGAGTTGAGGTGAAGGCACAGAATGTCCTTCTGGTCTGATTCCAAAGAAACATCTCAGATTGGAATGCACCTCGTAATTTGGGATGTTAAGATGGTTAACCGGTGCAGAGTCTGAGATTTTTGTCTCCGCCAAGAAAAGCATGGCAGGCGATTGGATTGCAGGTAGTGATGAACAGCATCAATGTTGCTGTAAATCCCCCCAGATGTTCGTAAAACAAATTTTATCTTCGATGTTGTTCCTTCGAGCTCACCCTCTACCCGGAAATTCTGAGAGTGGAGTGAGTTTACGTCCGGAATTCTTGGTGCTCGAGGGATCCATCATCATTAATTTCTTTGTTTTGGAAGATAAGCACCTGCATAGCTTAGGTTTGGAAACATGCGGACATTTATAAGACACCCTCGGAAAAGCTAGCGGGTGGTACTGCCTCGGTCGACTGGTTCTTGTCTACCGCCTTCTTTTTGCGTCTTAATGATATTAAATAGACCTAAAGTGGCCCGTTGGCGGACTTGTACCGCCACCCGGCAATCTATACTGAGGATTTCCTTAACGCTTGTACAATCTCTTGAACGGGAAGAAGTTGAATACTGGATACAACAACTTCCGGAACAAGCATTTGCCACAGCCCCGCTCAGTAATGGTACAAATGAAATCAGATGGTGAAAAAATTATCAATTTATTTCTAAAAACAAAAAGTTACAGCCTTTCAAAGTTGCGCCCCGCGAGAATATTTTTATTCCGTCTCTACTGTACGCGTGACGTCACACTTCAGTATCCAGTTGCAACGCCCGCAGCCGATTCCTGAACCCGAGCCAATTCAATCTCCTAAACACATGCATAGGCACACATACAGCGAGACACATGATAGGCTAAACATCTTTCGCCCTAATTTGTTATGAGTAAAATAAGAAAAAAAGGTTGTTATAAATGCTGTAACGTTCCAAAATGTACGAGCACAACAATTACAATCCCTAATAAACATTTTTTCTACGTACCTTCACATGAAAATAGGGAAGAAATGGTGCAAACTTATGAAGCGTGATTTGATTGGACCAAAAAGTACAACATATATGTCTGTGAGGACCACTTTGATGCGAGTAGATCACTTTACTATTTATTTATGATTATTAGTTATTTTATGATTTCCAAGCTCACTTCACTGTACACGCGGCATTTGGAGGGGAAATATTTATCACCTAATATTACAGGTCACTTATTTCAACTCAGCGAGAATAGATTAGAGCTACTATAGTTTCACGTACCCCCTAAAAAGGCGTCAAGTAGGTTGACTCTACTGAGTGCATGTGCAATGTTATTATATACTTTGATGAGATTTTAGAAAAGTATCGTGTTATATTCGCAAATATGTACTCATATTAAGCATCAACACTAATTTGTTTAAAACCTCAGTAGGGTGTCGCACATTTTGCCGCTAGTTGTGATAATAATAATAATAATAATTAAGGTCTTTTATTTGTAATATTCTTACAGGAGGCGAGATTTAGATTCTATATCTATTCTACCATCTATAGATCATGTAGCAGTAGACATAAATACTTACTTCCAAAGTCTCACACCTTTTATTTACGCGCTTGTATATGATGGATTTGAAGAAATGAATTCCATCACTGCATAAATGTCAATTTTGGGCAAATTGTCACTTAACCCTTTTACAAATCCGGATTCCATAATGGTATGAACTTATGCAGTACTCAATAGTTATCAACTGAAAACCACGTGCCCGAGCGCTATCGAACACCTACGCGACGAGGCGTTGGGCTCTAGAGAAGTGTGGCGTCAGACGCGAAAGAACGGCAGCAATGATTTCTCGCTATAATGTATCAATTTCTCTGTCATTTATTGGCAGATTTCAATAATTTTTTCGCTGGAGGATTATATATATTTTGCTGGTATGTCATTACTTATGCGATTCTGAATATCACGAAACTTCTCCATTAAACGTTGCTCGTTTGAATACTGTTCCATGACGTTTAATCGCGTGGTCTGGACATGAAAGCTGTCATCAAGTAAACACCATACCATTTGTACAAAAAGAATGGGGGCAAATTCAAATCCGGCGCTCTTGTCGAGACACCCTTTATTTGGTTAGTAATTTTTTGAATGCAATCTAATAGCTTTTAATTTTTTACAGGTAGAGAAACACATGAAGGATTTAGCTTTAAACAATCAGAATAATCAGTCAGTTTGTCAGAACAATAGTACTTCGCATTCTTCACAATAAGGATTAAAGAAAATTAGATAATTTATTATCTACAGTCTACAGCATACCATACCTCTTATCATAATTGATTTTTCACTGGACATTTTTGTATTGATTGCAAATATTTCAAAAACTGAAAAGTATCAACAATTTTGTTATATTTATTTTTTTTTTACAAAGAAGCTTTTGTCTTTGATAGTGAGTACAACATAAAAACCTATTTAATTTTCAATAAAAGATAAATCTCATCCGTTTTTCTTTTCTGTAAATGTTAGTAACAATTTTCAGGTTATTAATTTTGTTTGCTTTTTGTATAAAATTTAATAAAGTTATTTTTGTCTTTGTTCATTCGTCTTTTTTCAGACTTCATCGTTGTAAGCAGTTTAAATTTTTTGTATAGCAAGTTAAATTTTCTTATATTGAAAATCGTCCAATACCTTTAAAAACCGATTTAATATGTGAGAAATATCATGAGCTGAATGTGGAAAACATTTTCTCGCCAAACCTAGTGAAGGCATTTGACACTCATAATATAGAAAAAAATATATGCACAATCGTTTAGCACGTAATGTTCTTTTACGGCATCACTCTGTGAGAAAAAAAGCTGGGTATGGACATGTGTAACAGAAATTAAAACGGATCAAGTCAATCAAGCAAACCCACACAATTAATTCATGGATACTCTTTCCCTGCCCTACCTGTAGTCCATCTGGCAACGCCACCTCTCCCCGATACCTGACTGCACAACATGGTAGTAAGGCTTGTAATCTTACCAATATTTGCTGGTGATCCCAGACAGCAGAAGCAGTGAATCGTATCGGTAGATGCATATAACTATAGAGATTGGAAGCGTATAACATACTTTCATCATAAAAATGGAGATAACCCTGCCTCCATTTTTTAATCCATCAAGTCAGTCGTTTCGGCTGAGCTGTCTGTCTAGCCATTAGATATGACTCCATAGCTCTGAAAGTAGGTGGTCATTATTTTTTGAATTTTGGGTAGAAGCCGAATAAAGTTGTATTTTTAACACTGTATATTTTTATGTGAAAACGGTAGTTGCTTTTCAGATTCCAAATATATATTATGGTTTATGTCACTTTACTTGATTTGTGTATGTCATTCAGTCATATGTATTTTCGGCTACATTGCATAGGCAGCTAAAAATTAAGTTTTTGACTATAATAATAAAAAAAGTATGTGAAGTATACTCTATTAAAAAAAATACAATTTGATTCAATAGCACTTTTTAAGTATACAAAAATAGATATTGTATGAATAATTTGACCCTATGACTTTTTGAGCCTTTTCTTCTAAATGGTCATATTAGGGCTATGTCCATGTTTAAAGTAAGAACTGATTGCGCACCTTGTCAAGTGACATCCGTTCAACCTCATGCACTCTTGGCCAATCTCTTACTACGCTGCCATAATTTCAAGTTGGTTTTGTAACTATACTGCTTTGTTTGTCACAGTGTCAATCAGTAAATTTGCCGAACGTGAAATGCGATTACTAATTTCATTTTTAAACACAAAAAAGTTCGTCCTGCTTAAATTCACCGGCAGTTTGTTCAAGTCATTATTGAAGCTCACGCGCTATTCAAAACCGCCGGCGGGAGATGCTCTCTAGAGGCTTCGTTCTGCTTCCCAACAGTGCTCGCCCTCACGTTGCGGCAGGAACTCGGAGGCAAACTGTATAAAAGTCGATGGGAATCAATGGATCATACAGCCCTGACTGAGCACCATCAGATGTCATGTTTTTCTAAAGCTTAAGTAATTTCTTGATGGAAAAACGTGTTGAAAGAAAAAGTTACTGTTCTTTCAGTCGTCGAGGCCGGGATCCAAAAGCGGATGACAGGAGTTGAAAAATGGTTGAATATTTATTGTGACTATGTTGAAAAGTGACAAAAATCATATTTTAGTTTGTGAGCGAATTTACGTTCTTGTGCTTCGCTAACTGCGTTACAAAACGGTTCTTATTCAAAAAATGACACTCGTACAAAAAAGTTTTAACGCATCCGGGCGTAATTAAATATCCTCAGGGGCATACTACTTATTAAAGGGAATATGCGTGTTTTTTATTATTATCTGTCGATTACCAATTACGTTGATATTTTACCGTAAACACATGTTCCATTCAGTAATGTCTGTTGTATTTATTAATTAAAAATTTGTAAGTGCAGTATCAATCTCGTTTATTTAAACACCGCAATTTCCAGGCGCCTCGCAATGACCTAAGGTCCCACACGGACCGCTCTGCCAACCAACAATAACTTGACTTCGCAGTCAAGTTCTAGTTCTAAAAGGTTCTTTTTTAAATCCTCTAGTTTCAATTGGAAAAGTGCATATTTAAAGAACGGAAACGTTTTATCATAATTACTGTAGTGTGTCAATGTGTAAAAGTAGGGACAACACCCGATAAAATATTTTGTCATATTGCCCGAGATGCTAAGATTACAAAAGAAAAGTAGTGTAAAATTATGGAAAAGGAATAATATATCTCCAAAAAGTATTTCATATTGTTGTGAAGATCATTTCAACGTAAGTACAGTACACGGTACTACCAGATTATTTCCAAAATGAGATTAGTTTTTACTTACCTCAGAATACAGATTTTTTTTTCACTTGCTACTTGAAAGTGGGGATTCCGCGGCAACCAATACCTTGGAACTGATCAAACTGATGGTTCGACAATCAGCGACAAAGGATTGGCTGTTCACTTCCCGATATCATGCCGTCACGCCAATAGCGTTACGTTTTGATATTTTATATTTGCCAGGTATTTGTCTCATTTTTTAATTAATTAATACTCGTAAATTTATAACGCATAAGAATAAAATAAGATGTTAAAGTGGCTTTCTGTAGCAATATAGACTGTAAATAAAACTAAAAAACCATATTCCCTAATATGCGATTTTTCACATTCTCAGAAACCGTAATATATTTTACGTTCCTCTTAAGCCGCGTGCATACCGAAAATCCAACACCGAGCAAACGAATGCAAGCACATGTGACGTTGGCGTTTGTTGTTGGAAGGTATTCGAATGCGCTCATAGTAGCTAACATACTAATATTATCTGTGGAATCGGGCGCACACTCGATTTGACCCACAGAGATGCTTGGTGTTAAGCTAAATAATTTTATAATATACATGTGCATGTGGTTATATTATTCTTGTCACATCCAAATAATGAAATGACACTTACAAAACAAACTAGAACAAAGGAAAGTCCAAAAAAATCAATATTCATAGATTTTGTCCGGGTTTTGTTTGAGAAGTGTATTTACAGGAAATATGCTCAAAACCTGTACTAAAAAATTAAAAATTTGAAACAAAGAGGTATTTACATATATATACATATTTACATTTAAAATTATGGTACATATTTACATTACAGAGATTCCGAAAGAATATACCGATAAATTAGCCCATGCTTTCTGATTTTACCATCCAGATGTGATTGGGGTATATTAGCAATCAGTGGACATTTCCCTATTGTGTGGGAGTAAAATTTCTCGGTTTGTGCTTTAATGACCTGTAAGATAGTTTTGAATCTAGTGTCCTGTTGCATTAGATTTTGTTTTATCTGATGATAAAAGCCATAAAGGAGAACAGGCCTAATAACCTGTTTATATATTAGTAGCTTGATGGACGTATGAATTTTACTAGTTGGGCATATTAACGGGTAAAGGGTCTTCAGCATACCGTTAGCTTTCATACGTATCGTCTTGATGTGGTTTTGAAATGTCAGTCGTTTATCTATCGTAATTCCCAGGTATCTAGCGGTTTTACTTTCCTGAATTTTTGCGTTTTTCACTGTGAGGGGCCTAAAGATTTTGATTTTATAGGAAAATTAACTGTACAATTTAGAACTTCGGTTTTATCTGCATTTATTTTGTTCGAAAAACGGAAATGATTTTTCTGTTGATGTGAATGTCTACCTGCCTACATGCTACCTCAGATTGAACTGCTGAAGCATAAATACAGGTATCATCGGCATAAGGTACAGTATTGGTGTTTTCAAATTTTGGTAGGTCTGATATAAACAGAATAAAGAGTACCGGTGATAGTGAAGACCCTTGCGGAACACCTGTGTTCATATTAAAGCTCCCGTAATTATTGTTGTTAATTCTTATAGAAAACTTTCTTGAGGACAAGTATTAGTCGATCAGATTTACTAGATATGAGGGAAACCCGAAGTCTGCTAACTTTTCTATTAGTTTGTCTGTCCAAACTTTATCAAATGCTTTTTCTATATCTAACAAAGCAATTATTGTACTTTTACCATCATTGAACCCTTCCTGGATATGGTGCATTACTCTAGCTATTTGGCCCATTGTTCCGTGGCCTGCTCGGAACCCAAATTGTTCCCTAGGTAATATTTTGAGTTTTTCTTCTTCTTTAAGTAATAGGCATAATATGCAAGGATCTATCACTTTGGCGATAGTACTTAATAATGAAATAGGTCGATAAGAATCAGGTAGGTGGGGATTTTTGTTGGGTTTTAGTATAGGGCATATTATTGTCTTTTTCAATGGTTCTGGGTAATACTGAAATCGGATTACTGCATTAATAATGTTTGTAAACTGTGTAATGGCTTTGTTAGACAGATGTTTTAGTGTTATTTTATCAATACCGTCTGCACCCTGCTTGGGTGAAACGGTAAGATTTCTTAAAACGTGTTTTTGAATTTTAGTTTAGGGAAGTTTGGGGCAAAGTGGCTACCTTAACTTCAAAATACCAAAAACACTTTATAGAAAATTAGAATGAGACGCACAACCATGCCAATCGCTTTATTCGTGAAAGAAATTTATTATTTTAAATGGTCTATTGTTTCTAAATAAGTGCTACGAAAAAAAAAATAGAAAAAAGAGGTTGCTATAAATTATCCACTTTGCCCCAAGTAAGGGGTAAAGTGGATATGTGTATAGGGGTAAAGTGGACACTATCTAAAAAGTAAATAAGACTTCGATTAAAAGAATTTTTATTAACACTTTCAGGGTGAAAAAATAAACTACATAGAATAAAGTACCAATCATCCAAAAAATGACACAAACATAGTTTCTTGAAAGGAAAAAAGTTTGTAGCAGAAAAATGAACAAAATTATAATCTAGTGAATTTCGTTATACGAAAAAGGTTTTTGTAACGTCCATAATATTGAAGAACTACTAAAACTAAACAGAACTATTCAGTCGAGACGTATTATCTTCTGCTTTAAAAGACCCGTATTTTGCCATACCTTAGAAACTGAACTCTAATTTTTCCCAAAATGTATTCTTTTAAAACTTCAATAAACCCCTTAACTTCAGGAAAAACATAATTGTCTTTCGACTGCCGATATTGTCGCAAAAATGACACATTGATCTTAGTTTCTGGAATCTTTTCAATGCTTATTATTTGAGCAACAAAACGTTTTTGGTCATTTTGTGAGATGTTAATTCTGTCAAAATAAAATCATCTGCATTGAGGTTTTCAACTTCAATAGCTTCGATGTTAAATTCGTTGGGTTTAGGATAAAATTCTCTATCGCTATTGTCCGAATCGCAAGAAGAATCCTCTAGCTCCACTTCAACTGAGCTATCCGAAGATGTTACTTCTTCTAGGTTTCTTTCTTTTGCAGTCAATGTTTTTCCCCTGCCATCAAATCTTTTTTGACCATTTTTTTCTTTGCTTTAGATATTTGGGTTTTATTTGCTGCTTTTTTTAGTTTTTCATAATTAGGGCTTGAAGTGAGAACCATAGTTTTTCGTTTTGGAGCTCTTGCTTCGCCTGCGTTTGGTAATGCCAATATATCTTTAGGTGAATAGTAAATATTAATTTCACTAAGAATATGGGCTGTAAGCTCTGCGTTTCTAACAGGAGATGGTGTTCTAGCGCTAGAGGGACCTGGTTGTGGAGAGGTATTGATTTGTTGGTTATTCGGTTGTTGTAGGGGTTGCGGAGTTATTGGGCGGTCTTCATTGAGAGCTCTATCTGTGGCATCTGCCGGTTTAAATGCATCTTCTGGAAATGCATCAGGGTTAAAGGGATAAATCCCCGTCGCTTTGAAACCATTGATAGCATTTTGTGTTGTTGCAGCGCGTTTAAAAGCATCTCCAAAACGCTCTCCGACTTGATACAAAGTTATTACCTTTCCAGGGTTATTAATAAGCCATTTTTTCGTTTCTTGTTGGTAGTATGAAACATGAAGGCTACATCCAAGGGTTATAGACGGAGAGATGTGTGTGGTGGTATCACAATAATGTGCACGTGATTTGCCCTTACTTTATCGATCAACGTTAGATTCTTTGTGTGGGTGGCATGCCCGTCTAAGACTAGTAAAACAGGATCAGTCTCGGTAGAATAGTTTAGAAAGTGTTCAAACCAAGCCTCTGAAAATATTTCACTTTGCATCCACCCTGATGGATGATATTCCACGATTGATTCTGGAGAAAGTCCTTGCTCGAGTGGTGGACAGTTTCTAACTCTTGGAAAGATCAGGAGTTGAGGGATGTAAAATCCAGTGGCGTTGAAACAAATTTCGGCAGTTGTTAAAGTGCCTCTTTCAGCGGAAGAAAGACTGCCCACTTGTTTGTTTCCTTTCTTGGAGAATAATGAGTCCTATTTGGTACCATAGAGATACCCGTCTCGTCGCAGTTGAAAATTCTACTGGCTGGGAATTTGTATTTTTGGAGCATTTCTCCCAATAGAGTAAAAAATTAATTAACGTGGTATTTATTAAATGACGAAGCCCTAGCTACCGAGGTGTATTCTGGAAGCCTCAAAGAAATATATTGGTTTCTTTTTAGAAATCCCTAGATCCAATCACGCCCTGCAAGTCCTTTAGCTGTGTGCAATATGGTTTTTTTTCCGCAAACTGGAAGACAAGGTACCTTAACTCCCTCGTGCCAAGACCAAAAAGCCTACTTTCCATCTCTAAGATATAATCGGCCAGCTCCTTCTCTTGTTCTGCCGAAAAAAACGGTCTAAATCGACCTAACAATTTTCTAGCTGCTGCATTGGGTTCGTTGTTAGAACTTAATTGTCTTCGAAGTGTTGTTAAAGGAACGTGGTATTGTGCTGCTGCCTTTTTTGCGGAAAGTATCCCGTGTCTAACGTCTTGTATTGCTGCTGCCATACTTTCCTCTGACCAAGAGTGCTGCTGGCTCTTCCGTTTATAGTTACGCACCATTGCGCCAATTCCGTAAAAAAGGAAATTATTTGGATTATTTTTCTACTTTACTTACCTCTGGACTGTACAAACCCGTAGCTAAATCAAGAATTTCTCTACTTTTATTCCCTACATCAAGTTCGTACAATGATTTCATGCTATGGGGTAAAGTGCGACCACTTTGCCCCGCAGTTGGAAAACCACTTTACCCCAACATACATCGAACAATTTATCAACAATAAAAAATATTACCTTTGTTTTTTATTCCACTGCTCGTACAGACAGGCTTACTAAATACGAAATCTTATTAAAAAAATATGTAATATCAAAGAAATCATATCAACTTTAATCGATGCCTCTAATTTACTTATCTCTGAATATTATAAACACGTGGCTCTAAATTTTTCACTCACTATATAAAACCGCGTGCGTGCTTGAGAGCAGTTCCAACTCGACTGATTGATTGTACATCCAGAGAGGAAGGGCTGTACATAGGAGCACTCATAGATGTCAGTAGCATGTAGGAAATTTTGATGTAAGCCACTTTGCCCCCCGTGGCCACTTTGTCCCAAACTCCCCTGCCTATTTACTCTAAGCTCACAGACTTTTCGGGTGGTTTTATAATGTTCTTCGATTGTGTCAGGCAATGTTCTCCATCTTTTTTCCAGATTTTTGCCTAGACAATCGCTTTTATCTTTATCGGTTAAGTAAAAGTTACCTTCAGTCTGAAAGGCGGGTAGCTGAAGTTGTTTACATGCATTTTTAAACTGCCTAGAGATCTTCCAAATATCCTTGTCACCTTTTGCTATATTTTTGAGACGGTTTTCCCACTTTTTGTGATCGTTCATTTATGATGTCAGAGTTTATTTCCCTAGATAATTGTAAAAGTAGTTCTTTGTCTTCGGTATTTTGGTATTTTTGCCATATTTTCCTGATGCTGTTTCTGATTTTGATTTTAACTTTAATTCCATCTGATATATTGTCAAAGTCCTCATGTATTGTTGTTCTTTCTACTGCACAAGTTCTATTAGTTTGGATGGCTTTTATAAAATTTTCAGTGGCTTTGTCTAAATCTTCGCGTGTCTTTATAAATTTGATTTCAATATATTTGTCCAAGTGATATTTGAAAGGTCTCCAGTCTGCATTTCGATAGTTCCACACAGTTTTTGTATCTCTATTAATTTTATATTTTATTCGGAAGCTTATTGTGTTATGATCAGATGAAAGTTCATTTAAAGTGGTTACTTCTGATAAATTTTCACAATTTTTGTTTAAAACTATATCTAAAACTGATGGGGTGCTACCACTAAATGGAAAATGTGTCGGGCTATCTCGATAAAAAAGTACAACATTGCTTCTACTTTCAAGGTAGTTGTTCAGTATTGAACCATTGTAATTATTGCTAGTGTTCTCCCAATGTACATGTCTACAATTAAAATCCCATATTATTATGACTTTGTGATGGTGATTGAATATCCTATCTAATGCCTGATCGTTAATTCGTATGTTTGGTAGCTTATACATCTCCGTCAGTACTAGTCCACTGTCTAGTTTGATGGCTACATATTCAAACGAAATACTTTGAAATTTTACTTCAGCGTAGCTGATACCATTTTTAATGAACATTATAAGACCAACTGCGGCTTTCGCTCTTGTGATGTTTGGGTTTATCGGTCTATCCTTTCTTATCTGGTAATATCGTCGGAGCCTTATACGAGCGCGATCTCTGAATTGAGTTTCAGAAACCGCAAGAATATCGAGCCGATGATGTAATACAAAATTTACAAATTCGGCCTTTTTATTATTAAGGCCATTTATATTGATGTAAGCTATATGGATATTATTTATCTTAAATACTATACCTACTTATCTAGCCCCTGGACAAATTCTATGAAAGTTGTGAATTTTTCCTGCGAGGAATTAGCGATTCCAAGGAGGCGGTTGAGGTCCTTGAAGGCAACTAGAAGGCCTTTCAAGTGCGTGTCAGGCGGGGATACTGACCTTTATACTACCGAGGACTTACTCAAACATTTCAGAATATACAATAAATTCACAGTGGTATCGCATTTAATATACCTATACGAGATTACTTCTCAAATTATGTTTAAAAAAATTACTTGATTCCCTTTAAGTGTCGAAGTACTATTTCAGTAGTTCTGGGTGAGTTTTTGCAATCTCGTAGGGCGTTTAATGTTTCAGGATGATATGGGCGAGACTGGTGTCTGTTTATTAAAAAACGACAGTTAACCGCATCCTCGCTTGTTCGTTTTGGGGGGCTGATGGATATATACCTATGCATTGGGAAGGAATGCTTACCCCTGGCGATCCTGGGTTTTTCTGGTTTCTTAAAATTATTCTAATGATGGCTTAAGATCTTGGCACACCTACCTACTGCACACGACAGTTCAATCTATATATTGTGGCGACACGCTGTATAGAATGAAGAAATGAAGAAATAAATGAACTGTAACCTAGAAGAGAGATAACCAACAGTATGATGATTAATTCTCATTGTACTTGCTGGCCGAAACGTCGCACGAACAGTGCTTAAAACATATTTGATTGAACACTAACACGGTTACGAAAATGAAAAACTTTTTTACTAAAAATTAGAAATATCGCCGACACGGCCCTGGAAGAGTCCATTCCATCTCCATACATATTGCCATTTTAAATATAATTCAAATACAACAAGAAATGCCTCTTTACCATAGAAAATTAATTTTTTTATTGTTAAATATCCTTACTACCTGATTGAGAATATCTGAAGAAACAAAGAAATCGAATGAAAGCCGATTATCGACTTGTTTTCTGGCGAAGCAGTGGAAGGGCGCTGCAAGCAAGGTTGAATGAGGTAGCGTATTTGTTACGTAAATTCCGTGTTACGTGCCGGATTGCTGAAGCAGGTTGTCAAATGCTGAAAATCATTCCTAACTATCATTTGGCCGTTTAGTATCTTCGAAATTCCTCAAAACCCTGAAGAGAATCGAACCAGAAGATGTTATCAGTCTGTAAACAAACATTCTCCTCCAATCTACAAAGGTCAGTATGATTTGACATTTGCCATTGATAACTTTTATCTATTCTCTGGAGCACTCCTCAGCCTTATCGCTATATTTTGTAAATATATTGATATGCATTATTCTACGACAGCTCTATTGCTCTATCAGTTTTCCACTCAAAGAATATTGATAACGTTGAGGATGCAGTTACATTGTATGTGTTTGAATTCCTTTACCATTGCTTTGAAACCAAACCTCGGAGTTTTACACCCTGATTAGGAAAAATCGATATGATACTTGAATATTTTCAAATTAGGGATGTACAATACACTAGATTTTTCTGCCTCACGTTTAAACCCTCTTATAATACAGAATTCATGGGCTTGAAAGTTAATCAGCTGATTGTGTAACTACTTTTGCAAAATGATGCACAATCACAGTTACAAAATTGTTGAGCATGAATTTGAGTTACATCCAATTGAAAGTTAGATATCTGAGATACTCTTGAATTAGAAAAAAGTGCTTAGATATTCAATGTATCACTAAATTGGTATAGTGTTAATTGAGGTGTTAAGTTGTATAAATAATCCTGTTTCTTTGCCAGAACATTTTATACTATTGCTGCTAAGTTATTACACAGTATAACCTCATCATGAATGAAGAAGAGTATGTACTTGATACAAAACCCAAAATGAAAGAATATTCTTAAGAGAAAATGGTACATAATAATATGTATTCATAGGTAACCATATCTGCATCAGAAAAAATATATTTCTCCAAATATCTTTCAGAGTAAATGTGAAATCTGATCATTTTTGTTGTTTATTTAATCCAGAATTGCAAGATGCAGCTGCTATATTTGTGGCTAGCTAAAAATCGCCGTGAAGGTCATTAAGTTTAAAAATACACATATTACGTCAAGTATAATATTAAATGTTTACTGTCAACTAGGTGTTTGTTTTTTATTATTTGGCACCCAAGGAAGAAATGTAGTAAATATTTGCTTGCAATTAAATTGGTGCCTAATAACTCTTTTGAGTATGAATTAGAAGAAATACAACTCAAACAGTTTTCAGGCCCATTTTTACTATCCAATGGTCAAATTTTTATCTGCGGATCCAAACTGACAATTAGGTGTTTTTGAACCAATAGGTTTAATAAACATAGTCAATTTCTTCTCAAATATTTCTCAAACTAGTAAAAAATTATATGATTTGTGTAAGAAGAGCCTCTAACTCTCATATTAAATCAAGAATTAAAAATGCAGTTTGATGGTTTTCTAAAGGTTGCATCTATTAAAATAATAAATCCTGTAATATTAATTATTATATTCTTTTGTCATGCCAAAAAACTATTGGTTGCTTGAGAATTGGAAAATAAATTTTGTTACAATTAGCAATTGACCAATACAATATTTTTATAGTAGCATTATTTTAAAGGCTGATATATTGGGGTTATACACCAGGAAATCGGGTGTGAACGCATTGACCCTTTCTTTGGCCGCAACAAGTCTATGTAAGTCAAAAAATGATGCATACTGAAACCCTATCATTGAATTGTTTTCCAAAATCGTATTTCAAGGGATCAGTTGCCTTTGAACATCCACATATAAAACACTATCATGCTGTGACAGTGGTGATATACATTCTCTTAGGATATGTGGTTGTGGTGTTCTAAAAAATAAGAATAAAATGACACCTTGTGTCCACCATTTTGATCAGAGATTGGCACATATCTCCATTTATGAACATATTCTACCTGGTATCAGGTACCACTTTCATGAATGATCCTATTCAAATCAAGAAGATATACTGAGTATCAAAACCTCTTTACCTATGAATCTCCGGTAGATAATTGAAAAGATATGTATTAAAAAATATACTTGTATACATGTATCTCAGTAATGAAGCAGGTAAATATACAGAGTGTCCGCAAAGTTGGGGTTTTCCTTTACACGACGTGTAGATCTTGAAAACATAAGCAATTTTTCTTAGTACCATATACACCAATGTCTTAAGGGAATCGAGATAAAGGGCTCTGCAACTTCAAAAATATCTGAATACCGTCCTGTAACCGCGACCCGGGACATCACGCGTATAGAGGTAAACGAACCCATATAATCGATTTTGTTTCAAAAAACAACAAGCACTAGAGACGTGGCTAGAGAAGTGCAAGTATCAAAAACTAAAGTGTGGCAAACGCTGCATGAAGAGGGTCTGCATCCGTTTCACGTCCAACGTGTACAAGCCCTTCAACCTGACGATTTTCCACCAAGAGTGCGGTTTTGTGAGTGGTTGTTGCATCAACATGACAATAATCCGGACTTTTTGAAATGCACATTGGTGACAGACGAATCTACGTTCACCCGTAATGGGGTGAATAACTTTCGCAACACTCATGTTTAGTCATTACGCAACATTTTGCCTTCCTTGTTTGCCTGCGTCTGCTCGGTAGCGCATCAGCTGATTTCATTTTCTGTTGGGGCGGTATGATTTTGGGCAGAGACGTACTTAGCCCTTCTCGTCAACTGGAGAGTGAGTACTTTTTCCTTTATTTTTTTTTCACTTGGTCGCCCTCGTTTCACTACACATTACCTTTTTTATTTCAAGGGTAGTTGTTTCTGAAAAGGAAAACCCCAACTTTGCGGACACCCTGTATAAGTTCATATGAAGTTTTAACCAATTAGGCATGAAGAAGCGCTGAAAATTAATACATATATGTACTTTTTAATATCCAGAGGAATCCATATGCCACTGACGATGCTATGTGTACGAGAGAGAAGCGCGAGGAGCGTGCAATACATTTGCTAGTAAGAGATAAAAGTACCATGTTGTCTAGCAGCCCGAGTGACGAGGCCGCGGACGCATACGTATTGCACGCTTCTCTCTCGTACACATTACCTCGTCAGGGATATTGGGATTTCTCTGTATAGTATTTTAAACGGATTCCGATGAAAATCTCGGAAATGTATAAAACTTCCCTGGGTTCTGAGGTATGAACCAAAAGGCACTCCACTATTTAGACGACACGTTTATTCCTCGACTGTATTCCCTTAGTAGTTGTGTCTCGGTCACTGTGGAATACAATAATTTCTAGCGCTTTTATCCTGCAGCATTTATTGTCAAAATTTTGTTTGTTTAATCGGTGAATTTTTAGATCCGCGGTCATTGAGGGGAGGCTGTGGTGTCAAATGAGCAAATTTGAGGTCCAAAAATTAGTTTCAAACAGATATTTTTCTTTTGTTCCTAAACCAGATCGTATAATTGTCCGCGTAGGGTCCTAAAAATTAAATAGCTATGGGATGACATACAGGTTTTGAGAATAAATCATAAATCATAGATTTATATATCACAATTTTCACGGGTGCTCTCCACCTTATTTACTGTGCTTTTCAAAAAGTTCCTCCTACTTATTTTTTGAACGGGTCAAGTTAGCATGCTGAAATTCGCGCTAATGAAATTGACGCATGGATTCTCTATTTTCGCGTATAAGTGACAGTTGAAAATTTCAAGATGATGGCTTGCCAGCATTTTGGTATATTTTTATAAATGGAGTGAGGGGTCGTATGATATTTCATTTTTAAGCTCCTTCTAAGTACTTTATAACTATAGAATATAACATCACTATCTTTCAAAATGATGAACTGACTGGCTGTTAAAGTAAAGCCTTTTTGTACATGGAATCGTTTATAACTCAACAACTATGTCCATCATCAAAATATCATAGAATGCTATATCAATCTTCATTTTTTCGAGAGTTCTATCTATATGTGCAATATAATATGTGGCATTCAGTTTCAAAAGATTGACAGATTTTGACAATATTTATGAATGAAATATTTAAAATTTCAAGATAAGATTTATATAACATACTTTGATAATCTGCTAGCTCACCATTTTTAAATGTGACGATTTTATATTCTAGGGCAATAAAGGACCCCTGGGGAGTTTCGAAATGAAGTATCACACAGCCCTCCATTCCATTTAAAAAATTGCCCAACCACCATCTTGAAATTTTCAACTGCCACTTTTACGATAACCATGCATCAATTTCGTCATCTCGCATTTTAGGATAGGTAATAGCTTGACCTGTTGAAAAATTAAGTAGGGGAGTGGGGCTGAGAAGCACTGCGTATAATTTTATGAAAACGAAGGTATTCTCAAACCTGTAAATTAGCTGTAACTTTAAGGTCCTACGCAGAATATTATACGAGCTGTTTAATAACAAAAGAGAAATATATGCTTGCAACCCAGATTTTTGCTAACCTCTAGCCTCTCTTTAAAACGAATCACCAACACACGGATCTTCAGTTCTTGTAATCTTTGAATCAGAGAGCAGAATTTTCTGTACCTTATGACAAAATATTAGAATACCCTTGTGGACGCCTCTATCCGGGCTGGTTCCCGAGATTCCGGGGCAGACTTTTTCCGCAAATGCCAAGAGGTCCCGCGCCCCCTACCCATCTTATATCTTCTCTCTCGTCTCCCAATAGATTGTCTAACTACAGCTTAAAACAGAATGGATGGATGACTTCTCCTCAGCCACGTCTCTCTCAAAACGCCTCATCAACACCCATGATGTGTATATCGATGCCATGTTAATGCATTGTACCTGGCAAAAGTCCAGTCAACAATCCAGAATCTTATTCCAAACCAAAGATAGATAGAAACGTCCTCCCTGGTAGAGAACTCATGTTTAGTTCACTTACCTGACAAAGATCTTTAGATATATTGTTTCTAATCAGAAAGTATTGATTTTGAATCCACACTTCTGTTATAAACCTAATTCTGTTTTCCTGTACATTGAATGATCTCGTCGACTCTTAATCCCGACTCTTATAAGATATTCCACTAGTAATATTGGTTCGATAATGGTAAATGTTAGGTATGTTTAATATTTGCAGTAACTACAGGGTAGCAACCAGATGCTTAGGCTCTGTAGTACCTGAACTGAAACTAAATGATTTCGGCATTCAAAATGAACCTGTGCTTGGTTATCTGAAGGGCTCTAAAGAAAGAGCAGAACTTGAAAAGGCTCTGCAAGAGCTTTCAAGTAAAACTGAAGAGGTACCCATTGTTATTGGCGACAAGGAGTTTAGGAATAATGATGTACATTATCAGGTAAAGAAATATGCATGATTTCTTTTTTTTAGTTCAATAAATACACCCTCTTTATTTTTTGAACAGATCTTAAAATTATTATGAAGTTGATCCATGAGTACTATATTTTAACGTAAGAGTGGCTATTGATTATTTCAATTACTTTATAACTCGGAGATATAAAACCACTAAATGGCGGACTGGCAAGTTGTAAAATTGAGCGTTTTTGTTCTTTATCGCTTGTAACTCAAAAACAGATCATTAGTGTTAAATAAACCTTCTCTTGGAAGGATCAATCCAAATATGTAAGAAAATAGGAGACATCCCATTAAAGAATTTCAAAATCTGTCAATTTTTATAAACTTGATGCCCAGTATTTAATTGCAGATTCAGATAGACCCTTCTATCGTTATGAAGGACTTATAAGGAGCTTCAAAATGAGATATCTCATGACCCCCCCTCCCTCACACCCCCCATTCTGATGAAAAAATATTCCAAGAAGGACGCTCGGCGATTTGCTCAACTAGTATTCTTATGTTATTACCTCAAATCCCAAATTCACCTGTTCAAAAAAAGTAGGCGGGGACTTTGTTGAAAAGAACTGTATACAACTTACAATATTTAAATACCAGTATGCTGCATTCTCTCTATGTTTAGGTGATGCCTCATAACCATAAGAAACAAATTGCCAAATTTTATTATGCCGACAAAAATCTAGTAAACAAAGCTATAGATGTGGCAACAGAGACTCAAAAGAAATGGGACAGAACCCCATTTCCAGAGAGGTTGAGAATATGGGAAAAGGCGGCCTCCCTAATGGCCAATGAATACAGAGCAAAATTGAATGCTGCTACCATGCTGGGCCAAGCTAAGACTATCATTCAGGCTGAAATCGACTCGGCTGCAGAACTCATAGACTTCTTCAGGTAAGTTAATTGATAAAACATATCGTCAATTCCGCCCATATAAGAGCATTCTGTCTTGGGAAAATGCATGGGAAATTGGCTTCCTGTGAGTTGTAAACAAAAAGATAAAATGCCACTGGGTCACGAAAGTTCATCGTCCCATCACTTCATAAGAATCTTTGATTCACCATCTTAATTACAAATCAAAATATGGTGTGCCATCAACTATTAGCTAGCTAGCAGAATAAGCATGTAGCTATCTTATAATAATTCGTGATTCAAATTGATAATAGACTAAGTTTGAGATTTACAAGTTCCAAAGATAGCTTCAGACACCTGAGAAGTACGAAAACAATGGATAAATTTTTTTGCACTACAGAATAATGCAAATGCAATTAACTGCAAATCAACTTTAGATTCATCATCCTTCAAACAATTAAATTATGTATGTATGTATGGCATATACAAATAATAAAAGATAATTACAGGAAATTCTCCAGAATAATAATTTTATACTTGGTATGTTTCTAATATTTAGTTGTATCGAAGCACAAATAATACTTTGCAAACACTGCCCATAGCCAAATTTAACTCTTTTTATTAATATGGCTTTTTTGGTATTTTTGGTAAAGGTTAGATTTGTAACATTTTATTGTGCCTATAGTTTTGTCTCCCAGTTTACCATTATTTGTCAGTGTACAATAATAAGTTTATTGACGTATAAATATAACTATACAATACTTAGATTAATATACTTAAATATGAATATATAGAAAATTACACAATGAAGGTGGTAGTCAGTTAGGACAGAATTCTAAGAATGTATTGGGTGAATGGAAAAACTCGAAACGTGGCCAACTACCAATTCTTAAATACTGATCGAGAATATTCAATGTATAGAAAATTCTCTCTTCTGGACCTTTCATTTCCTCTGTGCAGAATAAACGCCTACTTTCTGAAAGAAGCAACTAAATATCAACCGATCTCAGAAGACCCAAGGGTCACAAAGAACTCCATGAGGTATCGTGGCTTCGATGGATTCGTGGCTGCTATTTCACCATTCAACTTCACTGCAATCGGCGGAAACTTGGCGTATACACCAGCTTTAATGGTATGTAATTTTAGGGCACTCTAAAGATAAAATTATTGTTTGGTTCTGTGGATCTTCGCCATCTTCCATCGGAATTCTTTTTTGCTGTCTTTTTCTGTTCTGTCTTCTCCTTCTACGGAAAAGAACCACTTATCCGTTTTTCAGTAGTCAACAAGGGCTGAATTTTATACCATTCGATATTTGATGATGTTCGAATATGATTAAGAAATCGATCTTATCAGACCATTTAAATTACAAAATATCTGCTTTCATAAAATTTACGATCATGTAGGCTACTGTTAGATAGATAACATAGGTTTGATTGGTCTGATTTTTAGGGTAACGCCGTGCTATGGAAGCCCAGTGACACGGCTCTCTTGTCGAACTGGGTAACGTTCCAGATCTGTCGTGAAGCGGGTGTGCCTCCAGGTGTAGTAAACTTTGTACCAGCTGATGGGCCAGTCTTTGGTGACAACATCACTGCTTCGCCACATCTTGCTGGTATCAACTTCACTGGAAGTGTTCCGTAAGCAAATTTGAAGAAACCTTTAATTTCATCAGTCATCCGACATAAACATATTTGAGAGATCAAACCATTCTGAATTTTTGTAATGTTCATTTTCACAATAGCCCATTATGCGCCAACACAAATATGTGATATGGGCATTTCAGAATATGGGATTTTGAGGAATCTGATATTAAAATATGGTTATGATAATGAAACTTTGTGAACATTTTCCTTTGCATTGTAAATTTTATGTCAAAAAATTCAGGGTAATAGTATACCATAAAATGATCTGTGGTACTGAAAAATTAAAGTTCCAACACCTCTGTTAAGGTATTACTAACATACGTAGTCGTGCCATAAGTTCTGTCCCATGATAATCTCATGATAAAAATGAAACAAGATAAGATATATTTATATGAAAGATATTATTTATTCGACAACATTTTTAGAATTCATAATCAAACAGTTTTATTCAAAATGTCCCCCCTTGGCCTTCACACACTGCTTCAATCTCGCGGGCCACTCATCTATCACTGCACGCACAGCTTCCAAAGGAATAGCTGCCGCTGATCGGATCAAATCCGCTTTCAGGGACTCGATATTACGGTGGGCTTTGGAGCAGGCCAACTGCTCTAGCAGGTCCCACAACTTGTAGTCTAAAGGATTGAGGTCCGGACTCCCTGAGGGCCAATCTTCCGCAGCAATGAACTCTGGCACATTGCTTTCCAGCCAGCGCTGCGTACTCTTAGCCTTGTGAGCGGGGGCGGAATCCTGCTGGTAGACCCAGTGTTGGTTGGCAAACAATGTACCACTTAAAGGCTTGACGATAGGATCCAGTATGTCGCTCTGATAGTTTGCCGCTTTTGTTTTCACGCCCTGTTTACAGAAATGGAGCTGAGTGACCCCTTCGTAGGACACCCCCCACCAAACCATGACTGACGCAAGGTGGTGGCCTCTCTCAACTCTCGGAATGATCTCCGAAGCTTCCTGTGAACTCCTTGCATACACTTTGTCATTTTGTCGGTTGAATTTTTCTTCTATGGTGAAGATTTTCTCATCCGTGAACAAAATCTTTCGGAATCCCCCAGCTGCGTACCTCTCCAAGAGCTTCTTGGATCTTGTCGCCCTGATGTGTCGCAAGGTGGCCGTAAGTCGCTGGCCCGTACGTCTCCGGTAAACCCCTAGCCCTAGGTCTTGTTTAATGATGCGCGACATCGTCCGGACAGGAATCTTCATTTCCCTGGATAGGATCTTCTGCTTCCGGAGTGGATTCCTTTGAATCCTGGCTTTTACGGCTTTGATGGCTGCTGGAGTCCTTACTTGACGAGGTCTTCCGCTTCTTGGCCTGTCATCAACAGAGGACGTCTCATTGTACCGCTGAATGGTCCTAGACACAAATTTACGCGATATTTGAAGGCCGCGTAAGAGTTCAAAAATCTGACTAGCACTGTGATTACACTTATGTAAAGCTATCACTGCAATACGGTTCTCTGCCTTGCCCCACTCCATCGTTATGCTTCGAGAGATCAATACAAACTGAGGTATATGTAATTACCCGAAAAGCGCTTAATCAACTGACACCACAATGTAAACAATCGGACAAGTATTAACAGGTCTACACTTGTTTGAAAACGAGGGACAGAACTTATGGCATGACTACGTACATATTACCAGCATGAACTGTTTTTCCTTGATTCTTGTTTCGATGGTATAGGTATAGACAGACTACGAAAATTGTCTATTCGCGAACGTGTACATTATACCCAAAAGTTACAATGTTAACCCCCATGTAAACGCAGTATTACACGAGCGCTAAATACATGCATGAAGCGTTTACATGATGCTAGACCCTATTAAAGTCGTATTTAATCCGCGTCGAAACAAACATGAGCACTCGATCGCTGCTTCCATTCGGTTGTAGCTACCTGTCCAGGCATTTATAGCCCACTAGCCTATATGAGCGCGCACAGGACCACGCACCATTCTAATGGGAACAAGTATTTCGGTGGATTTGCTCCAAACTTTAAGGTTGTGCGCCAAGGGGTTTTGATCAAATGTACTCATAGCACCAACTAAAAGGCTTAGAAGATGGGTATCTCTAGTGTGAATTAAATACACTACACTATACTGGAAGTAACATTCAGGAAAAAGACCATAAGATGGGTGCTGTTGATGCTCCATGAAGGAAGCTTCTGGTTCGGACTTGATTCCTGCCGTTGTAGTGAAGAGATGTGCAGCGGAGCTTGCTTCAGTTCTTTCGCGTTTCTTCCAGATATCTTATGAATCCGGCACTTTCCCAGAAAACTGGAGATTTGCTCATGTCCACACCATCCCAAAGAAAGGATCTAAAACCAACCCTTACAACTACAAGCCTATAGTTTCTGTTATAAGTAAGCTTACGTCACGCAACCGTAGAAAAAACTAATCCAGTCTTATGGTGAAGCTCATGTCCTTGCTCTTGATATCACGAAAACGTTCGATCAGCTGTGGCATACTGCCTCTTCTACAAACTTTCATCCTATAGACTCCCAGAGAAGATTGGCTGATGGGTGGGAGACTTCTTCTGTGGCCGCAAGATATCCGTCTGTAATTGACAGGTTCTCCTCTTCATCCCACAACGACAATGCGGGTGTTCCTCAGGCATCGGTCTTGGCTCCGACATTGTTCCTCTTACATATCAAGAACCCGTTTCCTGTACGATCAATCCGATCCATCGCTTTGCTGGTGACAGCACCCTACATGCAGGAATTCAGAGAGATAGCCGACCTCTGCCGGTGAGCTGGAGAAAAGAAGACTAGCAGCGACTTCCTCTCTGACGAGAGACCTAGAGGACATCACTGCTTGACAACGCAACATTTTTGTACAGTTTAATACTTCCAAAACACAGTACTGTACCTTGACGAAGAAGAAGCGTCCTAGGGCTTATCCGGTTTCGATGGACGGCCAAGCTCTACCAAGGAGCCTTTCATTTCAGCTAGTCGGAGATCACCAATGACTTGATCTGGCACGAACACATCTAGTCAATAGCGGCAACTACTGAGAAAAAGTTAGACTATTTGGGGCTAAGAAGTACTTTTATCAACATGACCTCACTTTGTACAAGGCCCAGGTAAGACCTAGCCCTTAGGGCTGTCGGCGATTTATCTCTCTTCTACCGCTACGCCAACGGGCTTTGCTCATCAGAGCTCTCCTCCATGATATCGCCGCGTGGTATGTCTACTAGACAGACCCGCCTGACTTCGGCGTCTCATCCTAACCGTGTCGAACCTCGTACATCCATAACTGGCTGATACGACCGCTCCTTTGACCCTAGGGTATTGAGATTGTGGAACAATGTACATGAGGAGGCATTTCCCAGTTCTACTAATATTAGGCAATACAAAAATCAAAGTTTCCTTAAGCTCTTCATAGCAACCGCAGAGCGCTGGCATTTAGGCTTCTGCCTGCGCGGCTGATTCGGTGTAAACAAAATCAAAAACATACGAGAGTGAATCAAATATAAACGATAATTTTGCGATTCTTCTTAGAATGCTATTCCTAGCTACATTATTGTTGTGTGGAGTAGGTGCTTGGTTTGTCAGGAGTGGGGGAACCGGTATGGTTTGCGGGCAAGCACGCTGTCGCCGCTAGTACAGCCATGACTGAGCAAGCAGTACCTTCATCTGTTTGTTGCACAACGGATAATAATAAAGTTTTTAACCAATGAAGGCGTTAAACCGTCGGAAATTTTAACTCGTTTGCGGGCACAGTTTGGAAACAGTACACTGTCCCAGAATCGAGTGTTTACGTGGGCGAGATAATTTAAGGGCGGACAAGAACGGGTTGAAAACGAAACACATGATCGACGTCCAAAGACAAGCTTTACAGGTGACAACATTAGTGCTGTTCGAGAGCTTATTGAACGTGATCGTCGGGTAACCGTGGAAGAAATTTCATCAGAAGTGGGTATCAACTATGGAAGTGTTCCATCCAAAATCACTGATCTACTCGGTTTCAGAAAAAATAGTGTTCGATGGGTTCCAAAGTTGTGTCCAAAAATCGGTCAGGTCGGAGATCGCTGGAAGGCTCCTAGATCGATTACAGGACTTTCTGAGGCGTATCGTATCAAACGATGAGACATGGGTACACCAGTACACTCCCACATCGAAACTGGCAAGTAACGAGATGCGGAGAGAGGATGAAGGTTGCTCAGTGAAGGCCAAGGCATCTCTCTCTGTTGGAAAAGTCCTTGCAACCATTTTGTTTGACGTCGAGGGAATTTTGCTGATCGATTTTCTACACGATCAACGTACGGTGAATCCAGCTTAGCCAGTTGTTACGGTCGGCAAAAGCCGCTTATCGGAACAAAAGACAAGGCATGCCCATCAGGGATGTGATTCTCCTCCATGACAACGCCAGGCCTCACGCCACGGCTTTGACAAGGGATACACTGGGAAAAATGGGCTGGGGAAGCCTTTAGCACCCTTCGTATAGCACTGGCTTATCCCCATGTTACTATTTTTTGTTCGCGGCTATGAATGAATCATTGGGAGGGAAACCATTTGAGAGCAATGAAGACATCGATGAGCACGTGCGCATTTGGCTTAGAACTCGCCCTCAAACTTTCTATGAAAAGGAAATACCGAAGCTTCCAAAGCGGCGGCAAAAGTGTGTAGACGTCGCAGGAGACTATATTGAAAAATGTTAAAACAGTAATAAGGGCATTATATTGTTCAATAAACGTACAACAAAATTACCGTTTATATTTGATTCACCCTCGTATTTTATCCTGCTTAGAGGTCTTAATATGCATCCCGGTTTTCCTGTAGGAGTTGATTTTATTCCAAAAATTGGAACACATATGTTGAGCACAAGCAATCAGATACCCATCTGTGAAGAAATGATAAATAACTTTCACATCACATCGCCATCATAGTATGAGGTGTAAAAGCTCTAGCTTATTAAGGAATGTCCCCTTGTAAAGGATATTTGTGCGATTTTAATGAGTAGTAAGGGTCAAACTGAAGGTAAATGCGATAACAATTTGAGTCATTTGTGATGTAATAACTTCATCCAAATCATGATGTGCTTAACTACAAAAAAAGGCTAGACTTTCGGTCGCGCTGTTCAAGGCATAAGCACCCAACTTCTAACCTTCTTGGATCGTTCTATGACTTTTAAATCGAGTTGTTACAATGAGAACAATTGATCAGCATCATTCGGAGAATGTAACTAGAAAGTTTTGGAGCAAATCCACGGCAATCACTTTTCCTATGAAAATAGTGCGTGGCCCTTTGTTTGTTTTGATGGTTGTAAATGTGATTTGGAAACACTATAGTCGCTGACGTCACGACTGGAAAATGGTATACCGATTAGATAAGTGTGCAGCAGTCAGAATCTGCTGAATTTTGATGTTATCCACCTTTGAGCTCTGAGCGTATATTGGAATAATGTTAGGAAACCTCAATTGAATGGTGGTGGACATTTTACAGTACCTTCTCTCGACTCTGGAAGCAAGTGGCTCAGAACATCGGCATGTTCAGAAATTTCCCACGTCTGATCGGCGAGTGCGGTGGAAAGAACTTCCACTTTATCCATCCCTCCGCTGACGTGGAATCTGTTGTCAATGGCACGATCAGGAGCGCTTTCGAATTCTGTGGACAGAAGTGCAGCGCTTGCTCGAGGATGTACGTGCCAGAATCTTTGTGGCCACAGGTAATGTGCAGTATTTTAATTGTAGGCAATTTCTTTGACTATCTACTCACTAGATAAAATACAGAATGCTTGAAAAAACACTGTCCATAGTTACACCTGACTCCCATGACATTTCGGTGGTTACATGATCGTTTTCATGCCTACATGACTCACTGTCAACAGGTATTTGTTGGGTAAAATCTCAGTCAATTTATGCCAATATAGTACTTCCAAAGTGGAATTAACTTTATTTGAGACAAATTGTCGGCAGTCAACCCTAGTTAAGTGCCCTCTTTATTAACGAACTTTGACTGTAGCTGGCCATTTGACAGTAATGGGGTAGAAAACTTGTTATTGACCTATTAGGTCCAGATCTAATTTTGATAATCATATCTATAGAACAAAAGTTAAAATTCTGAAATCCTTATCTGAATGGGATGTTATCGAACATTTCATTCTGACTTATAAATGTTTGCCTCCAGTAGTGTGTTTCCTCTAACACTGTCCCTCCAACGTTCTAAGATAAAATTTCGCGTCAATATTTTGACATAATGAGTTGGTTGTAATAATGTTTCAAAAACTGAAATAAAAATCAAATTTTATTACTCGATTCCGAACTTCAAATACGTTTTACTTCCTACGCCTACTGGCGCGAAAAAATTCGAAAATGAGATATGTGTTCTGGATATTATATGACATCTACATCACGAAAAACCGGGTCACAATTATCCGTCAATCTGTCTGTCTGTCCGCTAATCCTTGACCTGTCTATAACTTGGAAAGTACCGGTCGGATTTGGATGAAAATTTCACACAAGATGACTTACTATATGGCAAGGACGAAAAAGCTTTGTAGTTTTTGAAAATCGGACCAGTGGCAGCGGCGAAAAAGGAAAAGAATGAAAAAATAAAAATCCGTCAAACTCCATTTTTGATGTTCCAGAGGCTCCTGATCATTTTTTAGAGATTGAAAATGGGGGTGTAGGGGCGGAGGAGGCCATATCTCATTTTTTTGACGTTAGTATATTTATACGCGTTCAACCGTTCCAACCATCGTAGTTACAACCCCACTAATTCTACACACCTATTAGACATATTTCACTCATTATAGATTGCCCCGTACCAACAATTGCGTGTCGATACGTGCGACTTTTTTAGAACAGACGAATGGAAAAACTCTGGAAAAATGGATGTAAACAATCTATCTCAACTATTGAAACTGTAGTTTGTTTCTACGTGGAAAATACTTCCATTATCGCCTCTTATTCTGATTAACTATCTAGAATTCCCCCTACAGGTCAAAAAGGGCCTATTAGAAAAACGCTCCCAGCTGAAAATAGGAGATCCGACCGACGTGAAGAGCTTCACATCTGCTGTAATAGACAACAAAGCATTTGATAGGATTAAAAGTTACATCGATCATGCGAAAAATTCACCGAATCTCGAAGTTATTGGTGGGGGAAAATGTGATGACAGGTAAGCAGTCGATGTTGTAAATAATCATATTTCAAATTGCGTTAATATCTGCATTTTGAAGTCACTTCAATTTTGAACACTGATGTTTGATGGGCGATTAATTATGCCAGATTATACTATGAGAGCAATACTATCGCATGTCAAAAATGATATGTTAAGAAAACCGCTCTTTTACTTTGTCTAATATTTTCCTAGGTGAACGATAACAGGATCTTAAATTCAAAATTATATTTTACATATTGGTGTCTGAGCTAAAATAGTTTTGCGCTATATAGTGATGTATTTAATCCAAATGAAAATTATTCAGACAGTACACCTGGTGCGATACCATCAGAAAAATGTCATTTTCATCAAGGGATATAACGTGTATGTCCTTAAAATATAAAGCCTATAAATGATAGGCTGTAATTGCACGGGCACATTGCTGAACTAAATTTAACTAGAAAATAATTATGATTTCCAGTAGCGTCTCATGAATAAAATTGACAAAAAAAATTTACGCTGCAGACTTCGTTTTTGTCGAAAAAAAAAATATTTACGTCATTACATTTAGAAAAATTGTTAAAGACAAATCTTTGATCGTTGCTATGGAATGTTATCCTACTGTTATAAATAAACTTTTGTCTTTCCGTTATTGCTATTATTTTATCCACTACCAAAAGGTAGATTGCACCATTTTTTACAAACATTGACACCCAGTTTCTTGGAAACCAGATTTTTCACGTGTTTATATGAACTTTTCTAATAGAATTTGGTTCAAGAATGTGCACTTGTAATTACGGCCTAGGATTAAGTAACACATCAATTTTCTTACTTCATGCTACTAGGTAGGCATATTTCATTAACAGAAGCTTGAATAAAAAAGATTTGTTGCTCAACCCCTAGGACTCTAATATTGGAGTCATTCTGAGCATATCACATTATTCGTTTATTTAATTTTGCGTAAACACAAAACAAATTCTATCATCTCCTGAAAATTTCTTGTTGAATTCGATTAATTTATGCCAGCACTATATTTGATGTACTTAGAGGTGAAGTATTTCCATTTTAGTGTCGGCTACTTCATTGAACCGACGATCGTCCAATCCAAAGATCCTCTTGACAAGATTATGAAAGAAGAAATATTCGGCCCTGTGCTATCCATTTTCGTTTATAAAGACAGCCAGATTAAGGAAACACTGGATATTGTAGCCAATTCGACGCAATTCGCTTTGACGGGAGCCGTATTTGCACAAGACGAGTAAGTACAATAATTGCGCTGTTGCTAATTATTTTTATTTACGCTTTTTTAAACAGTAATTTTTTTTAACCAGGGGGTTTGTTTCATTAGTGGCTAAGAAACCATGTGGGAAATTTCGACTTTTCTCAATTATAATTGTAATGTTTGCAGCCCATAACTTTCGGGTAGTATGCGGTACGAATGATCTACGGTTGTGGACCGCCGAGTTTCAATGTATACGAGAGAGATGCATGCTACACTGTTGAAAAGAGCTAGGAAGGTGCTCCGTGACCTTCCTGGCTGTCGTTGCCTAGTAACGTGATAATTTACTTGTGGTCTCTCTCTCTCTCTCTCTCTCTCTCTCTCTCTCTCTCTCTCTCTCTCTCTCTCTCTCTCTCTCTCTCTCTCTCTCTCTCTACGGTGGCGTAGAGTTGCAGGCCTTCCGCTTCGAGGTTCATCTTCAATCGACTCTCTCCCTTCTGAAAATTCCTTAAACCATCGAAAGACCGGGGCTCTTGACAAAGCACTATCTCGGTAGGCCTGTTTAGTAAGAGTTTCCATTGCACTATGCCACAGACTGAAGCAAAACCTGATAGCACACCGCTGCTGGAAATTGATACCACTCATTTTCAGAACACAATTGAAAAAACTGTTTCACAAAACAAAAATCGCTACGAACAACCAAATGACTCGAGCGAGTTCAAAATTGTACTGAAGCCAGATCACATGTTCCCCACTTTTCCCTCTAAGCCCGGCGCCTCCAGTGTTGCAAGATCAAACGCTACGTTGCCAGTCTGGTCACTTAATTTACACACCTCGTATGTTGGTTGTTCCTAAAACAGACTGGAATGAATCGACAACGTTTGGATGAGGTTTTATATTTTAGGTTGCGAAGTGGAACTGCTGACACTGCACCCAAATAGAAATTTCTATCTTAATAAGAATAAAAATTCATCAAGGGAAATTAAAAAATATTATCACCAATAGCAAGCAGAATTCTATTCTGTTCTATCACCACCATTATCCAATGTTATAGTGAACATTAAAGTTTTTCTGCAGAACAAGTTTGATTTATCAACAAGTTTGATTTATCAAAACAAACTTGAAGCTGAAAAGTTGGCGATATTGGTTTTCATTAAATACAACCAGCCAGCTTTTAATAATTGTAGTAGGAATTTATAAGTTTTCTGTGGTCCATACCATCTTTATCTACTTATGATTTCGTCAGTGTCAGTGAATTTTTACGTAATCTTATAGATCAATAATTATTACTGATGAACTACACGGTCAATAAATGATCACATTACAAGTACTGACGGATCACATTAAATACTGGTCATATGACAAGTCAATACCAGCAAGCCGCAGCCAGGCAGTCGCATTGGCGTAGAGTTGTAGCATAAATTGGTGATTTTTTTGTCACTGCGTGATATCGCTTGTTGTTAAAAATGTTTTGGAATCAGGTTTGAGCTATAGTTGAAGATTCATGAATGCAAGATACGCTCTCATTTTATTTTGTTTTAAGAGAAATTATAATATATATTTATAATTCGTCTGTGATAACTGTGCTACTGCCGAGATTTTTAGGGTATTGAAAAATCATTTTTGTCAAAAATCCGAGGATGGTAAAAAATGTGCATCCGTAGCATCCCTGACACAACATTATCCAGTACAGTTTTTATGTTCAGTACAGGTATGCAAATTGATTTCTTTTCCAGAAATTTCCTGAAACAAGCCATCGAAGACCTTAAAATGACTGCTGGCAACTTCTACGTCAATGACAAATCAACGGGAAGTGTGGTTGGTCAGCAACCATTTGGTGGTGCTAGGATGTCAGGTAAGTTATACTATTTTTAAATAAATGTGGTTTCTTGGAAAACTATGAGCTTCAAGATAGTTGCACCTTGGTGTAGTGAGAATAATTTCAGAGTAACATGTACGTAAGCTTACCAGTGCATCACTCAGACTCCAGAAATTATGGACGACCTGCAGTACCACCGGAGTTCTCTTTTTTTCTGCTTAAATGAACCAACAACTGCTGTTTCACATTTGATGCGTTTTTACTACCCGCGCGTACTGTATGATTTTTTTTACGTTCGATGACATGTGAAGGGGTTTTCAATAGCTATGTACGAAATTTGGAAACATCTTGTTCTGACGTTTCAGGTGGCACGGTTATCATTCCTCGATGTTTGTGTTCTGTCATAGTCACCATTTTACCATGAAGCGCTACACTGTGCAAGAACGCGTAGCAATTGTTAAAATCTATTACAAAAATTCGGGTTCTAATTGCCAAACATTTCGCGATCTACGAAATATTTACGGCCGAAATAATCGTCCAACGGAGCAAACAATTCAACGAATTATCGCCAAATTCGAGCAAGACGGTTCGAGCAGCTACTGTAAGACGCAGAAACGCGCGGTCAAGCGAGGGTATTGTTGCTGTTGCCGAAAGTGTACCTAAAGACCCAAACCTTTGGAGTCCGCGTCGTGCACAAGCAATTGGTATTTCTGCGACCTCGACTTGGAGAATTTTACGAAAAGACTTGGGCAGGTATCCATATAAGATCAATTTGGCCGAAGAACTGAAGCCCCAAGACCTCCAAGCGCATCGTACTTTCGTTGATTGGGCTCTGGAATAGTTGGGAGCGGATCCAGATTTTGGCAAAAAAATAATTTTCAGCGATGAAGCACATTTCAGGTTAAACAGCTTCGTGAATAAACAAAATTGTCGCATTTAGGGAGACAATAATCCACAACAGTATCAGGAGTCTCCATTGCATCCGGAAAAACTTACTGTTTGGTGTGGGTTTTGGTCAGCCGGTGTCATTGGACCGTACATCTTCTGAAACGAGAATGGCGAGACGGTGACTGTCAACGGCGCCCGGTATCGGGCCATGATAACTGACTTTTTATTGGATTATATGGACCTGAACGACATGTGGTTCCAACAATATGGCGCAACGTGTCACACTCGGCCATTACATTGCACTCTCGCTCAAACTTCGTTTTTGACGTTTCAGAAGATCCTGATCATATTTGAAAAAATGTTAGGCATAAATAATTGGGTGCAAAGGGGTTGGGGAGAGGGTATTACAATTTTTTGATGTTAGTATATTAATACACTTCTAGCCCCGGTAATTCTATGCACCTATTAGACATATTTCACACATCATATTTAGCCCTACAAACTTCAAAAAAAAATCGGCTGTTGGACCGCGTACTCATCGGTGGCGCCGTCGTTGTTAATAATGCATCTTTGGTAGCGAACCCAAGAGTAGAATAGAAGAGTGACGACGCTGCGCGGTGACTCCTTGTATGTGCATCGTGGGCGCGATATTATCTATATATACGTACATTATGCTTGGAGATAATTTAATGAGATTACTTGATTTTCTGATGTAATATATACCCCATCCGTAGTCCATTTACGCCCAGACAAAAAACAGGTCCGTATTTTCCTCAATGGTCTTGGAATAATCTAACAAAATAAATGATTATTTTTATATAGAAAGAGTGCACGTACTTGTCAAAATTCTTTATTCGCAGGAAGTACTTGAATCATCGTCCGAATGGTTAATATTAATTATGACAGGTTCAATTTGAATATCGATCATATTGTCCAGATCCCACATCTTTGTTTCGATTGTCTCTTGAACGTTACGGATGCAATTTTTCCAATGCTTTGTCGCCACTCTGTTTCGACAGAAATTTTTAATGTTCTATTGTTTGAAGCCACCTAGTTTTTTATATTTGCCCAAAACATTTCAATTGAATTGAATTCGCTACGGGGTAGACTCAAAACGGTCTTATTTTGGTTTTTAGCCATTTCGTCAATAACAAGATTATATTTGTGCTGCCTGACTAGATGGATAAGTTCTGCTTTGACCATATTTCCATTGAAACTAATGTCTTTTGATAGGAGCCATTGTTGAATTTCTGCCTTTCTTGTGGACATTGTGGGATTTTTTTATAGTTTTCTAGTGTGATACGCAGGATTATCAAGTACAATGACGGCATTATCGTCAAGCTTTGGGGGCATTTCTTCAAACCACTGTTCAAATGAACTTGCGTCCATTTCTCAATAGTAGTCGGTCGTTTTCTTTGACTCAATGCCCATAGGATTTGTTATCTGTCACATCTTCACTGCCAATGTGACAGATAACAAATCGTTTTCCTTTTAATGGAAATAATTATGTCATATAGTATTCAAAAAAACTGATAATAATATAAGCAGAGTATCTAACAGGTGTTGGTTCCATATCTAGCAGCCATAGCTAATTTGAGTGTAGCTAAGTTTTCAGCGTGGGCTCATAGATTCAGTGTACTAACACCATTTTTACAACACTAATGACGAATTGTTTGAATACACGTACCTGACGGATTCTTTAAGCCAGCGATAAGGCCATCTAAGGAAGCTTGTCTTGCTGATTTAATTGTAGAGTCAGACCATACTTTAGGTTTTGTATGTCCTGTATTTATCCAGGTCGCGATATTTCTTTATTGATTTTAAATAATTTCTTCTCCATAAAATGATCTCTTGGCTGTCCATCTAAATACTATTTCTGTCCCGTTTTCTAAACTCAAAATGAAGTTCTTTGAGTAAACTATAGAATGTGATCCTTTTGAAAGTAGGTAAGCCTTCATCACTATTAACCTCCTGTAATATTTTGTCGATGGTGGGAAGTTCCTGCCTTTCAAAGATTTTATGGACTTTGCGTCTGATGGTATTCCGATCAAAGTTATCAACTGTATCCAACAGGTTCGTGTAATGCAGCCTCTTGTGTGGTGGAGAACATTTTTTGTTTTCTTTATATTCTTTAACAATGTTGAAAATTGTCTTAGGACATAAGCCTGTTTTGTTCGCCACACGTCTTGCAATATCATGAATTCTTATTGCAGGTTGCTCAAAAATTTGGCTCCTATAAACATTAAGAACACTTTCTTTTGCCTGAATATTCAAATCTCCCTTCTTGCCACGTTTTCGGGGAGGAGATATCAATGAAGAGGACGCATGGTTGAAGCAAGTATTGGGAGAAATATTATCAGTTTCATCTGCTGTATCCGTAGACGACATGCCAACGTATGAACACAAGCTATATATGCACCGAATATGAACAGCAACTGTCGGCGTCAGCGTGCCGGTGATACCTCGAGCCTGAATTCTATCCTGTCGAATCCTGCTCTTGTTCGTAGTTTCATGGCCGCATGACCAATAGCTATTGCAACGCATAGGCTGCTGCCGCGATGCATCTTTGTTGTGCAGAGACGTAAATGGACTTCGAATAGGATATAGTTGCCAAACGTTGTCGAGAAACAGTTTCACACCAGAACTCAAAAGAAATGAAAATGGTTCTGACAAGTCCTACGTCTGTTTGTTGTAATTGCACTCCATTGAAAATTGTGCTAGAAGTTGTTTCGAAAGCGGGAAGTTTCGAACGAATCTACTTGACGCCATTTTTTCTTTCAGGTACCAATGACAAAGCCGGAGGTCCACACTACTGCCTGCGATGGGGCAACCCACAAGCGATCAAAGAAACATTCGTTCCCCTAAAAGATATTGAGTATCCCTACATGCAGCAGTAGACCAATTATTTTTAAGATTAAATCTCACACTCATCGTGCATCTCATGCTTAGTTCATTCATTGTGATACGTTTCTTATGTTTTAAATTAATAATCCCACTTTGCTAAATCTGATTTAGGCGTAGGAGAGCGTATGTAGTGCTTTAGGTTTATAAATTATTATTTTTATACAGTTACTCACGAAAAAAAATGAACTGAGATGCATTTTCATCAAAATAGACAGACTTCATAGTCTCGCTTTCCTCCATTTCAGTAGGTTTTGAAAGCTGTTAGCATTCCATAAAAAAGCGTATCTTGGTAATAGCAATAGTATTTGGGTTTCGAGAATGTATGAAGTTTTTAGACTAAGCAGAAACTTGTTGATAAAATATCAATTTTGTTACATTTTTGGACAATTTTGGTAAACAACATATTGTTTTAAAAAGGAACAGTACGTTCTGAAATAATTAGATTTCGCTCGTTTTTTCTCGTGGAAAATCCTATGGCGTCCAGGAAACGGGTAAAATTGCGTGTGTTAATGGTCGTCATTACACGTCATTATAGAACTGGAAATGATGTTCTGTTTTTAAAATAACTTGTTCAGATACATCGACTTCCAATATATTACATATAAAACTTCAAAAAGAAAAATGTACATATATCCTTTTTTCGTATTCCAGTGTTTTTCGAGGGCATGATCGTGTTTTGGTTATACAAATCCCATACTTTTTCTTTTCAGCTAATCGCTTTTTTGCCAGGAACGTAATTTTTTACCTGAAAACGTTCCCTTTGCTCCCAAATCTGTTTCTAAAATCACGTTCGTATACATAACACACCATTCCTAATGCCAGGTTTTTTCAAAAGACATAGAAGATTTCCTTTGGAATGGAGTGCCGCGCACAATCACGTGGAAAATCAGCTTTTCACGCCAACCGTCATGTTCCAACGCACCACAATTTTCCACACGAAAGAACGTCTGTGTGCGGTCAGCTTAGCTCCCATAACCATCGATAAACAAACGCATAGCTTTACAAGGGCAAAAAAGTACGCATATCTCATAGAGTGCATTTCAGCTAAATATAAACCACTCAATGCCGAGTTAATCTTTTGTAAGTAACTGTACGTGATATGTGAAAAAGTCAAAAAAAGTGTCATATGCAACTGCTATGTTGGAATTCAACTCTGAGGAAATCTCATCGTGTTCTTTATACGTTTTTTGACCATATGTTTTACGTCATCCTATTCACACTTGTGGGATGAGACATTGACAATATTATTGTTAGTGAAGATGTATTAAATGTATATTTCGGACATGTTTAAGTTATTACATATCTGTAAAAAATATGTAAGTTGCATGTAATATATACCGATTTTTCTTTATTGAAAATAAGGAAATAAAATTGTGTAAATTTTATTTGTCGTACTTTTAAAGTATTAAATGAATAAAAACTTATCAAGTAGCAATACAGCTTCTCTTAATTTATTTTCATTCCTATCCGCCAAATCCATCTTGTGCTGCGTAATGCACAGACAATGGCAAGACAGTGAATATCTTAAGCCGCGTACACACCAAACATCCAACGGCCAGCAAACGAATGCAAGCACATGTGACGTTTGCGTTTGTTGTTGGAAGGTAATGGAATGCGCTCGTCTACACCTAAATTTAGTTTCGAGTTGGGTTAAGTTCGGTGCTAATGTCGAGCGACGAGTCTCCTCTCATTGAATGAAGACAAATGACTAAGTACTAGACGCGCAACAATACCTGTCCAGACCAAATCAAACCTCCCTTAGATGTACCGATCAAGGAACGAACCCAATCGCACGCCAACGCTGACCTTGGAAACCGTTTGCTTATGTTGGCTCGCGCCGTACACCACGATTCGAACACCTCTAAATCTGTAACCACATGTGCGTTGGAATCTCGGTCTGTACGCGGCTTAAGATAATCGTACCGTCCCTGTACAATGACCGCCGGGGCGCGAGTATTACACCTCTATACATGTACGCCGACAGTGGGAGCCAAACATCGGCAAGAGAATAGCATTTATATATATATATATATATATATATATATATATATATATATACAGACTGGCCCATCCATGTGTGGAGGGAATATTACTCATAAACAAATACATTTTGAGAATATCTATTAATGGCATGTTATACATGACATTTGAGGGCACATTTCTAAAATATTGGCCATTATACAGGGTGTCCCAATTTCGACTTACATATCAAAGTTGTGATTTTTCAAATGGAATACTTCAAATTTTATTGCATATTTGGATAAACCGATTCAAAAGAAGAAAATTGATATACTATGGGATTTGGGGAATTAGCTACTGAGATGCAAGGTGTTTTGTCTAGAAAAACCCCCCACTTCGGCAACCCCTCAGTCCGCCATTTTTAAATTTTGAGTGCAGAATTTTGTATCAAAAAAACTTACACACCTCAGCTTTTATCTTATTTGTTTCTTTTTCGAATTCTAATTTTTGCTCATACAGGGTGGACAAAAACGCAAATTATGTTTTTTCTCCAAATTTTTTATAAGCTTTTTTTGATAGTAGACACATAAGGGTTTTTACTGCTATTTTTTCTGTTATTAGCACGTCTTTTATGGAACGGCTTAATTCCCTAAAATACCCATTTAAGTGCACGGCAAATTGAAGCAGAAACTGATAAATGCAGATCTTCCGTCCAAAGGATTATTCACAAGCATAGGTAATCCATATCACCTATGCTTGCATCAAGGCCTTCGTCCTCAGGATTTCGCAGTTCGATTGGAGTTTAGTAGATTAATGCTAAATAAAGTGAGTGAAGACTACTTTTCTGGATAAGGTTATTTTTTGCGATTAGGCAACTTTTGACAGCATAGGTGTTGTCAACGGGCATATCATGCACTATTATGCGACGGAAAACCCTTACTGGGTTAGGCAAATAGTTTTCCAAAATAAATGGAGCGTGAATGTTTGGGGAGGAGTTATTGGCAGAAAAGTTATCGGGCCTTTCTTTTTCGACAACAGACAGGTACAGACTACTTGAATTTTTTGATCGAGCATTTGCCTTTGCCTTTGGGGGATGTCAACCTAAAAACTCGGATGCATATGTATGTACTTCCAACATGACGGCGCACCTGCGCATTATCAAAATCGTGTGCGTAACTATTTGGACACCTGGAGTAACAATCAATGGATCGGTCGTGATGGACCTATATCTTGGCCTCCTAGATCACCAGATATGACACCGATGGATTTCTTTCTATGGGGCTACGTTAAGCAAGAGGTTTATAGATATTTACCATCTACCCCGGAAAATATGAAGGAAAGGATTAAGTGCTTTTCTGAACATAAGGAAACAAATGCTGAGGGATGTGCAACGGTCATTCATCCAAAGAGTACGGCTGTGTATTCAACATGGTGGAGATATTTTCGAGCAGTTTTTGTAGATTAGGTCTTGACTAGTGATAGTTGTTTTGTTTTGTTTAAGTTGTTGTTATAGTTGTTTTTCTCTATTATGCTTGAAGCTGATTTATACTGTTCTGATTGTTATTAGTTTTTACGTCAAATCTGTACTCTTAGTGGCAATATGGAACTAGCCCACTGTTTGTCTTTTGTTTCCATGGTTGATGTGATTTTTTTCCTTAATTTTGGTGTGTTGTTCTATTAAAAGCTTAATAACTCAAAATCTAGTGATTTTATCTGAATAAAACCTCATACCAAAAAAAAAGCTTATAAAAAATTGAATCACAGCTTGCACAAATATACACGATGATACATTTTAAATTTTTGAAAAAAAATAGAATTCGCGTTTTTGACCACCCTGTATGAGCAAAACTGAAAATTCGAGAAAGTAACAAATAAGATAAAAGCTGAGGTGTGTAAGCTTTTTTTATAGAAAATTTAGCACTCCAAATTTCAAAATGGCGGATAGAGGAGTTGCCGAAATGGACGGTTTTTCTGGACAAAACACCTTACATCTCAGTAGCTGATTACCAAAGCCCCATAGTATGTTATATCAATCTTCTTCTTTTGAATTGGTTTATCCAAATATGCAATATAATTTGAGGCATTCCATTTAAAAAATCACAACTTTGATTATGTAGGTCAAAATTGGGGCACCCTGTATAATCACCAATATTTTAGAAATGTGCCCTCAAATTTCATGTATAACATGCCATAAATAGATTTTCCCAAAATGTATTTGTTTATGAGTAATATTCCTTCCACACATGGATGGGCCACCCTATATATACAGGGTGACTTTGAAGTTGAGTCATTAATTTTCAGATAATGATTGTAGAAGGAAGATAAACCAAAATATGTGTGTAAAAATAAAAATAAAAATTTTACCTTGTTTTATAAAGTATCCTCCCGACAAGTATTTCAGTGCGGACCTGTATTTGATCGTGAGGTCTTGGAGCTCCGGCAAGCAGTCCCCTGCGTGGTCTTAAGTCACCTGATTCACGAGCCCGTTGTACTACATTAACAAAGGCACGAGGGGTTGGTTGCACTCGATTGGGAAACCGATCCGCATAAACATGTGCCATTTTTTATTTCGTTTGAGCCACGCATCAGACACTACTATTCACTGACACTGACTGTATACAAATGAATAAATTAATTGTAAAAACATCGTTCCAAATTCTTTCGCTTTTTTGTTTCCGATGCGATGAACCGATACGGCGGATTATATCCGTTGTCGCCAAACACGAGCACATAATATTATTATTGAGACAGGGCGGTACTCAAACTTCCAAAGGGCTATAACTTTGTTACTTTAATTTTACCAGAAAAATGGTAAAGGAAAAAACATTTCTTTTGATCAGATCTACTCACTGTTAAAATCAATGACTCAACTTCGAAGTCACCCTGTATATATATATATACAGGGTGTCCGCAATGTTGGAGTTTTCCTTTTCAGAAACAACTACCCTTGAAATAACAAAGGTAATGTGTAGTGAAACGAGGGCGACCAAGTAAAAAAAAATAAAGGTAAAAGTACTCACTCTCCAGTTGACGAGAAGGGCTAAGTACGTCTCTGCCCGAAATCATACCGCTCCAACAGAAAATGAAATCAGCTGAAGCGCTACCGAGCAGACGCAGAAACCACATTGATTGTCTTACACTTAATAGCACATCTTCTAACAAGGAAGGCAAAATGTTGCGTGAAAAGTCTAGGTATTGCATCCCGTCCAATCGATTTGGGAGAATAAATGGTCCAATGAGCATACCGTTCACCATGCCAGCCCAAACATTCACCGAAAATGTTTGTTGAAAATGACCAAACATGAGTGTTGCGAAAGTTATTCACCCCATTACGCGTGAACGTAGATTCGTCTGTCACCAATATGCACTTCAAAAAGTCCGGATTATTGTCATGTTGATGCAACAACCACTCACAAAACCGCACTCTTGCTAGAAAATCGTCAGGTTGAAGGGCTTGTACACTTTGGACGTGAAACGGATACAGCCCCTCTTCACGCAGCGTTTGCCACACTTTAATTTTTGATACTTGCACTTCTCTAGCCACGTCTCTAGTGCTTGTTGTTTTTTGAAACGCAATCGATTATACGAGTTCGTTTACCTCTATACGCGTGACCGTAATCTTCGGTTGAAGGTTGCATACTAACCTGACACACTGACCCCGACCCAGTTCTGCCGTCGGGTTGAGACCTTGTAACAGTCGGGGATATCCCGGCGGGTCGCGGCTACAGGACGGTATTCAGATATTTTTGAAGATGCAGAGCCCTTTATCTCGGTTTCCTTAAGACATTGGTGTATATGGTACTAAGAAAAATTGCTTATGTTTTCAAGATCTACACGTCGTGTAAAGGAAAACCCCAACTTTGCGGACACCCTGTATATATATTGTAACGGATTTTTTTACCGCTGCTGCCGTGTTTCCGTCCCCAATTTCCATCTTCAAAAACCTCGTCTTCCTCTAAGTTTCTCGTGGTGATCGCTTGGTCAATGTCATCTCGCCAGCTCCTTCTTGGCTGACCCCTCTTTGTTTTTTCTGGTGGAATCAATTCTTGAACCTTCCTGGGCCACCTGTCCGCGTTCATCCGTTTTACATGCCCGAACCAAGTTAACTGCCTTTTTTCTATGTCTATCCACCTGCATCTGCATTCGGATGACATCAATCCTGACTCTTTCGAGTCTTGATCATCCACAGCTCCTTCTAAAGAAATCCATTTCTGTTGCCATGAGTTCATTTTTGTTGGCCTTGGCAACAACCCATATTTATGAAGCATAGAGCGTTACACTTTGTAGCATTTATTGCATAACAAATACAGAATTCCTTTACAGGGCAATTTAAAAAAAATACTAATCTATAGGCACCTTAACTCTTTGAATTTACAATTAAATTTGACAACATGCGGCGATATCTTATAATAATGTGACTACATTGCTGATAACGGTGATTTTAATAATAGATTTGTCCTGACAGCAATAGCGTATAAATAATAAAATGTTAAAGTTCGTCTAGAGATAAACTAAACTAAACTTTTTGAGGAGCAAAGGGTAGCAAGGGAACGGGACAAATCCTAAAAATCCCAAAAATTGTATTAGTCATCATCAGTCCCGAAACGGAAGGAAGCAATGGCTTTTTCGTATCGCGACCGCCCACAATAGCGCGATGATTTCCATTTCGACAAGGGTTAAAAAGTTAGAGTTGATTTCAACACTTATCATTAAACAAATAGCTACCCAGTGAAAAATGACGTGATTATGACGGTCTAATGGCACACCTAATTGATGTCATTATATGACGTGATAGTATGTCGTGTAAAAGACCAAATACAAAGTCTGTATGACGTGGATGTGATGTCCATGTTACGTCGATATGACGTAGAGTCGCTCGCAAAAATCATCGCGCGGTGTGTCCAAATGTAACAAGGACACCAAACAAGCAGCGAGTTCAGGTGCGGTAGAAAAGCGCCGAAACTCATATTCGACTTACCTACCACTCTTGAACCTTCTCGTTCCGAGATGTCGTTATCACCTCCTCATTTTTTTCAGGAGCATTTGTACGGAGTATCGAAGTGGTTGATAAAAAAATAAAAAACACCGGTTGATCTCAAACACGTTCGTCCTCCAATGGTTCAGAATATTTGTTTTTAGCAATTTATCTAAATCGCTTTGCTTTTTCACAGGAGGCCAAAACACTTAACTGTCACTGTCCGTTCAAGTTTAAGGACGAGGAAAATTAGTGTTTTAGCTGCATCGTATCATTTGCGTCCGTGTACCAACTTAGCACGGTGCACGTGAAATGCAGCGTTAGAAGTAATAAAACCGGATTCCATATTCGTTTTAAAGAAAATTGTTTATTCTTGAACATGACATCAACCTTCCAACCGCCCACGGAATTATTCCTAAGTTTTCGTATTCTCAGATTTTTTCAACAACGGAAAAAGAAATCCCATAACATGTGTCACCAGTCATTGGAGTGACAACGCTGACACATCCAGACGGCGCTTGACACGTGAGTATAAGTGGTTGGCAGCGCCACTGTACGTATGCTTATTTTCGCGCAGGCATGACTTTCAACCTAATTGGGTATCTTCGGGTGGAATTTTAACCAATGTCGCAATATCTGTGATCTTGGCTTCCAGATAAGGATTTCTCCATCTAGTCTCAGCGCCTGTATGCTGAAAACCTTAGGATGTAGAAGAGACATTAAAGAAGCTTCTTGACTCACAGCACTTTATTCTAAATCGCAAAATAATATAATACAATTTCTATAAAAAGAAGCAGCACATTTGTAAAGAGTGGCCATAAGCATACACAAATAATAAATCCGGCGTCGAAAAACCTAAAGAGAAATTTAGTAGCTTCACATATGATAGATATAGTACACACGCGTGCAATGAAAAAGTGAAATTTCAAACTGCTTACATTCGTTTTAGTAAATCATACACAAAACTAAAAAGTATATACTCAAATTCAAACTTAGTATGTACCACCGTGTGCAGTGCTATTTTATACAAACACATAGTTTTGGCCAATAATAATCATCTCAAATTCGAACCTTCTGCTCTTTCAACATTGTCATAAATTTATATTTATGGTTTATTACAATAATGCCGGTATCCACTCATATGTATTCCAAACAACAATTAATGATTTAAGTTCTACCCTCACCAATAGTATATCGAAGTCGCTTCCAAAAATGTATGTCAAAAGTGGCAATGTTATTGTGCAAGTTATCTTGAAATCACACTACAAATAAAGCCAGGAAAAACTAAAACAATTTTGGGGAAAATTGTTTTTTTTTTCGTCTCTCTACGCGTTGAATTTTGAAACGTTCTATTCGGCGTTGTGTTAGTTACCTAAATACGCAGGTTTGCGCCCATTTAAGCGACTTTGTATCTCAATCCCAATGGTGAGGGTCGAATCTGAAACACCCGGTATACAGCAATCTTCAAGCTCAAAAACCATTTACATTGTTTCAATTTCCCACAACTCGAATTTCCATCGCCTGTTTATTTTGAAGAACTGTCGATGCTGTAAATTTTATACGAATTTTGAGTGTTGCTGTATTTGTAGCATCGAAGTTGTTCTAATTCAAGCAATAACAGTAGTGTAACATTCAAACTGGATTTTCTCCAGGATCATTCAGGATTTAAAATAAATCAGTAGCCAAAATATTGAATGTCTGAATCTGCAAAAATGTAGCCTAAGTATCAATAAAACGTCATACTTTCAAAATTCTGAAATTCCTATTGCAGTACATTGAAAAGAAGAAATACTCGTATGGGTAAATATACGTGTATGCGTTTTATTATCATGAACAAAATAGAAAAGTACGAAGAACTAATGAAACTGTGGTACTTATACAATTGCAAAAAGATCATATTTTGAATATGATTTCTTTCAACTTGTAGCAACTCGATAAACTATTCCATAACTATTTAGAAAACTAAAACATAAACCACATGAAGCAACTCGAAACTGCAGTTGTAGCTTCATGCACAAGTTTTGAAACAAGGTTACATTATAATCAGATACAAACTACAAGCAAACATGGCCACCTTACCAATTGCTCTCAATATATACCTAATACGTAAGAGGCCATACAAAATAACAATTTTCCAACTTTGATGTAACATGTTGATGTTTTACCACATCATCGCTGAAATATTCATTTGGAAACATTACTTGTTGCTACAACTTGCACATCAATAGTCAGGTGCTTTGTCAACGAGATATTTTCTAATTCATTAATAATGTTTTTCATTATCATCTTCATAATCAATTTTGAAAATCTCTGTTCCTGGTAATATTAACGTTGAAGAAATACGTGTCCCTGTCTATATCTTAAAATTTATCTATGACTGACAATGATATAGATGTGTGTAGTATTAAAGAGAATGCATGTCTTATTTCTTCCCACATTCCAAATCCAATCAGTCTTATCCTTAACACTTTTTACAATTACTGTTTCTGCGTGGTGTAATTCTTCATATGAGCCTTGCTTTTTAGATGCATCCTGAAAGGGACCTCGGCATTCATGGTAGTGTTGCAATGGGGACAGTAAAAGTCACCAGATGGCGTGCGGTACACTGACAGATCGACGTCTGACGTTTTGTCAGTTGCAGCTGAAGCAACTGCAGCTAAAAAATAAAATATGTATATGTATGTAATGGAAAAGAAAAGTATGTTCCACCATTGAGTATCGAATCCACATTCTCAAGTAAAGAAACAAGAACATGAGAACAACATCCAAAGGTCGCGACAACTGGCGCTGCCCATTACGATTAAAGCCATGTGTATAGTATAGAATATACATTAACCCTTTGCGGCCTACTGGTCTTCTGGATGGCGATCAATTAATAATCAAATTAGGATGGTATTCTGCTTTTTATGGGCAATGAAGTAGCTCAGCTGGTGGAAACAGCAGTTACAGTCACACGCACCTTAAGGACACGCCCATTTTGCAATCTGGGACTTTGTACTAAACACAATAAAGGTTATTTTGCTAAATTCAATCAAATAATGGGATTTTTTGCTGCTTGCATATTTGAAGCTAAATAATTCATTTTTATCTCGATGTATAGTTCAAAAATGAGAATAACATTTTCATCATATATTTGTAATAAATAACATATATGTGTATAAATGTGTAGTAATTGTGATAACATACTGAATGACATTTAAAGGGCGATTTTATATTCACTAGTAGCAATGCAACCTGTCTATAAGACAAAATGAACCATATCATAGCAAAAAGATAAAGTTAGCTGCAAAAGGTCACATACAAGAACATTGTTCTTATTCCTAAGTATATTCAGGAACTTATAGTACTTGCATCCGGCAACAAATGAACATTCAGTGATGCATTGTTCCACAGAGTACTAAGAGAGAAGTCACCCTGTCAAACATCAGGTACGTCTGGTTAGATTTCCGTCACTATCACTGTGATACATTCAAACAATAATTTTGAAAAGGTAGGTCATGCAATAAAAAACATGTGAGGTGTGTTTTGTGTCGGTTTTTTATTTCTCTAGAAATCGCCAAAGGTGAGTTTATTTATTATTTGATGTATCATATGATACATATAAGAAGGTAGAATTCTTTGGGAGCACAACCATACATTTTTCATTTGCGCCCTTTAGAAAAAAATTCCTGCTGGCGCCATGGTAAACGGTAGGATTGTTATTAAATAGGTGGTGACATCAAGATCAAAAGGACTGACAATGGCTGTCACATCTGTAAGTGATCTGTGATAGTTTGATAACCACGGGAAAACATCCTGGTAGCTATTCAAATAACTTACCAGTATTCGGTTCTTTGGCAGCAGGAACGGAGAAGCCAAGTTGTCTCAATTTTTTCTGATGCTTCTGGCCTTTCAAATGCATGTCAAGCTGTTCTTGACAGGTAGCCACCACACCGCACATATCACAGGTCCACCTATCAAACAAATATGAAGTAATACAGGGACGCATAATAAGATGTCAACCTCTTGGATGCACACAGAACACAAACAAATCTGCAAGTTCCCATAAATAATGTTATTCAGGACTCTTCTAAGAAGATATTGATCCCTAAAGGGTGCTACTGGGAAATGTCTTCAGCATTGTAACCATTTGGGGTCTCACACAGTGGTGTCAATAGAAAATGGGTCGTTTATATCATTTTCGAAAATCCTTGGTTGGTGAAGTATATTACAACTAACTGGTGAGAAAATAGCATACAGACATGAATAATTATGAAACGTGAAAAGGTGCTGTTTACATCATTTTTTATTTCCAGTCATTTACAATTTATAGAAATTTATTTTGCGAAGTCAAGTAGAAAAAACAAATCAGTGCCTAGATGTGAGGCACTGCGAAAATGTTTTGAGTGTGATGCGTCATTCCTATTTTTCTGTGATCTGACTTAATTACACAACGCGGGCGCGGTTATGTTTTCCCGTAATGATTCTCAAAGTTTTTGAAAACGCAAACAACCCGGGAAGAAATGTAATTTATAATTTTGAACATAATCTCTCTTCAGAAAGGACAATGCAACCCGTCTAGTAAAACTAATATACTTCACGGGCAGCATGAGAATAATAATCAGGGTGTAAAAAAATCAGCAATATTGCGTTATTTCAGGATTAGTCCATACTTGGCCATCTACTCGTACATGAATTAATTGTTATGCATGAGCACCACAATGTGAGAAGTCTCTTAGTACTTCTATATACTTTCAAGAGATGGGTATCTTATTCTAACTCTGTGTACAATATTGACTGGATGTTTTTCAGGTTTGCAATCTACCAGGTGTTTCAACTCACCACTGCATTGGCTCGCGGAAACTACCTCTTGTTGTCGTTTCCGAGATTCCATGATTCCAATGGTTCAAGTCGAATTTGAAATACTCGGTATACTTTATTTTTAAAATTCATTATTAAAAACGGACCAAGCAAATAAGCTCTAGAAAACGGTTTTTCTAAAAATACTAATTCACCTGTGCTGTTGAGGTGCAGGGGGCTGAGAAACAGTCGGCACCGCAGGGGTTGGCGATGCCTCAATCGGTTTACGGAAATCCAATCCAAACGTATCCTCACCAGGAGCAAGAACCTTCTTTGAGCTCCTACAAAAAGTAAACCGTTTGTTGGAATCTGTACCATGATGTATAGAAAAATACTTACGTTTGCCTGACCCATTTTCCTTCAGCATTATAGTAGCCCTTTCCGGCCGGACGCTTATACCCCAACATAGCTCTAAAACAAAATAAGTGGCATCAAGTTAATTGATTGTCTGGCTTATAATTTTCTAGATTTTTGGCATTAATTTTTTTTTGAAAAACTGCCTTATATTCAGTTAATCCCGTGCCATTGCTACAAATATCATTTTTTTTGACCAGGTTTGTTTTAAAACGCCAGAATTAAGCATTTCATCTCGTCCAGTATTATTTTTCCTCAAGCGAAAAACCCACATAAGTCATGCACAAAGCCTAATTTTTTAAACCTCTTCTTACGTCTGACTTTAACATTCTGTAGAGTGAGACGATCACGTACGATCACTGTGAGAATTAGTCAAAAAAATTGGTCCAGTGTTGGCAATTTTTAAATGGTATCATTGTTTTTTATTTTTCGTTTTATTACAATTATAATGAAGGGTGGTCAGTTTTCGTAGATATCAGAAAATAACAATGTATGGCTTGGATACAAAAAATGGGCAGGATTGATGTTGAAGGATAATTTACATTCAATATATTGATGTAATGACTACCACTGATTGTTATGACCCACATTTTGTCATATAACATTTTTTTAACCTACAAAAAATAACCACTCGAATAATAGAGGTGGTTCAAGTTTGTAAGTCAATTCTGTGCCTGTGGTGTACAAATTCTCTAAAACAATTCTGATAAAAAATTTAAACTAATTGAATATGAGCCAGCTTTTCAGAAAAAAAATGAATGCCAATAATCTCGAAAACTCTAAGAGTTTTACTAGAACAAAATTTCACCATCTAGTAGAACATGACTTGATCTTTCTGCAGCTGCAGGATTATTTAGCATTAGTGTAACTACAAAGTAGACATGGGTATACATATCCGGATACGGGTGTAACCTGAGGAAACGAAGATGGAGAAGGAACAAAACGACACGCGTAGCCACTTCCAACCTACACATTGTGGAGTAATAAATAGAATATTCAACGCGACACTTAACTACAGCCACGCGGCCGGTTATAGCCACCATGGTACTCCAAGACTGAAGGATCTACAAAAAAGAAAGGATCATGCGGAGAAAGGTTTATAACAAATAGCAAAAAATTATGGCATAACAAACTTTTTCGTCCTTGGCATAGCAGTTATCTTGTGGGAAAACTTCATCAAAGTCCGAACGGTACTTTCCAAGTTATATCGGGATCAATAAAATGAGTGGCATGGTTTGAACGACCAAAAAACAATACATTTCTTTCGAAATTTATCGCGATTACAATACTTCTTCGCCAGTGGAGTAGGAGGTAAAATGACTACTACGAGGGATGTCTTTTAAGTTTTGCATACAGAAACATAGTAGGCCGCGCGGATCGAACGTCAGTACTGAATCTTAACCTCACTCTTTAGTAAACTTAAATTCAAAGTTTCACACAATACGTGCGGTGTTCTCACTACAGTGAATTTTTAAGTGTAACCAAGTCATTAGAAAAATGGAACTTAACCGAGAACATTTTCGCGCCATAATTTATTACAACTTTCAGAGACAATAATTATCGCAACAAGAATGCTTTGCTGAGTTACTGTCTGTTTTCGGCAACGAAGCGCCACATCAGTCGACTATTTCCCGGTGGTATGGAGAATTCAAACGTGGATGGGTGAGTCTTAGCGACGATTCCAGTGTGGGTGCACCAAAAACGGCAGTCACCCTGGAAAACGTCGATGCTGTGCGCAAACTCATCATTAAAGATAGACATGCGACATATCGCGAGATTGAGGCGTCCTTGAAGATCTCAAAGACCTCAATTCAAAAAAATTTACATGAAGAATTTGGAGTAAGAAAATTAGTTTCTCGTTGGATACCCCACCTGTTGACTGAAGAGCAGAAAGCAGCCAGGGTGACTTGGTGTCAAAAAACGCTTGACCGTTTCAATTCCGGAAACTCAAAAAATGTGTACAGCATTGTTAGTGGTGATGAATCGTGGATTTACTGTTATGAACCAGAAAGTAAACGACAGTCGGCTGTTTGGGTGTTCCAAGGTGAAGAAAAGCCAACAAAAGTCATCCGTTCTCGAAGTGTTTCGAAAAAGATGGTCGCGATATTTGTGTCAAAAGCGGGTCAATTCCTCTCAATGAGCAAAGAACTGTTACTGCGGATGGTTTTACCACCATTTGTTTGCCAAAAGTCATCACCGAGCTTCGAAAAATCAACCCCGAAAGAAGAATCATCCTCCACCAAGACAATGCAAGCTCGCACACAGCTCAAAAAATAAGGCAGTATTTAACGGAAGAAAACGTGGAATTAGTGGACCATCCAAATAGTCCCGATCTAAGTCCTAACGATTTCTTTACTTTCCCGAAAATTAAAAACAGACTGCGTGGTCAAAGGTTCCAGTCACCAGAAGAAGCAGTTGACGCATTCAAAAATGCCGTTTTGGATCTGCCAGCAAACGAGTGGAATAAGTGCTTGGTTCGAGCGCATGCAGATGTGTATTAATCTTCGTGGCGAATACTTCGAAAAACAATAAAGTCATTTAAAACTACCTACCGTGTTGTTTTATTTGTGTTGCAAAACTTAAAAGACATCCCTCGTGCTAATATTTGGCAGAAACCAATTTGGTCTGTAGTTAAGATGGCGTTCCAATATAGATCAATGTTCGTAACATCAGATAGGCTCAAAGTAGAGCTACGGAAAGATGATGAGACTTCATTTACAAGTTGGATGACACAGATGTGATATTAACGTTTTGGTTAACGTGGCGAACTATAAGTGCAACTATTTCAGGGAACTTCTCGCATAATGATGATATAGCATTTTTGAAAAAGCCCATCTGACTGATCGGCTGTCAGGTTGGCAATTAGATTTTGTGCCGCTCAATCATACTTTTCTTATTTAGACAAAAGGAAAATACATACTTTTGGTGATTCTTCCCCATATAATGCGATTCCGCATGCAACTTTCCAGTCAATACTAAATCGCAAACCTCACAATGGAACCATTTTGGATCTGGTTCTTCTTCTGTTTTGGCACCGGCTGCTGTCACTCGTGCACGTTTATGCAGAGGTTCGCCAGTCTTCTGAGAATACTCGATCAGGAATTTCCTTATCTGTAAAATGTTAATCTGTTTCAATATCTAATCCAAAATGTTCTAAAGCAGCTCAAGTGAATTTTGAGAGGAAAAGGTTGGTATGATTTTAAATATGTAGCACTAATCTCAGCAGAAATCATCCTAAAGCCTTCTGCAAAGGCCAATAGAGTAATTTTCTTGTGGGAGTAACCAGGAGAATCGATGCCCAATGCTGTTCATGGTGCAAAAAACGGCCTAGCTATTGTGGAAGCACGCGAATGGCGCGTAAAATTAATCTTTAACGACCAAAACGTCATGGATGAACCTTTCGTTTGGGAAAATGGGTAGGACAGCATTAAAAATTGCAAAAAAGGTAGTAATGCGAAAAGAGATGAAAATAAGCCGACACCACCGCGATTCCTGCGCCATGGTGGCGCGCGCTGAAACTGTATCAGGCGTTAAGGTTTCTCGTTCGTCGATTCTCCTGGTATATGGGCTCTATAGAGACAGTTATTTAAAAAAATCATAAATCGTCTGTAGATATGTTTGTTAACATTTTGCTGTGAGACATTTTTTTCTCATGTACAATCTTGGTAAGAGATGATCAAAGGTTATTTTCCACAATTTGATCTGACAACAACATTGAAGTCAAACCAAGGTATAATTTGTGATACATTAGGCTTACTTGGGTTCTATACGTATAAGGAACTGTACCAGAGCTGTTCTGATTCTGCACAATAGGTTCTTGCAATTTCAGCACCGCATTGCAATTGGCTACGTTCAGAACAGTTCTGGGATAGTTTCCTGTACACTCTAAGTTCTCACTCTCTTGCATATCAGTGGAAAGATGAAAGCTAGATTACTTTACCTTTTTTTCATGATTCTTTGACTTGTAGTGCATTTTGGCCATAACATTACTACTCAACTGCGCAGAACAGAGCTTGCAGAATAAAGGTTGAAACAATGCTGTTAACTCTTTTGGTAAAGATGGATCACCAGCATCTGGTACAGTTTCTTTAACTGAAATAATAAATGCGTTGATACAGTAGGTAAGTCAACACATGCTACTCATCCTGTGTACCAGATAGCTTAGCACCTAGGAGACTACTGTAACAAAAATTTATCAAGACGCAAATCTGTCTTCACATTTTACTGGCTGCCAAATGTAGAATTAAAAGACTCACTGACATCTGGCCACCTTAGTGGTCTTTACCAAAACCACCTCGATGTAAAAATTAGCCACAGGGTAATGTTGCAGCGAAATGGCAGCCGATCTTCTTGGACGCTGGCCACGCAGATTGAAAGGAACTTCTCACAGAGTAGCTCTCACTTACATGCCAGGATGGAACAATTGTAACAGACGGAAAGGCTAAAGGCGAGAATACACATGCCAGTAAAATAGCATGCCAGTGGCCAGTAACTTGTATGCTAACTACTTGTCCTACGACATCCCAAAACACACATGCTAGTTTTGAATATGCCAGTCTGTGAAAAGTCCAGAAAAGATGGAATGCAATGAAGATTCCAACTTTTCTGCACAATCACAGAAAGGGGGTTACCATTAGCTTCCGGTAGCTCAGTCGGTGGCATGAAGACATCTACAGGCGTGTAGCTGTGTGTCGACCATGGCATGGCTAGAGGATAGAAGAACAAACAGAACACAAAAATTTAACAGATTTTATTTAACAAAAAAAAACATTTCCATTACATTACAATTTTACAGTTTTAAAGAACAAAATAAGTTTTACATCTTTGGCGCTGCTATAAAACTATCAACTTATCTTTCGCTGGTCCATTTTGACTCGACTGAAGCGAGGATGGCCAGGTGCTTGAAGTGGAGGTCCCAGTTATGAGGGGTGACCTCACATATAGTGGCTTCATAACCAGTTGTAGGCGAAGTTGAACTTAAAGGCGATGGCGCTGCCAAGGCACATGCATGGGTGAAGTGATAGGCCAAGCAACGCAAAGTCAAAGACTAAGGCAAAGGGAAAGGGAAAGAGAAAGAGAACGGGAAAGAGAAAGGGAAAGGGAGTGGCCCCAATCATTTTGTCCTATACGGACACACATTCTACAAAATTCTAGCACATGGTGCTATATGACCTTGTGCTACAGAGAAGAAAATTCTTAGCTCTTGTTCGATCGGCGGCTCCAAGCGGAAAATTTTCCAAGTAAAAAAGCTAGAGATGGGATTAACGAATTGCGATTCTGAAATGATAATCGAGAAGTGATTTAATAAATACAATCGGACGGTGAAACCGTTACACTCGCCCCTACTTAACCAGAAAAAAATTCGAAGAAGCATTCAAGAATTTTTTTTTAACAAGGAAATTGAAAGTTATCACGGAAGGACAAATGTACAACCATTCGACCAGATAACAAGTAGCAAAAGTAAGGTAGAAACAAAAATGTTAGAAGAGAATTGGAAGAAAAAGGGATAGCCTCAAGTCTACCAAACAAGAGGGATGGTTATAGCACCAACTCGCTGAAAAGTACAGTGAAGTTGCACTTTAAAAAAACTATCATCATATGATGAACAACCCAAAACATAAAACATCGTCATACCTAGGACGAGAAAAATAATAAACCAAAAGTTTCAGCAGTAGTCCAAGCACGAATCACAATGGCATCCAAAATGCACGACTGACTACTAAAAACTTCAAAACTAAGTAAGTACCTAAACCATAAGAGGTATTAAAAAATAATAATAATTTTTCTCAAAACAATTGCCAGATTATCTCGCAATACTCCAAACCCAAAAAGAATATCATCTACAGTGATATTTTAAACCAATATCCAATGTAAAAAACTGTGCATTACTTTTTTTCAAAACATGAAAATCAAAAGAAATTAACAAATTCTAATAAGAATTCAAGTCATATAACAAAACAATTTACGAGTACTGAATCAATGAAAACTTGATCAAGAAGGTATTTTAATCAAAAAAAGATGTTAACTAAGTGCAGTTCTGATTCCACAAAAAAATTGTCGGGCGCCAGCAGTCTGTAAGACTACAAAATAATTCAAAATGTTTTCAGAGAATTAAAGTATATAAGAGACATTTATGAAATTCTCAAAAAAATACAAAAGTAACCAAAATATTAAAAGTTTCATGAGTAATAAATGAGAAACGAAGTGAGCATATGTAAAATGCAAAATAGCGAAACGAAAATCACAAGATATTTTAATAAATCATGACACATGAGAGTAATGCCGCAAGCAAAAATTGTATGCAAAAGTGTACTATATATGTAGGTGCAAAATTGGAGTTATAGAATAACAATCTAGTGAACAAGAAATAGAAATAAATATGATAGGTAAGAATTCGAATTTTGATTTAAAGCAAAAATATGATAGAAAGACAACTTTCTAGGGTCACCATAGGTGCACTCCAAAGCCCTAGACAAGAATCTCTATAGTCTATGGAATATTCTCATGTAGATCACTGATATCATCAGCGCACTTCAAAGTCTACACCGAGAATAACCATATCATTGTAAAATGAAGGTTAAGTTCAAATATGAAATATTACAAAATTAGAAAAACTATAATAATTTACCAGTGTAAAGTATGAAAAGAGAATTACTATACTGAATCTATAAGAATTGGCGATTACTTCAAGTCAAGACAGAAATTGAAATAAATAAGAAGTCGGAAAAAAACTATGAGAGCAGACTATCAAAACAAATGCAATAATGCAAAAGCAAAATCACCAGATATTTCAAAATCTATAGCGAAACATGAAAGCAATGTCGCAACCAAGCTCAAGACTTAGCAATACGCACAAATGTGCACAAAGGCTGAAAGCATATATGAAAAATCTCAAGAAGGAATTGACAATTACTTCAAATCAAATTGAACTGATTGAATTTAACTGAGACATAAATTACTATATCAAAAGTGAGTTTTACTTATACGCCAGAGGTTTCAAGAGTTTATCAATACGCACAGATTTGCAACTAGGCGGAAAGCATATATGACAAGTCTCAAGAAGAAAATAAAATGCATATGAAGAAAACACTTTCAATTAAAGAAACTGTGGATAGTACAAGACCCTCAAAGGCATACATCGCAACGAATCTATGTAACTATCCAGACTACAAAATACTGTCAAAGTTCAAAACCACTCAAAAATATGTAAACAAACATCAAAAGTTTGAACCAAAAATCAATGTAAGTCTGTGCTCTCAAAGAACGTTATAATGAATTCAAAAAGAGGATACTATCAAAAACTTCAAAAGTAATAGACTTCAAAAATAGAGGTACGTAAGTATGTAAAAGAAATTCAGAAAATATACACATAAAAACATTATAAAATATTATACACAGTACTTGTCACATGATTTTGATCGGGAATGCAATTTAAATTTTGAGTACACCCAGAAAAATGAAATATTCAAAAGATGAAGTATACACATTAAATTGGAATCAGAAAAATAATTATGACTTGTAAATTATGTAAATGGTGGACTGACGTAATAGTTCAAAAGGTTGAAAGAACAACGATGACAAATGTCCAAAGTAAACATTCAACTGCCTTTTACAGAAAATTAGCTTAACAATTATCAAAGGAAATTCTTATCCGTTCGCATCTGTACTAGGAAATAAATATAGGAAAACCTACTCGCTCCAATGTACAGATCGAAAAACTCGCCCCCTTCGATTGAGCGGAAATATGAGTATTGGACAAATTGTAATATTTCAAAAGGTTGAAGGATCAACGATGACAAACGTCCAAAGTAAACATTCAACTGCCTTTTACAGTAAATTAGCTTAGCAATTATCAAAGGAAATTCTTATCCGTTCGCATCTGTACTAGGAAATAAACATAGGAAAACCTACTCGCTCCAATGTACAGATCGAAAAACTCGCCCCCTTCGATTGAGCGGAAATATGAGTATTGGACGGATTGTAATATTTCAAAAGGTTGAAGGATCAACGATGTTGAATGTCCAAAGTAAACAATCAGCTGCCTCTTACAGCAAATAAGTTTAATCATTATCAAAGGAAATTCTTGTCCGTTCGCATCTGTACTAGGAAATAAATATAGGAAAACCTACTCGCTCCAATGTACAGATCGAAAAACTCGCCCCCTTCGATTGAGCGGAAATATGAGTATTGGAAAAATTGTAATATTTCAAAAGGTTGAAGGATCAACGATGTTAAATGTCCAAAGTAAACATTCAGCTGCCTCTTACAGCAAATAAGTTTAATCATTATCAAAGGAAATTCTTGTCCGTTCGCATCTGTACTAGGAAATAAACATAGGAAAACCTACTCGCTCCAATGTACAGATCGAAAAACTCGCCCCCTTCGATTGAGCGGAACTATGAGTATTGGACTGATTGTAATATTTCAAAAGGTTGAAGGATCAACGATGTTAAATGTCCAAAGTAAACATTCAGCTGCCTCTTACAGCAAATAAGTTTATTCATTATCAAAGGAAATTCTTGTCCGTTCGCATCTGTACTAGGAAATAAATATAGGAAAACCTACTCGCTCCAATGTACAGATCGAAAAACTCGCCCCCTTCGATTGAGCGGAAAAATGTATTGGACTGATTGTTATATTTCAAAAGGTTGAAGGATCAACGATGTTAAATGTCCAAAGTAAACATTCACCTGCCTTTTACAGGAAATTAGCTTAACAATTATCAAAGGAAATTCTTCTCCGTTCGCATCTGTACTAGGAAATAAATATAGGAAAACCTACTCGCTCCAATGTACAGATCGAAAAACTCGCCCCCTTCGATTGAGCGGAAATATGAGTATTGGACAAATTGTAATATTTCAAAAGGTTGAAGGATCAACGATATTAAATGTCCAAAGTAAACATTCAGCTGCCTCTTACAGCAAATAAGTTTAATCATTATCAAAGGAAATTCTTCTCCGTTCGCATCTGTACTAGGAAATAAATATAGGAAAACCTACTCGCTCCAATGTACAGATCGAAAAACTCGCCCCCTTCGATTGAGCGGGATTATAAAAGGATCCAAAACACTATAAAAAACTAACAATACAAAC